CGTCTGGACATCACAAAACAAAAACATACAATATACACTATTATATTCATATCACCTTGTAATTTCACTATCATATTCCACTCTTCAAATTGAAACACAGGTAAGCATAACTGCAGTACCTCTGCTATTGCAGATGCTAATGGGCAGCGGTAGTCACTTACCATCAGGTGAACCACATGATCGTTTGGCCCCTGTATTATAAGAAAAAAAACTGCTATGTAAGCACAGCTGTTTCACGATAGAAACATTGGTTGGTCAAAGATACCCATATAGACGACTTTTGTATATGTATACTTATAAGATTTCCATATGATAATGGATCAAAAATACTATATGACACTACTACTTTTCATCCCCAGGATATCATCTAGGATTGTATATAGCCAAAATGTGAAAGATTTTTCACTACACAAACATTTATTTAATCTAATCACAACCAACAGTCTATGCAGAGAATATATGTAACTGAAGAAACAAACAACTGCTTATGGGCTGATGAATACCGAATAGTTGCCGACCAAGAGGCGCAGATTCTTGTATCAGAGATCTGCGGCAATCCAAATCGCCTTCTAGGTTTTTAAAACAATCTGTGTTGGGCGGACTAATCATACTTTCACGTACAATAGCTCAATCATGAGGTTTAATGTGCTATATTATTATATCAATAAATTCATAAAACTAACTAAATTAAGTCCCGTCTATGCCTCCCAGTACATTCTATTCTGTTCATATTCAGACGATGGTTATCTCTTTCAATAAGCCAGACCGTCTTTTCCTACCTATATAAAAATGAAACACAAATCTGTAGCATCTTTCCTAAGGAGTATTACATCACTGCGACTGAACATTTTGTCCGAAAGAAATAAGATTTTCACAGTAACTTAACAATTTCTTTAGTAGAACATTTTTTAAAAGAATTCCAATGATTTTAATTTCGTCTAATAGAAAAAAATAAAAACTGTACAATAATTAACGGATCGTCCTTCTATCTCTCTTTTCATTATTTCAAACCTAAGAATAAGAAATAACAGAAATCTTTGTTTCAAACATCATGCCAATTCAACGTTACGTTAAATGACAATTAAAAGTATGGTACCTATAGTATTATGTTACTTGGTCATGACAGCAAAACACCTAGCCCAATGAAATTGTGCAGAACTAGTTAATAGGTTGTGAGTGGAGTGCACATAATAGCATTTCACTGCAGTACACATGTGGACCGTAATTAGCTGGATATAATTAAAATTTATCGCGTATCTTTCATTAGAAGTAGAGGCGATGGGTACACAGCGTGGCGACGCAGCCAGGCACGGCGCAGTCTTGCTTTCTTGGTTATGGCACCTCTGTATTCACATACATTCACTATCAAATGTATCTCAGTACTTTATTGCTGTTGTAAAATATGAATTAAAATGTTATTGTATCTAGTGACCGTGGAACATGATTTAAGTACTTTACCGCCATCATAAAGGGGTGTTCCATACTCCAGTTAACCCACAATAAAGTTAATAAATTATAAGTAACAGTATAAAAAGTATTTCATGATTTGATCATTAAATCACTTTGATGACAATTTGGATTAAATTAATAAATATAATAAAATGCATCCAATTCTTGTCCTTCATATTACAGACTCATGCAAAAAGGAAAACTTTTCAAAATAATTGTTCTTGGTTTATCTCTCACAATGAATATTTACAATACATATGCTGAAGTTTTATTTATAGGTACTTGTATTTATTAATATTTTATCATGCGACTTCAAAAAAGGAGTAGATACTCGATTCAGTTATTTTTTTTTTATATTTGTTACCTCATAACTCCATCAGCAATAAACCAGTTTGAAAAAGAAACCTTTTATCTAAATGGATAATATATCCTTTCAGTTTAGTCCCATAAAAGTTTAATCAAAATCGGTTCAGTAATTTACTTTTAAAATTCAACTAATTTGTATAGCCATAATTAAATTAGTTAAATGAACATTCTTAAATTATGCAAATACCTATCTGAAGACGTGATTTTATCACTTCTAGGCATATTTATGTATATTTTAATATTTATATTTTATGAACCTAACTTTATTATTTAAAAATTTTAACAACACAAAAATTAGGGAGATACTCAGTTACTTAATTTATACCTATACTTATAATTAAATTCCCACTATATGAATAGACAATTTTAATTTTATATTACATGCCTTCATATATAAATATCCAATTTAAGACATATTTCATCGTTTTATAATTACACTATTATGCAATCATGTTATAGGTATTGTTCACAATGTTCACTGACCTAAAACAGCATTCAATGCACTTCACACGAAAGCATTCACGGACGCGCGAGTTTAATTCACTGGTGATGGAACAAAATAGAAAAATGGAACATTACGATTTGTGGGCAGTGGTAGGCATTACGATTTCACGGGCACAGTAATCGACGCCATTAGCGCAGCGTCACGGAAAACGGCGGGCGACGACCCGCCAACAGCGGTCGTACTATGATTTAAGGATATTTTTGGTTTTTGTAAATAAGATAATAAATACCACTAGATATGTTACGTAGATGGCACATCTAGTCTCAAACTATAAACAAACAAATATCGTTACTGAAGTTCTAGCTTGAAGTAATTTTATAGGAATATAAATAAAAATCTATTTCTGTATTAATATTTTTTATTATTTCTTCTGTATTATTATTTCTATATTAATATAGACAATTCTTTCAAAATCTCTGAAAATTAACACATAACTATTTGATTTGTGCATCCTTTTTTATTTTTTATCTTATTTGCGCGCGTGTCGTATCTGATATTACAGATATCCATAGGATACGGTTAGCCCGTTTACCATCAGACGAACAGTATACTTGTTAGTTATATAAAAAACAAATTATCATTTAGCACTAGAACAAACCAAGCCAACGTACTGCTTTATTGTACTTAACTAGTGAATACAATCTACATGCACAATTTTCTAAATTACAAGAACTCTGCTCACCAAGGGGAAAGATAAAACGAACGGTATACAAAACAGTTGGAAAACATCGCGATAAAGCGTAGTTTCCGAGACGTGGAGCGCGGTAGATTGTTAACTTTGAATTACCTTCGCAATTATGTAGCTTACGGATCAATAAGACAGACTAATTGTATTTATTTTTCGCGAATCTAGTAAAGATCGCTTACAACTTCCCAAGGGACTAGGTGATACAATGAGCAACAAAATTGGCATAATTTCACTAGAACCTACACCATTTTGAATCTGAATCAAATAATTTGAGATTATTTTTCCTAAATCTAAATCATCAATTTAAATAAACCTAGTACAGGTTCAATATACGAGGAGAAACATAATAGAAATACTTCTCTTTTCTAAAAACTTTTGAAAATGAAGAATAACCTTAAAATGACTTATTGCAATGCAAACATAGTTTGGCAACTCTCGTTTTTGTAATAACTGGGCTGTGATACTATATATATATTTGACTTCAAGGAACAAAGCACTGCACATCAGTGCAAAAAAAAAATTTAAGTAAAAGCCCGCCAGCATAATAATAGTAGTGGAATAATAGTAGTGGTATCATAGTAGTATGCAGCATTGTCAATGTGACCGGAGAAAATGCGTTATACTAAGTCCATGAATAAAACAGTAGGTAAGCCACGTAAATTGTATATATTTAAACTAACAAGAAAAATGTGTCAAAAAGAACATAAATCAAAAAGAATATGAAAAACAATAATATAAAAATACAATTTTGTATATAGAAAAAAACCGCCAAGCCAAGCTGCCAGAAAGTTAAATTGGGTGCTTTTTAAAAAAAAATACCAGAGCGCGAAATTTCAGAGAAATGAATTTTTTTTTTGTGTTCTTTTTTAATACGATGTCTATATGCATGCACAACGGGAATTTAACGAACTTACTGTATTACTTGTGTTGTGTGTTATTAGAAATGAGATTCTTGGAGAAATTTGAGTAATTCTTTTACAGTTTTAGTATTTATAAACAGTACCGTATGTATATTATGTAAGTACAGTGAATTTAAAACATATCAATGATTTTTTTCGTCCTTCATTCTGTGATTACTCGATAAAACGTAAAGAAAATTGACACAAAATTGTGATTAGATAGGTACCTATCTATTTGGGAAAAAATATTTGACATTTAAGCTAATTTGACAATTAACTGACTGGTTTTTTTTTAATGTCTATATACTTACGCACACAATTTATCCTGACGTATCTATATTTAATCATTTAATAAATAAAATGAGTTTTGACGCATTAAAAAGATGCAAAAATCATAAAACAAAATAAACATACAAGTTACAAACGAGTTACTCTTAACTATTTATCACGCAAAATTGTATAAGTTGGCCCGCTTTTCTTGAAGTTTTTGTATGGAGGCACTATCTATATAAGGGAATGGACTTTTCCGAGTCCCGTTTCCTTTATCCTATAATCTTGAATACTTTAAACGTAGCGCGTAAAAGCACTTAAACTATATTGTCACGTGAATTATTTTTTGTATTTTTGACCTTTTGAACCCTTAGCATCCGGCAATTCTTTTACTCTACTCCAGGGCAAGTGCTGTATGCAGAAATCAACTTGATATTTTAGTTGCTTTTTGCTCTCATTGTCGTTACAAAAAAATGAAAATTTGTTTTAGAATTTCAATTTGATATTTTTTTAGAATGACAAACAAGCTGACAGCCCACCTGATGGAAAGTGGTAACCGTCGCCTATAGACATGAGCAGTACCATGGACATAACAGAGTATACTGTTTCGCCCATGATACCCCCCATGCGTTGCCATTCCTGAGGACTCAGGTGTTATTCCTCTGTACGTAGTAAATTCACGCTATATCCCACCCTTCAAACCGACATACAGCCATGCCAACACAACTGCTTTACGGTAGAAACACGAATGGGACAGAGGTACCCAAGCAATCGACTTTTGTACAAAGTCTCCCTCTCCCTATGCATTCAATGAAAAAGGCGATTATGTAAAAATATTTTATTAACCAATTCAACAATAAAATTATATACACACTTGCAAGTTATAAAACTAACCTAAATTATCAAACTGTACAAAACTAATTACAAGCTTACAGTTCGTATTTACAAAAATGTGCATTTGAGAGTGTTATTTTGGACCCACTAAGTGCTTCGATGTACTTACTAACAATTTATTTGTACGTATTTTGTTTTGATTTACGGTCTATGTACACACTCGTTGTGAACACGGTAAATCTTCTAGCTAAATTTGTAATACAAAACCTTTTTATAATTACACATATATGTGTAATGTCTTTATGTCTTCATATGTCTTCATTTTATTATAATAAAGACATAAGCATTGACTGACTCATCATCGCTGAGCCACTACGTCCACCAAATAGGTACATCTCACATATTAATATATTTAGTTGCGCCGGTTTACACTGAGAGTATTATATTTACTAGTATTTTATCGAGCTAAGTGTTATTTTCCAGAAGTTCATATCACTGTTTATTTGATTAGAATTATATTGTTTAATTCCGTTACTATTAGTATAATATACGTGCGACTGCCAACGTTCGAAAATTGACTACTATTATTATTATCTACAACCTTTCATATTAGCTATCAATCTCCAACCGCTATCCAGTCTACGCACGTTTCACATGTATTTTAGCTCTAAAAAGGCATATTCAAGTAAATTAATAAATCACCGCTCGGAGTCTAGTGTTAAAGGTTCAGCGCCCGAACTGCGAATGACTATGTGTCGACTGCATTATTATTATTATTATTAAATTTATACTGGATCAGTTAATAACTCCAAATTCGAGAAAGTAGACTAACTTTTTAATTGAGAACAAATCGAAAATATATCGAATAAACATCAAACGATCATTACCTTTCGATTTAATCCAAATTCGATTACATTCAACCCAACAGTCTGGGCCGATTCGTTAATGTATATTTTGAAACCCAACATTGTTGCACCGACTTAGTCAATCTATAGGACGGCAAACATCACTGACCTGTCTCGACTTTACAGGCAGTAACTAAACCAATGTAAACCTGCCCTTATAATAAAATATCAAGTATTATAAACATGTGCATAGAACTGTCAGATGTCAATGAAAAAGGCCCACCGTACGCCATCTTAGATTTGTAAGGGTTGCAAATATTTATCAAGCTTCCATAAATAGATACACTAACGGCGTACAAGACTCATCAACGTATCTTCCGCATATATGAACCACAATAAATGCAGCAAATGTAAATTGTAAATTAGAGATTATAAAAAAAGTCTTGTGTGTATATAATGATTAAATCAAGATCTTATCGTTTTTTTTTTTTTTAAATTAGTCGGAACTCTTTACTTATGGGGCTTATTAGACTTTTACATTTATAGGATCATATATAGTAGTAAAATAATTAATTTTTCGTAGTTTCGAAATATTAGTGTCTTTAGCCTTATTTTTTTTTTTGTTTGTACATTCCATTCTAATTAACATTTAACCCTTTCCACTCCAATGTCGAATGTCACTCAACATTGATTTTGTACCATACCAAAAGAGATTATAAAGATTAGAATTAAGAATTATAATATAGTATACTGTAATTACTCATAAAATAAAGTTTATCATATAAGAAAAAAACAATTTTTTTATTTACAAAATACGAAAAACACCTAAAAGTTAAAAAAACGCAATTTTAGCATGGAGCTGGTGGAATAAAAAGAAAAAATTACTGGGAGTGGAAAGGGTTAATATATTTTTACAATCATATTTATAATATAAATAAGTTAGAGTAATAATAGTTATTCATTAGTTTGGCGCATCAGAGTCGCCTATACTTACTAAAATGTTATATACCATTAATTATAGATTACAAATTATACTGAAAAATCTATTAACCGTCAAATAGTAAATAAGTTTTAATAATGCTAAACACACATATATATCACAATGAACTAGTGTTTGTCGTAAGAGGCGACTAAAGAAATTGAATGGTCGAGGGATGTCCCTATTAAAATATCACTGAAAACCTAACTGCGGTTACTAACTCTCCCGCCAAGCGTGGCAACTACTGGCGAAACCCCTCAAAAGAAAGCCAAGTTCAGCAATGGGCAGTTAACAGCTAATATAACGATGATTTCATTTTATTTGAAGACCATGATAAAAATATAAAAATCTATTATAGTGAATCTATTATACGCTTCTTTACAACCTTGTGGCTTTTAAAACGATATATTTACTGAAAAAAAAAGTAACATATATACAATTTACAAACATAAGCACATGCTACACATAATCTTGTCACAATTTATTTCACATACTTTACAATATCTTTAAAGTCCACAATTAAAACTTTCATAATTTCGATCACAGTTCAAGAAAACTTTACTTATATTATTATGACACAAAAATGCTTCGTGTCTTACTCTTATAACAACTAGTAGACAAGCACTGTTCACCAATTGGACCTTAAAATAATGGAATAAAGTTTACAATTTAATAATAAGCCGATGTGTAAACGGCTCAATAAAACAATTAGAAAATACATTAAAAAAACATGTTTTTGGGAAACATCTATGTGTAGGTAACTCATAGGTTACATAGACAACAATACAAACTAATCTTGAGTATTACACGCTAAATTATACTAGTAAAGCCAGTATTCCCCCATTAGACAATAACGTACAAATACGGAATATATTAGTGACCAAATATGTAAATTAATAATATAAATTAACAAATATGATCTAAGCAGATAGTTCAATATTTTTACATTGTTATATCAAATATAAAAACAAAAGATGGCCACAGTAAGATTAATACAATCAATATTTAAACACAGAACGAAAACGTTAAAATACAAAAGCACTGAATTACACGCTACAACCATTACATACTTTTTTTTATACAACTTATAATGGCAAACAAGCTGACTGCCCACCTGATGGAAAGTGATAAGCGTCGCCTATAAACATGAGCAGTACCATGGATATAACAGAGTATACTATTTCGCCCATGATACTATGCGTGACCATTTCTGAGGACTCAGGTGTTATTCCTCTGTACCCTGTAAATTTTAATGTAAGATAGGAATCAAAAGTGATGCCTCAGAATCAACTGTCTGTTGTCTATACATTTGTTTGCATCAAAATAGTTGTTTAGGCCTAAACTGCTAAGTAATTTAAAATAAGTAAATAGCCTTAATAATGTCTTTTAATAGATCCTCTTTATTGTACCCTCCAAAAGATTTCAGTAGTGTTTGATAAGATTTTAGTTTCTACCAGTAAATTACTTAAAAGAATACTTGAAACGAATTTTAATAAATGATATTATTTTTACATGGTACCTACATTGTACAAAAAGCTTCGAACCCGGTACAATTGCCCGATAAAGTTTAACGTTTCCACACTGCGCTATAAATACAGTATTCACATATTATTATACATAATAAAGATTATCCAAACAGGCGGTTCCAAATCTTAACATAATTTTATACATAGATAACATAAATGATTTATAACTAATTACTTAGAAACATAAATATTTTACGAATACTATAAAGAGGCTCTTGTTATTTGAGTTCCAATATGAAGTAGCATTCTAAATTCAAAATTTAAATTTGATAATTTAATAAAACTATGTGTTATATATGTGTATATATGTTACAGACCATTATAAACTAAATTTAACGTGGTTCTAACGTCCAATTGAAATCGTGGCCATAATATCAAAATTAAATTTTAATTTAAAAGAGAAAATGCCGCCGCAGAATTTACCCTACTGTGTTTATATACCAATATCATGATACAAATGTAAAAAAGTTAAGTACATTATATAAAATTAACATCAAAACAGCGTTGTGTAAAAATAATTCAAATATGGAGTAATTATCTAGAACATTCCATTGCTTTTATAAGTATCCTTATGATAGAGATGATGGATAACGTCAAATATTTCAAACCAGTTTTGAAATTAAAAGTACATAGCAATAAAAATAATACAATATTTATTACAAAGCATTTTAGTTGCAAAAAATATATATAAATAAGCTACAAATCAGTACAAACTACCACTTGACGTGGGACAAGCCCTTATTTTAGATAGGCTCCATAACCATAGTCATCAATGTCATATTACATTTAAATTTGAGTAAACTATAAAGGGAAAAGGTAATTATTTACGAAATTTGTTTAATTGACGTGTGTAAATAAATTTGTAAAAAATTTAAATGTAATAAAAATTATATTGATATATTTACTTTACTTTTATTTATTTATTTGGTTTATTAGAAAGCAACAGAATAATGAAGAAATAAATACTTCTACATTGGATCACAATACTATTATATTTTGTTTATATTTACCTAATTACAAAATATATACTCAAAAATCCAAACTTGACAATATAAACATATCACATGTCTATGGAATCTAATTTTTACTATCCATTTCTCTATTTTTTCTTTAATATTCCAAGAGATTAGTTATATAAATTTTAATTTATAATAATTAAATATTTAAATATAGAAAATATATACAATACTTATCTCCCCCTTAATCTGATATAAAATATAAAAGAATCAATAATCAAATACCTTACAAGACATATTTTACAAAGCTTAAGACATAACAACAACGCAATTGGATGACTAGTTGAATAGTCCATACCAATATCCCGACTTCATTCGAAAATATTATTTTAAGTGAAGAGAATAGAGTACAAAATCGTACTCGACTAGACATTAGCTGTCACAGTGTATGGTGAATATAGCACAAACACTTATCGACACTTCGACACCGTCATAATAAAGTTAATAGCACAACTATTAATTCCCTATCCAAATCATAACTGTGGTTAACCTAGCTGATGTAGCTAGGCGATGCTGAACTTTATGACTAAGCACACAGAATGCTTAACTTTCAGACTTTCGCACTGCATAATTTATATGAGACGGAAATTAATAGGGTCATTTAGGTAAACTAAATAATTTACCTGGGTTATTTATTACTATTATTCGCCGTGTGGTCCCGGCATAGAATACGTCACCCCTTCCTTTCCCGTGGGTGCCATAAGAGTCGACTAAGGGAGGGCGAAGGATGGGCAGTAGCATCCCTCATAAAACATGTCTTAAAGCCTAAACTGCGGTTGCCAACCCGCCTGCCAAGCGTGGCAACTACTGGAAAACTCCCCTTATGGGGAAGACTTATGTTTAGCAGTGGACAAAAAACGGTTGAAATAATAATAATAATATATTACTAAACTAGCAAATCAGCGATTGCAGAACATCGATAAATGCATCAATAAAGATAATGTCGGAATTGTGTGCAGAAACCCTCAATACAGGAACACAATTTGTCTAAAAACGAATAGAAGAAAAAATCTTCTGCCTCGGTAGTGGAGGCATGACAGCGCTACATCAGTCTACTAGTGGTCACGACCAGTGTAGAAACGTCGAGATAACTCACGTAAATTGTCATAGTTTACCTAAATAGTCGCATTAATTCCCGTCTCTCATAAAACGTAAATAGATTGCTTTATACAAATACATTGGCCGTCATCATGTTCAATCTATGTGATCAGTTGGTCTACCAATAAAAGTAATTCCAAAAGTTTGGGCCGACTTCGTGCGTAATATGTACACGTAAATACTGAAATCTCCTCCGTAAACAAGTCTCCAAACTTCCGAGCTCGACTTTTTTAATTTAAATTTAGAAAAACTCTTACAGCAATTGTTATACCGTAGCAACTTTATGTAGTAGCGTGTAGAGTTCATAATCGCGCGACGTTTACTCGTCGCTGTGGTCGCCCTAGCTGTCGACGTGCTCAGCCTCCATCTTGGAGCCTTGGCGAACCATCACCAGCTTGTCCTCGTCGGCCTCCGCGTGGATCGTCTCGATGGTGAGCGTCATCTTCTCATCACAACTGTCGTCGCCAGAGTCCGAGTACATCGCGTTTGTCTGGGAATGATCGGGTTGCTGTTTTGGGTGAGTTAGTCTGTCCTCAGCACATTTAGATGGAAACAATGCCCATTACTCATGAAAACGCCTATGGTGTCATATACCAATTTTAGCTATGGAAGTCTTAATCTTTTGAATAATATTCTCAGTTAAAAAAAAAGTGACTAAGAACACTGTAATAAAGAAAAAAAGTTTGGTAGTAGGCTTTAGTCTTTATGAGTAAGGAGTAAAACTATCTTAGATGTTTACGAACAATATAATTTAAGTGAAAGTAAGATGAAGTAAACTTTTTATCCTGTCTTTCTACTGTTATTCTACAAAAAAAAAAAACACTGCTGCGTACAGTGTACAATGGATTACGTAGCAGTGTAGCAACACAGTGTGTAACAATATTCTTTATTGCACTCAGAAATTCAGTAATAATATTAATTGGCAGAAATAATGTGCAAAAGTGTTAATTATCTAATGTATTAATGTACGTAATGTACTGCATATGAATGTATACAGTGCGCCTTTCCTACTGTATGTTGTACAGTGTAGTAAGTGCGATACAGCAATATAGTGAGCGAGCATACCGTGAGTCTGTTCTTCGCATGTATCCGCACGTGCTTGGCGAGATGGTCGGAGCGCATGAACCGTTTACTGCACTCAGGACATTCGAAGCGCTTCTCGCCCGTGTGCGTGCGCCGGTGACGCTGCAACTCGTCCGACCGTGTGAATCTGCCACGCAATCATCAATTAATTCGACCTTTAAAATACGGGTACTACTCGAGACAATACATCACTATGCTGTTAAATAGGGCTTGTATATATTAAATGATAATAGCACAAACATAATAACAGACTATATGCTAGTACCCTACATATAAGTAGTTTTTTTTTTTTTTTTTAATAAAAATTGATAATTGGGGCCAGGCCAATTTTAAATAATCATAATGAATATTCTTTTCATATGTATAGGTGATGGTTACCGTTTTCCATCAGATCAGTTTGTTTGCCATTCAAGTTGCATAAAAACATGCGCGGTATAAAATAAAGTACACAGACCTGATCTGTGTATTTTATTTTATATTGCGCATCTCTGACTACGTCATCAAGAATTACAATCGTGAGCATATTTTTTATTACACAGACCTCTTCCCGCAGAATAGCCAGTTGCAGAGGAACGGGCGTTCGCCAGAGTGCCAGCGAAGGTGAGCGCGTAAGTGCGACGTCTTGCCATACACTTTGTTGCAACCCGGGATATGGCACAGATGTTGCTTTTTACGGTCCACTAGGCGGCTGCAAATGTCACATCCAAATACAGTCTTGATAGCTATTTCCCCGGGCATTGCCTACGTGTATCAGTATATAAAGTATCTTGTGTACTGAGCTAGAATATAACCTACCCGTGTACCAAATTTAATTCAAATCGTTTCATCAGTTTTTGTTTAAAGAGTAACAAACATCCATCAATCCTTGCATACTTTTTCATTTATAATATTAATAGGATATATGACAATCAATGCTGTGTAGTCCTGGCATAGAATGTGCCACTCCTTCCTTTCCCGTGGTTATCGTAAGAGGCGATTACGAAAACTTAATGTTCAAAGGATGGGCAGCAGCGTCCCTCTATAAACACCACTAACGCCTAATTGTTTGCTAACCCGCCCGCCTAGTATGGTAATTACTGGCAACACACTCCCCCCCCCCTGTCACTCCTTTATGAGGGTGGCATATATTCATCTATGGATAATTAACAGCTAATATAATATTATAATAAAGCAGTGTAATTGTAGGAAGTCCAACGGCTCAATTTCATGAAAACATTCTTCAAACACACTGAAATTTCGCAATTACGACTTAAAACTGAGCTTACTTCTCGCCGAGGTCGCAGTTGGGACAAGTGCAAGCGACCCGCTTCATAAGCCGCTTGACGCCGCTGGGGCTGCCGGCGGCGGCGCGCTGCTTGCTGGCCTCGCACTCGGCCGCGCCGGCGCTCGCGCCGCCGCCGCCGTTGGCGCCGCTCGCGCTGCCACCGCTCGACACTCCACTCGCCACACCGTTATTCACGACCACCTGCCATTTGCCAGGCTCGTTCGGATCCTGCTGAATCTGTTGCCCTGGTAATCGAACAGAGTCTATCAAACAAAATTTCATATGCATTAATTAAATAAATTTAAAACATGCATCTGATGATAATAGAGAATGGTATTCTTTATTTTATCATTCGTATGTTATCATCAAATATATTTTGTACTATCAAAAGAATCAACATTCGCCGAGATCGGCGTACATGCGAATTTTTATGGAAGTAAAGAAAACAGGAAATGAGAAGGCCGATACCATTTTTAAAATCAGATTTAAATGTTAACGCATAGAGCGGGGGAAATGGAAATGTTAGTAATGAGGTTTTACAGCCCCATTGCTGGCAATATACCCTATCAAATCAACCTCCACATGGTTTCCCCTGAAAACCATCATGGCTAATTCTTGTTGAATTCTTCAAGATGGGCTAACTGACCCTCACTATCATCCCCCACTGATGCTCCGCCAGCGTATACCGATAGCGCAGGCGGGGTTACAGTTCGATTATAACCTATTAAAAAATACACATAGAGTGGTCTATTAAAAAGATATTACTTTTGTCTCCACAATTTTTTTATAGGCAAATACCCAATAAACAAATAGACTATCAACATACAGAAGGATTCGGCGCAAAAACGATATAAAGGATGGAAGGGACACTTACCACATATATAAATACTTAAACGAAAAAAATATATAATTTATCTAATGTAAGCACCTATAACGGGCTGCGCTTGCGCCTGCGGCTGATGCGCAATTTGCGCCAACTGAACGCCGGGCAACCCCAGCGCCGGCACCAGCTGCACCGCGCCTCCCACGCCGCCCACGCCCAGGGTTGGCACCTGAAATATAAATTATTAATACAATAACTAATAAATATAGGAAATATTTACCAAAAACATTAAATCCCCATTGTCCAGTTATATAAAATTTATATAGGTGGAAAACAGGTTATTAACAACAAAAATTAACATCTAAATTCTAACAAAAACATTGTCACAGCAGATAGTCCTTATTTTTACCAAAAATTATGTAATTTGCAATCGCAAAATAATTACAAATAATAATCTCTATAAATACATTATTCATAAAAAATAAAACCTTCCACAAATGTATTTTTACTATTACACTGTTTTGTCACTTTCTTTTAAAATGAGAATTTAAACAAAAAAACAAAAACAAAACAGTACAATATCTAAAATAGGTTTATGAAAGGTTTAACGGGTTTATGAATAAGGGGTTAGCTGTTAGTATAGCAATTACTTTGTTAAGACCCCATACACGCTTATAAGACAAAATCACTAAAGCACAACTTTTCGCTTATGACTCATTTAAATTGTTTTAATTATACAAATATTTATGTATAGAAGTATATAATAGCTACATGTATTCATTGCACCAACAATACAATATAAGAAATAAGTGAAACCTTATTTATTAGCCAATCTGTTGACCAAGTTGGCCTACTTGGTTTGCCCCCAAATTTAAATAAAAAAAAAAAAAAACAAGAAAAAAACGTGTTAGTGATGATTTCGAACGTAAATATGTCGCAACGGACACGCTTTAATAGGAAAAATTTACCAATAATATCCCCATGCAATGTGTGACTGCCAATTCTCGAAGATTAACCACCACCACTATTACTACTAAAAGTTCTACAACCTTCCATATTAGTCATCCATCTCCGATTACCATTTCGTTCACGCACCTTTTGCAACCCTTGTGTTTCACCTCTAATCGATGTATCTTCAGGCAAATTATTAGATCGTTGCTTCGGTTGATCAGAACCTAGTGTTAACCGCTGGTCACCGAAATTTTAGCACTAATCATTTGCCTGAAGTCAGTCACATACATACTAATGGTAGTGGAATTATACAAAATATTTCTATTCAAATAACTAGTGATATATGCAAGATAACAACTAGTTAAAAAAAAAAAATGAAACACCTAGTTAAGTAAAATATTAACAAACGATCATACTTTCATTCGCAATATTTTACAACACAATTATAGAACATGTTTCAATTTGTCTAATTTATGAATACAACAAAGACGTCTCAACAATTCTGAATATTATAGTAAACCTCTGCACCTGATGACAATTAGCGAAGCGTAGGCAGGAATTTAGGATGATGTATGAAATAGCATCATCAACACTAAACGAAAACGACGATCTTGTACTTGAACGACACACCTCATCCACACTGAACGTAACTGACGATCTTATATGTTACCAGCCTTCACTAGACAAGTAGCAAACAAATCTATGTATAGATACGTTTTACTCATGCTTGCAAGTCAGAGACTAAGACATCAAAAGTCATGATTTTATTCTATTTCATGGATTCGACAGCAATAACGATTCTAGCGAGATTCGTTTACTACTTATCTAGAAGAACGGCAAGACGCGCCTCATCCACACTGAACGCAACCGACGATTTTATACAAAGCCCCCTAGACAAGTGGCAAATAGATCTATCAATAAATACGTTTCTGTTAGCCCTCACATGAGAAAGATCCAAACACTGAACGTCGCTCATGGACTCAGGAGCGCAATACCATTTCTAACCATAGCTTCGTTTGCTACTTATCTATGAAGACTCGCCTCATCCACACTAAACGCAACCGACGATCTTATACCTGTACGACATTGGCGGCGCGAACGCCGGGCGCGGGTATGACGGTGACTTGCTGACCGCCCGGCGCGTTCGTTATTATCGCCTGCTGTTGCCCGCTTGACTCCACTTGCATCGGATTGGATACCGCCTTACCATCCAAGCAGCAGTGCAATTAATTTATTATAAATATATACAAATATACAGATAAATATTCGATATATATACCCTTTTTTTAAAACTAACCCTACATGCAGATAATTATTGTTTTAATTAAGGTAGTTAATCAACTTTTAAAATATTACTAATCAACTATAACTATTGTATCTACAACATATAAAGCAATAATACTAATCCGACCTATCGATCAACAAAACATTGCACCATAACAAAAAAAAACATAACATGCACTTACAAAATAAATATCAAAACAGAAAAAAAAAACAATCAAAATCATTTACAACTTAAATACATTTAAAGAAGTCTAAAATACAACATCTACAAAGAAATTTAAATATATAATAATATAAAAGAAATAAAACATAACCCATAATCTATGTGATACGATAATGTCATGCCATCATTCTGTTTTTTAACACCAATCCTCATATTTATAAACGGTGAATAAACTTATTTAGTTCGCAAATTTGTAAAGGCCTTTTTTTGTATTTAACAACCAATTTTTGACATTAAATGCCAAATTAATCAATGGGTAATCGATTTTGAAGCTTTATGTCAAAAGTAAAATTTGATATTAGAAAAACAATGAAATTATTATTCTTAAAAACAATAAAAACTGACCGCGTATAAAAGCGTCAAAAGTGTAATGAACCTATTTTGACTGTTACAATGTTTTGTCTTTCTCTTTTAGCTAAATTTTGAAGTTGAAAGAAAGTGACCAAAACACTAAATAGTAAAATAGTTATACTTTACAGTTACTTCTTTGTGATTCAAGCTACATATTGATAAACTATTATTATTTTAATAACTATAACTTTAAAGAACAGTTTAGGAAATTTCCCCTCAGAATCGATTACAATGAGTTCGATTCTGAGGCGGCGTTTCTCTAAACCAGTCACTAAAATTAAAGTTACAATTTGATATCTCAGTGTAAATCTTTATCTATTTGTAAGGACTAATATGAACTAATTTTCTGATAAGTCTAATCGGTTCGGTAAAATGGCGCTTCAGAATCGACTCCATTGAGTATTTTAAAAGAGGTTGTTTTATTCATTGTAACAAAGATAACATGACTACAAAAACATTTTTAATACAGGATAAAACACGACAGTGTATTACCTGCAACGTGATGGTGCCGGGCGTGGGCGATCCGCTGACCGCCGTCTGGGTACCTCCGTTTTGCTGCACCAAACCAACCCAGCAATGTATTTACAGCGTTCGTTTAAAGCTTAGCATTAGCACTTATTATAATAATAACACGAGGGCCGAAACTAAAGTGTTGCTATGTTTAAACAGTCTTCGCAATTAAAAGTAAAAGAAGTTATTTTGGGATTATATGGATATTGCCTCCAGTCAATGTACATTTTATTTAAACAAGAGAATAATAAATATATTCGAATGTAACATACATTTTCTTAATTTTTTTTTTGTTTTATGGCATAAATCGAATTTTCAATACTTGCAACACAAAGTTAGACGTTATGAAACATCGACATCATTTCGATAGACGTTGGTTGAGGCAATGTCATAAAAATATAGAAATGTTTATATCACTGCCTCAGTTCGTTCCTAAGCAATTTATATAATGAAAAATATTTTATTATAAATACTATATCGTTTACACAACAATTTGGACTTATAGTCAGAAGCAAATTGATTAATATCATTGTTGTCCACGACTTGGCCTTTAGTTTCGGACCTGATAAACGATACATTGTACACTTAATAATAACATGGTCAATATTATTGTTAATGTAAGCAAAAGGGCAAAACATGCTATATACTATTATAAATATTATTTTCACCAATAATTTTTATAACAAATACAAAATTAGCCATACAAGATATCAATAAGAATATTATTTCAATAAATTTTATCATTTCATAAGAGTAGCAATTTTCATGTATATGAACCAATACGATAAGAATATTTCTCTGGTGAGCATTTTTTTAGAGAGATGCAAATGGAATAGTTTCCCCGTCTACATATACGAAGGCGGGGCATCAGTGGAGGATGAAGTTAGATTAGTTGGCCGATAGTGATGAATATTGGAAATTAATAAAATTATCGACTGATGGCATTATATTGAATATACTATTCTATTTTTTCGCAAGTATTATCGACTCATTTATATCAATATTTTTTATGAATTTTAAACACAGCAAGAGTACTACACTATATCTGTATGTGTACAGAACCGCTGTATTTAAACATTAAGATGACGATCCAATGTAACAGATGGCGAGCTCACTTCCAGAAGGCAATAAATAAAATAAATATTACATTATAAAAGTAGCAAGTCTCACCTGTACATTGGCGAGTGAAGCAATTTGTATCTGCTGTATTTGACCGGACGGGGTCAGCACGTTAGCCACTTGGGGTTGAGCTTGCATCTGTAATAAATTGTTAATGATCATTATTTATAATGTTATATTTATCATCATATCAGTCTTTAACTATCCACTGCTGAACATAAGCCTTGGGGGGTTTTGCCAGTAGTTGCCACGTTTGGCAGGCGGATTGGCAACCGCAGTCAGGGCTTTAGAGATGTTTAAATAGGGACACTGCTGCCCATTCCTCGCCTTCCCTTAATCGATTCTTACGACACCCACGGGAAAGGAAGGGGTGACCTACTTCATGCAAGGACCACTATGTATGGCACTAGGTATATTGATACACTATTACTATTTACTATTCTGTTTAAGGATACAAATAAACATATAAAAATACTATTTTGAACACCATTGTTGTCAAAAAAGAATACATATAATAAAAAGAATACATATAGAAAAAAGAATATATATAATAGAAAGAGTGTTCTTATTTTTTTATGTATTATTTATTCCAACATTTATAATTGTTTACAGGATTTATGTATTTTGTGCAATGATTATGTAGTTTGTATTATTGTTTGTATATACTTATCTTACGAATATGTTTATTTAATGTACACAAATCGTATGACTGTCTGTTTCATATTTTTAAATAACAATTCAATTCACTTAAAAAGGTTTACTGGAAGAAATCTCTTATTAGAGATAAGCTCGCCTTTGTACATTACGTTTAAAATTAATTATTCTTCACATTATGTTTGTGTACAATAAGGAATAAAAAAAAAGAAAAAAAGCAATTACATTTTGTAATTTTACATTCTAATTTAAATATATACAAGTATATACTCTCCATCCAAAGGTTGCTTGGAAAACATTGCTTTAAGCGATAAGGCCACCCTTTGTTTTCTCACTGAGTTGTGTACAATTGTTTGTATTTATAATAAGTTTACTATTGTAATCTTTTGAAATAAATAATAAAGAGTATATATCTACGTTTAGATAAGGTTGAATATATGGTATGAAGACACAAATTACAAAGATAACAGCAAACTTACGTGAAAATGAAGAAGTGGGGATTGTTAATAATGGGAATTAGCGACGCTAATAGTACCAATACACTATGACATGTTGACCTCCCTTCTAAAATTTATCCCAATGAGCTGCTTCATCCTTACCACATTAATACCCCGCAGAGTAAATAATAGCACAGATAATGTTATCATTCCATTCTCATCCATTATAACTTTTTTTATACAACTTAGAATGGCAAACAAGCTGATGGCTAGTGATAGAAAGTGGTAACCGTCACCTATAGACATGAGCAGTACCATGGACATAACAGAGTATACTGTTTCGTTCATGATACCCCCATGCGTTGCCATTCCTGAGGACTCGGGTGTTATTCCTCTGTACCCAGTAAATTCATGCTAAATCCCACCCTTCAAACCGAAACACACCCATGCAAACATAACTGCTTTACGGTAGAAACACGAATGAGACGGGACAATACAACTTCGATCAAATTCCCCGAATTTTGTTTTAAAAGTTCATTGACATCGTGTAATCAAAACATATACACACCTGTTGTAACTGTGGTATAATCTGCAAGTGTTGCGAGTGCATCGGCAGATGGACGGTCTGGTACACTGTGTGTCCGTTGGCTACGCTGACGGGCACCTGCACAGGCACCATGCCCACGCCGCCCACCGCCCCCACTGAACCCACTGACCCCACCGACCCCACGCCGCCTCGCACCGCCACCCCGCCGCCTGCGGGACAACCAACTACGGTCACACGGGACCAACGCATATAACCTCGACGTGGTTGAACACGCCACGACGTTATCTATCTCCTACACATTCCTATGCTTTCATTTTACTATTGAAAGCTTATATGGAAAAGAGTGAAAGTTTATAAAGATGTTTGTATGTATGTTTGTGTACACAATAATGACTGAATCGATTTCAATGAATTTGGTACACAGATAAATTATACCCTAACACTGGATAAAAAAATAACTATTATTTGTATATTTGGATATCTCAGTCCTCTTTGCCTTACACAATCAAGAAATGTTGTTAGTGACAATTTCTGGCGACCCCTACTGCTAGCAGTATGGCCTGCAGGTCGAATCCCTAAGCGGGACACATTGGAAAACATCGACGTTCCGTTTGGAAAATCGACCCGGAGAATAATTTGTTACATATATTTATAATTCTTTTTAACTATTCTTTAAAACTTAAGAAAGTTCTTAAGTTTTAGTGATAGTATAGTTGGTGCCAAACAGATACTGACATAAAGTGTCCCATTATATTAATACAGGATACTAAAAATATAAAATGGTAGGCAAAATCGAGGAACAAAAAACATAGAATGTGTAGCTAGTAAATATAATCGCAAATAAACGATAAAAGTGCGATAAAATAATTTAAAACAGTGAGAGCAGTGTTGTGATCTACCTATAGAACAAGCAAACAAATATAATATGTGCCTCTTTATTGCTAAATGAAACAACGTGAATACAGTGACCGTGTGACGATATTAATACACCAAGCAAAGAAAATTAATGACAATGAAGTAAGCTGGGAATATGTTTAGGATGACTGTGTGAAGAGAACTTGTGTGAAACTAAAAAAATAAACACTTATAACATAGAATAAAAAAGAATCACTAGTCTTAATATGTATGCATTATAGATGTATATATATTATTATGGTGAGGCTAAAACGGATAACAAATTAAAAATATTTTGTAATTTATTATTTTCATTATATAAATATAGGTAACAAAAAAGGTAAAAATAATATTTCTTTTTTTGTTTAATGTTTACCTTGTTACTGTTTTTTTTTTTTTTTGTTAATGTTACGAAAATGGATGCAATTAATATTTTCTAATTTCCTTGAAATATAAATGTACAATAATCTAAATAACTCCTATAGTCAAAATTGCACTCAAAAGCTAACTAAAAATCAAAATTTTTTATCAAAATATGTGAGTACATAAATCATGTCTGATTTTTTTGCAATCTTTATCTGAAAAACATGTTTAAAATTGCAATTTTCTAGCTATTATTGCACCATATGCATATCCATTACATATCTATTACATCTGTCTATGATTAAGTAGCATAAAATAAAAAAAAAAATAAAAGAAAAACGAAACAAATTGTTCTCTTCACACGCATGAGTGAGCCTGACACCAACCTTGTCCGGGACTGGCGGGCTGCTTGCTTTCCTTCGAGTTCCCCCCATTCTTCGCATCCCCCCCATTCGTCAACTGGACGCCGGCGTTCGCCACATTCGCCACGCTCGCCACAGGCATCTGAACGCCTGCCGAGCTAGGGATCGATATCGCCTGACTTGTCGGGATTTGGATTCCCGCGGGAATCGTGATATTGGATCCCGGGATTGTGATCATGGGCTGGTTCCCGGTCAAAGCGCTTAGGGGAATGGATAGGTTAGTGCCGGGGATTGTGACGGTGGCTTGCTGTTCTGTTATGGGGGTAGGGCGGGGAGCGGAAAAACACAGATTAGTATGAAAGTAGTAGTTAAAAGCAAGTAAGTCATGCGATGGTATGATGTGTCTGACAAAGTACCACACAGTATTTTTAAGAATGTTTTTTTTTTATTATAAATATATTTTTCCAAAAGCAGCGCAACTCATATACATAATAAAGACAATCAATACAGAACATTTTTGCAATCGATAATTTGTCTTAATTGCAAAAAAGATTGTTAATTCTATCAATTAATATAAAGATAAATACAGTATGACACACTATTAAATAATGGATAATAGTCATGAAACTGCAATTATTTAAGAATATAATTATTTTCAAATAAAAAGATATCATTTTTAAATGTTTCACATTTTATTAACCTCGCTGTTGCATATCGACTTGGTACGAGTTAAAAATATATTTATTCATATAAGTCAATGACCTCTATGGTGAAGTGGTGGCATTGAGTAATAAAATCCTGGATTCGATTCGAAGAGAGACCAATTTAAGAAACGAACTTTTATAAATTGACTCAGGTCTGAGTCTCCTGGGTTATGGCATTGACGTCTGTTGTTTGTTTCCTCAAAACACGGGACACACAAAAAATATTCTAGTTTTAGGACTAGGCAACTGATGTAATTGAATATGTATAAATAAATTTAACACGCTTGTTACGCGTTATTTGTTCAATTTTTTTTTTTTTTTTTGAGTTCAGGAAACAATGAAGTTGTTTCCTGAAAAACAGACTGACAACCCCAACAAACACTTAATAAATTCAATTGTTATTTATTAAAAAAATATTTTCCTATGCATAGATTCATGTAACTCTTGTTGGACTTCAGAATGTAACATCTTGTAAAGAAGTAACGGGAAATCTCTCTAGAAAGATTAAAGGATCAATAGTAGTAAAAATACTGTGTGGTCAACTCACAAAACTATTTTTGTCACAATTAATGCGCTTAACATAAAGTGACCAGTCGTATGGTATTACATTTAACAGACATGCGTTTGTTTCTGATGTCTAACTAGATCTATTTAACCCATAGCGAAGCTGAATGATTAACAAAAAGTAGACCAAAGCAATCCCAAAGCTATGAAGTATTTATTGAAGTAGAAACAGGTGATATTCAAATTACAGTATTGAATATACTAAATATGATTCTATCGCCTATCTCTTTAAAAGACCGTACTTACTAAAAATCATAGTAATATAAGATAGCAAAAAGTGTAGCAATTATTAAAACAGTCTGTAAAATATTGCTTTTTTTTTATTCTGTATCTTTTTTTGTTTGTTTATCATTATACAATCATAAAAAGCACGTTTATTTTTTAGGCCACAGATTAAATAATAATTTTCGGCGCGAAACAGACAATTTACGATTACAAACAAAGGCGCAGGCAATTTGTTGGTAACGATTAAAACATATGAGTGAAGTTCTGTGTGTGTGTTACTGTATAATATTCCATATGTTCTATAGTTGCAGACATATTTCCCAAGCCGCCCTTTTCGTCATTCTCTTGGTTCAAAAAAATAATGCCTCATATAAGTAATGAAACATAATAAGAAAAACCATTAATATTAAAAAGAGTTTGTGACAATATGATTATTGTAAGAAAGGTCTTTTAAAAGCTAACGAAATTATTATTGCTTTTAGAATAAACTGAGTTTCGAGTTGTATATTGTATGTAAATATGGTAACGAAAGTTAGATATCAATGTGTTGATTTAAAATACTATAACTAGATTTTACTATAACAATATTCAAGTTATGTTTATAATTACATTATATACAACTCAAACATTTTCTCATGTTAGAAATATAACTAATATCTGGTCTACATACTATTATATATAATATCAATTAAAAGATAATACTTATATATGTATATATTGGACTCACCGGCAGGTAAATGCATAACATTTTGTAAGAAACCAGCGGGCAACACGGGCGTCCGTACCAGCTGTCCATTGACGAGGCTAACTTGCCCCATTCCCGAAAAGTTCTGAGAATAATATAAAATAAATTATATAATTTTTACCCCTTACTAATATTATAAACGAAATGTATTTGTTAGTAATCTCTAGACACCATAATTGTTATAAAATTATATATAATTATTTATACTTTATTGTACAAAAAAATACATTCATATATTTTATATTAATATTAAATTATAATAAATCTGTAGAGAGGTCAATTTTGTACATGAAATATATTTCCAAAATAACTATCAGGAGGTGATTAGTGATCGACACTGATGCCAAAAATGCAATCAGTAAAACTTTTGTCTGTCAGTCTGTATGTTCGTTATAGAAACAAAAACTGCTCGAGGGATTTTAACGGAATTTGGTACAATTATTCTTCATACTCCTGGGCAGGTTATAGTATACTTTTCATCACGCTACGATCAATAACAGTGAAGGGAAATGTTGGAAAACGGGAGAAGTTACTCCATTTTTAAGCTTCCGTCGCGTGTGCAGCCTTAATGGCCACTTTTTAAAATGTAAAAATCCATACGTGCGAAGCCGGGACGGGCCGCTAGTATTAAATAAAGCGAGCTTAACTCTGTAAGAGTTCTCTTCCAGCAAACGCTGAATTATTATTATTATGAATTATCATCATCATATTCGCCGCTAACTGTCCACTGCTGAAAATAAGCCTTCTCAATAGAGTGCTATAAGAAACATTTCTGAACCACCAGCATCCACTAACTCCCGGCAATGCATTTGAGGTCGTCACTCCATCTAGTGGAGTCGTCGACACCGCGTTTGCCCGCACGGGGTCGCCACTCGTAAACCTTTCTTCCCCAACGGTTGTCGGTTCTTCGAGTTACATGACCAGCCCATTGGCACTTCAGCTTGCATATTCGTGCTATGTCGATTGGCATAATTATAAATAAATATGTATTTTGGATGAAGAACGACATAGGCTACTTTTTATATTAGTCAATCAATATATCCTGGTCAGAATAATGTGATATGGCAATAAAATTCTGTAATAATAACACAATGGTTTTTTTTGGAAAAGATTGCTTTATATTAGCTTTAGATAAGACCGCCTTTTATACTTTATAGTGTAATATTTCTTTTTTTTTTTACAACACAGGGGCAAACGAGCATGCGGCTCACCTGATGGTAAATGATTACCGCCGCCCATGGTCACCCACAACACCTATGGCATTGCAGGTGTGCTGCGGGCCTTTTATACCACAAAGATGGCAACACATTAATATACAAAATATACACAATGTACAGATTAAGTATACCGATGTGTGTGTAAGTGATCGCGTGAGAAAGTGAGTGACTGAAACAATAGGCGAATGAATGAATGGGTAAATGAGCAAGTGTGTGAGCGAAACATGGAGTGAGCGAGGAAGTGAGTGAGTAGTTGAGCGAGTGAGTGGGTGGGTGAGCGTGGTACCTGTGCGTGTTGCGCGGGTATGAAGAGCGCGTCCTGGCCATCTACGGTGACGGCCTGCATGGGCACGCCGCCCACCCCGCCAACACCACCCACGCCACCCACCAAGCAACTGCCGTACACGCCGCCCGCCTGTTGCTGCAATGTACATCTTACATATTATGTATGAGGCCTACTACTACTACAAGTATGAAGGTCTCGCCCTCTGCTATCAACAATAGACCTCTTTCGTTGCACACAAAGGCAGGAATGTGTAAGGCCTAATTTACATTGTCAAAGTAGTGGTATTAGAACTCGTTTCATGGCATTAATTTGAATAACAATTTTAGGCTAAACCTCGATTTTCATAATGTATGCTTTACTTTATCGACACCAAAACAATTTCATATTCAGAGCAATTTGTTAATAAAACTCGTGCATTTAATTTCGTTGTGTAAATATGAAATGAAACAAGAGTCAAGACAGCTTTCATGCTAATGGAGTCATGATCTGTGATATAACTAATAGGAAAAAAATTTTAAAACCAGTTTCAGGAAGTTAATTTACATTAGGAAACTAGTTTTTAATGATCTAAGTGATGTAGCCATTTTCCAATTATAGTAAATTTGTTCGTCATACTAGGCAAACATATATATATCTGGCATTTTCTATACAAGTCTTTTTAGTTGTTTGCCAAATAAAAATTAGGGTGTAGTTCTTCAAACAGTATGGTAAAAACCCGAATTCTGTTTCATAAACAGCATCATGAGTCTCACAAAATATACTATAACAGTCATTTGTTACCAATTCTAAGGCGTTTAAACTAACCAACGGTTGAAAAAGTACCCAAATTTCCAAATGTTTACAAATAAAAGTTTTCAATAAAAGTGTCTCTCCCGCCATGAACGACAATACAAAGATCTGACATATAATCCATAGTACAGGTCCACGAATTAAAAGCTACTAAATAAACAATGAAGAGTTAGGAGTTATATAATTTTCTTAAAATTATAATCTAGAACGAGAAAATTCCAGATAGAACTAAAATAGTAAACATAACTCTAAAACTCTGTACACTGAATTAGCAGTGGGCCGGCTACTCTTGTCAAGGCGGCAACAGTAGATGACTAGGATGTTTTATAGTGGAGACCACATACATGACCACAGAACATGGGGTACCTTCCATCTAGATAGATCGATACCATTAAAATAATCGGAAACGTATGAATGCATAAAGCAGAGGATTGTGCATAGCAGGAAGCATTGAGGAAAGCCTATAACTAGCAGTGGACAGATACAAGCTATGACAATTATGATGGTGTGATGATGATCACAATAGACCCATTCATAAAGCAAAATATAGAAATGCCCAGATAGAACAAAACGGTGTTATTTATCTATACATAGTCACATTCATATCTCATGTTTCAAATGAAAACACAGCCATACATAGGTCCAATTGATAATACTGGTGTATGATAATTTGTATAAATATGTATAACCAACATACCTGTAGCAATTGTGGGTGTATTTGTAACAACTGCTGTGGTGTGTTTTGGTACGTGGCGCCCTCTCCAGCCACCACACCGCCGCCTAGCAACGACTGTAGTTGCTGCATCGATATTACCTGTAATTTTTTTAAATATTTTTTAACTGACTACCAAAAATTGTTGGTAGTGTAACATTTTTAAAATATTTTATTATATTTATTTTTAGAAGCTATAATTTGCATTTTCAGCATGAATTAGGATAAAATTTATAAGTACCAAGTTTAATTAAAATTCGTTCTGCCATTTAATCGTTATTAAGTAAGAGATATCTAAACATCAGTACTCAAATGGACTTATCTCAAATAATTTATAGATGTCTTCCAGTAAATCCTGCAAGTGTTTGAAAGAAATTTGAGCTACAGATACACCTCATAATTGTTAAAAAAATCTCTAAAATTGTCATCATTTAATTTTCCTGACAAATCTGCAATTGTATTTTAATTCACTAAACAACATACAAGTAATGTTTATAAGTTACAATATTACATGTCACTGTATAAATTTTCTAAACGAACCTGCGGTTGAACTTGTATTCCATTTGGAACTGAATTAGCTGCATTCACTATCGCCGCAGATAACTCATTACCCTGAAATAAAAAAATAATCATGATATCAGCTGGTGAAGCAACAGTGATAGATTTTTTTAAATAAATTATAATGGAATGACAACCCTATCTAACCTAACAGCGCTAACAGTATAGGCTGGCAGGGCACCAATGAGAGATGTAAGGCAGGTCAATTATCCCACAGTAACAAATTTAATGAGATTAACCACAATGGTTTCCAAAGTCCACTTGTGGCTTGATCTAATAGAATAAATGAGCAATGGGATTGTTACTAATGGACATTTCCCATTACTAAATATACAAACCATGTCCCCTCATCTCCCTGAATCTTTGACATTAAATCATCAATACTCAATTGATATCCCGTTAGCGCAAGGCTAATTCCATTTTCATCTAATAAAAAAAACCCTGACTATAGCTGGGGCTAGGATGAAAAATTGTAGTCAACACTAGTGCGAGATAATATATTATGATAGATGCACAAGAGGAATGAATTTTTGACTTAGTCTATTGTAGTTAATTTCAACATAAACAAAACTGCACTTTCTCAACCATTAAAAAGGTTTAAGGTTATATTAAACTAAATACAGATTGTGATTGTTTTTCTTTTCAATAGTACCAGGGATGACCATATTTGCATCACCATAAACAGTGAATTTACAGGGCACAGAGGAATAACACCTGAGTCCTCAGGAATGGCAATGCATGGGAAGTATACTCTGTTATGTCCATGATACTGCTCATGTCTATAGGCCATGGTTACCACCATCCAGCAGGTGAGCCGTCACCTTGTTTGCCATTCTATGTTGCATAAAAAAAGCATATAATGGACTAAGATTCCATTTACTCACAGAGAGACCCTGTGCTCGTAGCTGCTGTACAACAGCTGAACTAATCACCCTCAGTTGTGGCTGTTGCTGTTGTTGTTGCAAGTACTGTTGCTGTATCGCCGCGATTGTTGCGGCGTCGCCCTGAACTTGCTGTTGTATGAGCTGAGCCTGTTGCTGTTGCGCTTGCTGCTGCTGCTGTTGCTGTTGCTGTTGTTGTTGCTGCTGTTGGGCTACCTGTTGTTGTTGCGGACCTTGAAATTATAACATGTCTATTAAATAACATGAATAATATTATTAACATGAATAATATAAAAAAATAAATTATATTTTTTATACATTTTATACAAAAAAAAAACAAAATGTTAATTGTTAATCTTAAATGTATTTTTGCATGCTATTTTACCTTGTTAGCTAAGCAGGAATGTTCTTTGACTAATGTAACATCTTTGACTTTACTGTGTTTAAGCAAATAAAGATATTATTATTATTGTTTAAAATATAACATTTATATTCCTAAGACTAATGAAGGTAATTAAAATTATGCCATTTTGATATTTATGAATTTGCTGTAAAGTGATTTAGTTCACCATAAGAAAAGTTTTTAAATAATTATATATTAGAATATTGTAAGACATCATACAAAAATTACTGCTACAAATCTAATGTGGTTTACACAATTGTGTTCCTGGAGGTCTAAATTAAAATCTGGTGTATATTTTATCTCGATACAGCATCTAGAAATAGTTGCCTACTTCCAAAATCCTTACCTCTGAAATTGGAGTCAAAAGCTACAAAATAAATAAAGACATTCTTTCATCATCATCATCATTTCAACCTTTACAACTGTCCACTGCTGAACATAAGCCTTCCCCTTGGAAGGATTTTGCCAGTAGCTGCTGGGCTTAGCAGGTAGATTGGCAACCACAGTCAGGCATTACAGATGTTTTAAGAGGGATGCTACTGCCCATCCCTCACCCTCCCTTAGTCAACTCTTATGACACCCACGAAATAGGAAAGGGTGACCTATTCTATGCCGGGACCACAGGGCCAAGATATTCTTTAACTTACTAAAATGTTGTTGTTGTTCTTTTTCTTGCTGCTGTTCAGGCCCCATGTTGGCAGCACCGAGCCTACTACACGTCGCTGCCAGTAAAGCCAGGGGCGACTGGGAGCCGCTTCCCTCCTGCATATGAAACCACACAAACATGTTAATTATGACAAAAGGAAACTACCTTTTAAAATATTTTTAAAAGGAAAAAAAAATTTAGGGTTTTTCCTTTCTTTTACAAAACTGTTAGAAAATAAAAATATTAAATTTATAAATCTAGTATTTTCATTATTTAATTTTAAGATTCTTAAATACATATTATCAAGTTGAAAAAAGTTATAACCTGTGTAAAAATAAGATATGCATTGCATACCAAACCTTACACAATATATATTACCACAGATAATATAATACTATATATTACATATATTCGAAAATTTAAGTAGGACTGGATACTATTTTACAAGGCATCTACTCTTTTCCATATTTATTATATTAATTGGTTATGAATATTATACGGTTATTATAGAAATTAATGCTATTCCACTCTGCTTCTATTCAACATAACAGGACTTTGCATATTTTGTTTTTATAATTAAATAATAAAAAAAAACTTGAGTAGTCGTTTGGTTTAAATAGGCAAGTAATTTAATGCATAGAATTCAGATTTTACATGTTAAAACTTTTATAAACTCTTCTTACTTTGTTCAAATTCAACAAGTAAACACTGCCAAAATATTATACCTGTGTGTATGAGTAAATATAGATCAGTGAGTAACCTTAGGGATGATTTCTAGATTGTAATTCATAAACACATGAGATAGCAGATATAAGATTATCTCTACCGGATCAGGTACCTATGTAAGGGACCTGCCCACCTAGTGATTATACTAATTTAATATACAGACTTAGAAGTTTATAATTCATAACAAAACAAATCTCTATGACCTAACTTCTAAATTCAAATTCAAAGTGTGTAAACTAGAAAGCATATTTAAAAATTATTTACTATATACAAATTATATTTGTTTTGGAAAAATTTAAAAGTATTTAATGTATTACTTTATTTAGTAATAAGCAAAAAAAAACATGATTATAATTTATAACTTATATGAATTAAAAATTATTTAATAGAGAATACAAGCGTTATAGAGGAAATATTAAAAGGGTCTTTCAAACAGATAAAAGATGAATGACTAGACTAACAACTACTTCATCGAATACATCAGGTACTGTTTTAGTTAGATACAATATAAAATAAATATAAAACATAACACCAACTTCTAAGTAATTTGCAGCCACCATTATATATTTATTCCTTTTTGTAATTTATAATTTAAATTAAATAAAAAAAAAACTGACATTTTCATTTTTTTAAAGGCAATTTAGGAAACATATTCAACCAATCATAGTATATCATAGACAAATCATTCGTTCATTTGGGCCAATACAAAAATAGGTGTCTATTAGGAAAATCAACAAGGATTCTTTAATTTTAATTCATGTGACATCACAAACATGTGATTGGTTGATTTTTGTCTCAAATTTTTTATATACTCATATTTAGATCTGCATGAGATTTACAAATATTAGTGCTAAAATTTTATGTTTACAACAATTTTCAGTTTATACAGTAGTTGGGAGTCGACACGCCTTTTCCTAACAAGTGCCGGGAGTCGTCGTACACAAGGCCGCTGCCGCCCTTTGATCCACCCACCTCAAATCGCGTGACTGTGATTTCGATGAAGTTACAAACTAGGCTATCTCCAACATATCAAACACGCTAATTGCAAGTAAGTGTTATACCATTTTATGCGTACCCTGCCTAACAGCATATATATTTATATATTAGTAATCTATAATTATGATGATTGCATGCCAATAAAATTGAATGCTTTGAACTAAAATGGCGTCTACCAAACATCGTTAATGATAGAATTTTAACTAATGACCTATACTAATATAGTACCTAATTATAGAGTGAAAGTAATCAACACATGGTCATTAAATAGCAAATGGGTGGGTAATACAATTAGAGGAGGACGCTGGTGCTATTTCGGCAAGGGAGTTACTTGCGACACGGTCACAACCTCCTGCGTGTGGCTTGACGGGCCCCACACGGCCGGGGCCGCACTCGCCCCGCCCTCCCCCTGCGACGACCGACACGAGACCACTGCCCGCTGGCGTCCAATCTGTTACACAATAACACTGTATCCTTTACACTTTTTACCTTGGTGGTTTTGTCCTCGTTAACGTATTCCACCTGCACTTTTGTGTGCTCAGACGACATCATCTGCTTTACACTTGCAAACACTTATTTTTCTTTGTTCACGTACAGAGCGCACCATCCTCACGACCGACCGCCAAACTGCGGCGAGCGTACTGACTGACGAAAGACAACGAACGCGCTCGGCATTGTTCGGAGGTCCGCCTCCTATCGCGGTCGAATTTGTTCAGATTTTATTCTATTTTATTACGTTTTTTTGTTATAATTGAAAAAATGAGTTAACAAAACCTTTCCTTTGTTAATAACTTACTTTATTCTTTAGTTGCATCTCATTTGAATCGAAAGATTACTTACATATTTTGCATTTTGATTTGTTTACTATTATTTCTGTCTCACTCTTCTAGAGACAGGTCTTGATTATTGGTAGGCAGCAGCTGTGCCTCTCTTCTCCTCCCCGTCGCGGGTGCGGCGCCGCCGCCCGATAATAATAATTGAAAGTAGGAAGGACGTAATAATGGGTGTATAACCTCGCGCCCGCGGCCTCCTTGGGCGGGCAAAAAATGCACACATGTCGTGTTGCTTGTCGCGCCAGCCGCATCAACTAACAAGACGTGAACTGTAAACAAACGATAAGGGTACGGTACTGCATTAACAATTCTTTGTTCACATGACTCCAAAGCATGACTCCATATCGTTATGACATGTTTATGTCTGAGTAGTTCTTATCTTTGTTGAATTGCGTTCACTACTTACGTCCACTCATTCATTTTTAGAACCAGTTTGTAATATAATATATTTCGTTTTATCTTGAAGTAAAAGAGCATAAAGGTAATATTTTGACACAAAAATCACTTAATGATTATTTAATTTGAGACGTCATGTTTCTTTTATCTTTAATTGTTCTTATCGGTCGATGTTACTAATGATGTTTTCCCTTAAATATTTGTCAAATACAGATAGTATTCAACTAATTATTTTCGCTTTTAAATCCGGCAATTATTATTTATACGATGAGACTGGTTCAAAATGAGAGTGAAAGTTAAGCCACGTTTTGTCAAGCGTCAGCCGCATCGCTCAGAGTCCATTATGCACGAATGAACAACCGCCCCGAGAGAGCGTGTGTCCCGGGCTTAATTATTTGCTTCAAGCTTTAAATGTCTTTGAACCTTAAGTTTATCACGTTAAAGTTGAATTTCCAATACAGTATTTATCTTAAACCAGTACACTCGAGCAAAGCGTGTTTTGTTTGATACTTTACTAATTTGAATCTTATTACAATTAGCTATAGCGTTCAAATATTTTCTCCATTGATTATTTAGGATATTGTTCGCTATGAATAAGTCTATTATGGGTGTACCTCGTGGCGCGGTGGCACGGTGTGGCGTGGCATGCGGTACTCGAGTGATGCATATTGTTTGCGTATTAGAATTTTTTAAGTCTGTGAACAGTACTGATGAAATCATCTTTGATCGTTGTTTTCGGCTCATTCGTAGTTAAATATTGTTTATTTCTTTTTTGTTATAATATTTCAATTACAAAACTAGTTCGTTCTTATAATATAAATATATAAAAACTAGATTCAAAAATATAATAAGGTTCGTACCTGCCTAAAACCAAACACTAACCTTCTAATATCATATTCTAACGTATTTAATAACTGGAAAGGTTACTCATAAAACAAGTTTTACGTACATAGGTATGCATGGTTTTAAGAACACTTAAAAGTAATCAAGATTGATTATTTGCTCTACTTTTTTAAGCTTTAGAACCTATTGACCTATTTATATCTCCTGTTCTTCTGGTTTCTCAAATACTCACATTTTAGGTTAACACTAAACAATTCAAGTCAATCAGTTAAATAAATGCAACGTAATTGTTTACTTATTTTTGTCTTTTAAGAACATAAAATAAACCTACCCTATATTAACTTGACGTATACCCCAACCAGCAATTGTAATTCTATAGTAGTTTTAGTTAGTAGATGTAAGTACCTATATTAATCGAAATTATATCAAATTTTTTCTTAATCATGTAAATATGTATACCTAATCTATTTCAATTCAAGGGATCTGTACAAGACACTTTTCAGTGCACCAAGAACTTAAATTATCAGAAAATATTACATCTTATTTATCTTTCCTATATACTCCGCAATATAGGAAATAATAGATATCTAAGGTAGTAATAGTATCTATGTGTATAAGGTAATAACACATACATATTTTGACGGTGAACAGTAAATGAATGATTTCTTCATATCCAGGTAAATTACATATTTTAATGATTAAGATTAAATTTTTTTTTTTGTTTCTTCAACATAATTACAAACAATCTCTGCCAATAACAATGGGATCTAAGAAAAGGATTTTACATTGTAGTTTATCTATCATTTTGAAAATATGAACGTGGGATTTGATGACAATTCATAGCTATGGAAAAGGAAGTTTAAAGGCTTGAAATGTTACAATTATCTAATTTCTGTGATCTTATACTATGGTCGGAAGGCCGTAGGGCTCTTGGACTGACGGAAGCGGAAGTAACAGTGGGCGGACCGGCCGCCCGTACCACCCGCCCCCGTAACCAGACACGCCCTAGTTCTCACGAGTCATTCTGCATCTTAAACTAATTAATTAATATTCATTCATATTCCCAAATATATATCTAAATCACAATTTCATAGAGTAAAAGCAAAGAACTGAAATCCACAATAAAGCATTATACTCAAGTAATCTATCTACAAATCTTTTTGTTCGGACTTCGATATATAATATTACCTTGTAAAATGGTTGAATTCAGCAGAATAGCAATAAGTTATTTGGAAAGCGTCCAGTAATTTTTTTTTTAATGTTTTGCATATTGTGATCCCTAAGCAAGCGAATTGGGAAACTATCAAGCTTCCTTAATGGTAATTATAATAAATAAATAAATAACTTATAGGGTTAAATAACTTAGACTTTCTACCACGGTTAAAGCATTACCAGTAACAGTGGTATACCTCATGGTCAGATACTTAAAAGCAAATCCATTCCCCTGTTTTCAATTAAAAATAATACATGCGTATATGCATTTACAATAGAATTTTCATCATGCCTCCGATCAAACTGTTAACAATTACCCTACTCCATCCAAAGGTTGCCTGGAAGAGATCGCTTTTAGCGATAAGGCCGCCCATTGTTTTCTCACTGTGATCATTTCTTGTAATTATTGTATGTATCTATCTACAATAAGTTTACTACTGTAATCTTTTGGAGGAAATAACAAAGAGTATCTATCTGTCTATATATATGGAAATTAAAAATAATTAAAAATAAAAATATATATTATTTTGTTCCACAAACAAACGCCGAATTAAATAGTGGCAAAACTAGTTATTTTAATATAATAATTAGGAAGATTTTGGTAACTTCTATGGGATTTTCAGATAAATAAAAAAAATCAATTTTCCGAATCAATTTATAAATGCAAAAATTATGAAATAACAAATATAAAAAGGCTCATAGGCAGTATATAGCCCTTAAGTCTAAATCGAGGCTTTACTTTCCTTTGTGTATTCTACCGCTTGTAAAACTGATCATATTTTGAGGAAATGTTTATAATTATGCCTACGGCCACCTTTTATCGTCGCATTGCTCGCTATCGACAGTGAATTCATCCTTACATCCTTGAACTTAAATGATCACTTACAGTGTGATTTAAAAAGAACTTTCTCTTGCGAACACTTAGGAGTGGAATGTAGAATGAGGTCCCTGACGAGGTTTTCTCTGGAGACTACAGTATGGGGATTTCGAAAAAGATATATTAATGTTTCTTCAAGGTCAGCAAATGACACCCATAGTATTGCAGGCGTCTATAAGCTACAATAACCGTTTATCATCAAAGGGGCTGTATGCTTGTATGCCACACTCGTGATATTAAAAAAATGCAACCTTTTTTTAAACTCTGTTAAAATATCAGTTGTTACCTAAGGTAACACAACATTACTTTCTGTAAAAGAAATCACTATTTACATATATATATATATTTGATGCTATGTTTTGTAAGCAAGTTTTTTAGTTTTCAGTTATGTCTATTATTCTCATTAAGGCTATCAGCCGCTATTGCTCACATAAACCTATCATCAAATAGAGATATTCTACTAATTTCTTATTTCTTTACACAAACAATAATACCTCGACTTACACTATTCCAGTATACGCCAACCCAGAGTTACACGATTTTAAAATTTTGTTGATTCTATTGTTTGAACGCTACACAATTCTCAATTACTCCTTCCATATTATTTTTAATTTTTTTTTTCGTTCACATGCTGATTTCGTGTTGGGATAAACATCAGGCAATTAAGAGTTAAACCTGCTTCACAGCATATTGGCTTATTGTGTAAAAATGGATCACCTGATTATATTAGGATTATTGTACAGCTAATGTGCATATTGGGACATACACGTTCGGAATATTGATGTAATTTAACTAGGGCACAGGAATACTGTCTATTAGCCAATTCCCAAATGTCTAAATTTTACATTGTCTGTACAAGTAATATTAGTATTTACCTATTCATGAAAATTGATAGAATTATATAAGCAACAATGTATTCCTTAGCAAGTCGAGGGGCACAAGAGTAAAGCATTACAGCTGCTATTATTATGCGCGATGCGTACTATAGCATAGTGCTGGTGACACGTGGCATTATAGCAGTTTTAAATATTAAAAATCTTATTGAATAAGAATTTTTGAGAACTAAACCGTTATAATAATCAAAATTGAAACTACGTCATTAAAATATTTTACTAATTCTTCATAACGTGTTCTAGTACCTATTTATTTTTTACTTATGGATTTACTATAAATGGTTTGCTAGTTAGTCAGTTAATTAGTTAAATAATTTATCTATACTCATATAATATTTTTTTATTGACTGAAAATACTATTATGGTATAATCTGTAGATACTTATAATCCATTTAGATACTTCATCATAAAACTTTATATCTAGGTTAGTGAGCAGTTGTACCTATTTATTCAAATAAAAACAATTTCAGAGACGATCCATAGCCCTAAATTTTTACCCTCTTAAAAAGATTAGCTAATAATGTTTTTGACCATTGAATTAAATGAAGCAATTTAAGGATACTCAATGTTTTTCTATATTTTTTATTAAGCAATTATATAGATATTATTTTCAAGGGCATCCTTGAAAATCCAACAATAGTCATAAACCTGATTTTTATAGACAAATATACATATAGATATACATTACCTTCATGTCAGTCTAATTAAAAAATATACTTTGTGGGCTCAGCTTAGCTACAGTATTGTCAAGTATCATTTATTTGCAAGCATTTCTGTTTTATTGGTCATCAACTTCCCAAGCTACAAACTCTAAGCGTTAATAACTATACCAGCGATTAAAATTGTTGCGTTACTTATGCATGCTAATGGTTAGCATGCATAAAGGTAGAAGTCTCGTAGATATAGATATAAAAAAATATTTACGTTATACTTGCTTATTCAATTGAAAGTTACAAATTTCAATTGAACATTATCTAAAAGTAACAATATAATTTAATTTAATTGTATTTAAATCTGTACTTATTATAAATAATGCTGTAATAGACAGAATAGCTGCTTACTTCTTATAATTAAATGCATAAATTTTTACTACACATAAATGATTACACAATTGCAACCATCAATTAATAGAAGTAATTCTAATCTTAAATAAGTATCTTCATACATTTTTGAATTACTAAAATATTTTTAGGTATTGAAATGAAAAATAACTACAATTGCATCTATGCAAGCTTCAACTATTTAAATTATTATAAGAACGCGGAAGAGAAGCGCCCACCCACCGCCCGCCCGCGTCATCTGTTCGCGGGCAATCGCGGGGGCGTAACCGCCGCCCTACGCCGCGCCCGAGCCAGCGTTACATTGCAACTTTTTCCCGCCAGTTGGTCCAAGCAACCGACCGTATTACAAGAATTCTGTTAGTTAACTAACACTATATTATTTTTATTATTCCGAACTTAATTAATAATATTATCAATAATAATGTTACATACATATATACATACAAGCTGTTTGATAAAATATGTTTTTCAGATCCATTTTACAATATTTTTACATAAAATATCTACTGTCGATATTATTTTTACATCAAAACAATAATTAGTTTGTCTGTACTCGTTGATAATGATGACCCTAATTAGATTTTATTTATTTACCCTTCTTTTCTATTGTTTCAATGTAATTATAACAAACATACAAAAATCTTAACAAATAATGACACGTTAATCATATGATAATAAACTTGTCTATGGTTTTATTTTTTCTTTTGGCTAAATCGAATGAATGTTTGTTCAATTCATTCATTCATAATGGTGGTAGAACTGCTATATTATTTTGTTTTATTTGAAATTACCGGAACCTTTATTTATAAGTAAAAGGGAAAGAATACGTTTTCGACATATCCACGTACTTAGTTATTACTTGTTCTGTGATATTTTCAAATACGAGTAAATAAATTAGTTGCAATATAAACGACTTTGAAGTTCATATAATTAAAAAATCATCTCAAAATATAGTGTTTTTGTCATGGTCAGAAAATTTAAACGTTCAACTACAAATGTTCAAGATGCAACAAAATTTCGTCGTATTTCAAACTGGGTATTTATCACCTCATTATATGCTAGATTTTCCATTAGCGCATCTGTAACTAATGGATAGGTACTAGAAAAAGTAAAGTCTAGCGAGATTTATCATTTAATATGACTGGCAATACTTCTGTAGTATAAATTGTATTGTTTTTTTTTATGTGTTTCTGTGGCTTAGTGCATAACTGAAGTAAATTGTTGGAAATAAATTGATATCCACTCGTGCTCGTACCATATTTGTGACAACGTGCTAATGGAAACGGAAATAATATGATACTTACGTTGACATAAAACCTTAGTCGTCAGGAATGGCAATATATAAAATATGACCATGTATAATGTGATCTTCGCGGATAACAATAACTACTTACTTTTTATCAAGTGGTCCGTCAGCTTGTTGCCATTATAGTTCAAAATTCAGGATATCTGAATTACATAAAAAAGTATAATATATTTGTTGTATAAGTTCGTTCATCACTTGGTACACTTGTTACTGTACGTAACTACAAAGAAATGTGAAATTTTTTGAGGTGTTATTTTCGTCGAAATAGGACAATGGACAGTGCAAGAATTGCCTAGACGTCACTTTAGAACACCGCTCCGAGACAATACGTATCCTGTTTTTTTAAATTTCGACTTTATGACGAATATAATAATATCTATTTTACAATAATATGACATAATTATCCAACGACGATTTCGGAAATATACAGTTGTTACTAGGGTTATTTTTTTTTAATGGATGACAATGGAATATTTGCTCTGCCTTCGCTAACGGTATACTCGGGCGGGGCACCAATGAGGGATGATAGGTGACGATGAAACGGCAGATCAGTTAACCCATCGTGATGAATATACCAGGACATTAGCACGATGGTTAATACTTTTGATAGTAAAGTGTGCTATTTTACATAGGTACATCTTAAAGCCAAATTTAAAAGATAGTTGCTATATCGCTGAGTGAGTTGAAATTTGAGTTAATTAAATTTACTCGATTCTCTGCTTTCTACACAACTAATCTTAGTTGAATATAGTTATATTGAGAGTTACGTTTAGTCCAGTATTATTGACCTGATTTTACAGCTAGTTATTATACTACTATTAGTTTTACCCGCAACTTCATCCGCGTAACTGGTATATGTTTTTTGACCAGCATAAAAGTAATCTATTTCAGCCGTTATTTGTCCACTATTGAACATAGGCCAATATTGTATCATCATCATCATCATTTCAGCCATTATCCGTTCACTGTTTAACATAAACCTCCACCATAGACTGCCATAAAGAACGGTCCTGAGCCACCTGCATCCACTGACTCCCTGCAATTCATTTCAGGTCGTCACTCCATCAATATTGTATACCTGTCTAAAATTTTATGAGCATTGACTAAATCGTTAAAGGCAGCAAGTGTTTATTTTTTTTTTTATACTACGAATATGAAATTCAAAAATGTTGACTGCCTAAAGTGATAAGCGTTGTCTATAAACATGGACAGCATCATATATGTACATCGTAAAATACGCTAATGCCCATAGTACCCACATAGCTATCTCTAAGAACTTTCTATACCTGCAATTTCTCTGGCATATTCCTCCTTTCAAATCGAAACACAGCATTATAAACAAGCAAGCTGCTTCACAGCAAAAAAAGAAGTGGGTAAGCAAACAACCTAAGCAGACGAATTTTGTACGAACTATCGCTGTATTAAAAGAAAACAAACAACAACAAACTCACTTTCAATGGTAAAAATTTAAAATTAGAGCATTTTTAGTTTTTTAACTAAACGCTCTACTACTACTATACTCATAGATATCGCTTTAGAATATATAATAAGGTAATTAATAATAATGATGATGATTACGGTACATCATTAGGCCTTTGATTTGTTACCAGTCTCCACTGATATATCAAGCCTAAAGTATTGCTTGTTATTAACGAGTGAAAGAAATATTTTTAGAAACAATTATAAGTCGGTAACTTGTTGACATATTTTTTTTTATCTCAACTTGGTTTAATAGATCCTTACTAAGAATCACAGAACGTTTTACTGAGTTATTGCTTTTTATAGTTGTTAATTCGATTCAAACCAATGAAGCGGCCGCGGATAGTGTTACTCTATTGCTGTCTGAAATTGTTTACTCAATTCGACGCATAGTTAGAGTTAGCAAGCTTGGAAAGCAATGACGCAGCAGTACTAAATGTTTACGCTTACTAAACTAGATGGCGCTGATTATATTCAGTCTTGGGTGGAATTAATATGAGTATTAATTTAATGAACTTTTCGCACGCCAATACAAATGTACTCTGTGAGTTTTTTTAATGTATAATAATGGAATGGTAACCCCGCCTGCGCTAGCGGTATACACTGGCGGTGCATCAGTGTGAGATGATAGATGTGGATGAAGCAGGTCAGTTAGCCTATCGTGACGAATTCATAGCATGAATTTACAGGGTACAGAGGAATAACACCTGAGTCCTCAGCAATGGCAACGCATGGGGGGTATCATGGGCGAAACAGTATGTGTGTGTACTGTTATGTCCATGGTACTACTCATGTCTATAGGCGACGGTTATCACTTTCCATCAGGTGGGCCGTCAGCTTGTTTGCCATTCTAAGTCGTATAAATAAAAAAGGTAGCAACTGTCAATTGTAGGCATAAAGATCATCTTAATATGGAATAAACTGTAACACTCATGGCATCCCTCAATTATAATGTCAGATTAATTTGTTTTCTTTTTCTTAGGAAACAAATTTTATAAGTTAGGAAATATGTTACAACAGACCTTTAAGGTTATATAGGTAGGTAATTAAGTATTAGGCGAGTTAGTGAAATAAAGTACAACTATAATATCGACGTCAATTTATTGCACAATTGAAAATATCATCCATTTCATACAGAATGGTCTATATTATAAAGATAGTTTAGAAAAAGTTTAATATTATCTTCTAATCAGACCATAAGAGATATAATAAACCAGACAAAAATAGCACTCTTGTTCTTATAACTGATTATTTTTATTATACATTAGGTATTTTTGTATAAATTTATTATTTAAATTACATTGTACTTACATTTGTTTAACATGATTGCATGATTGATATAACAAAATGAATTTAAAACAACAACGCGTAATAAATATTACATTAAATATACATAATTACAATGAATAAATTATAACATTTAACGATAACCAAACCTCCGTTATGTATATGAAATTAATTATTTAGTCATTTTAAAGTCGGTACATGACTGAAGAATGACGTCCAATTTAAGTCATAGATGTCGTTATTACCCGGGATGTACTAGTATTACAATATTGCAAAAATATTTAGCTATAATAGCGGTATATAGTGTTTTCTTGGAATTTCTTTTTCTTTACGAGAATTTAAACATACGGCCTGCTTGGTTGCAATTAGGAATGCCAACTGTGATTTATCTTTTTTAGAAACTCCGAACCTGAATCCTCATCACTTCAAAAATGATACTACTTATAAAGCAACGCAGGTCCGCCTTTACTCAAAATGTCAGGAGGAATATTTTACTATTTTACAAACAATGTCCTTTAGATAGAATAAAAATGGACTTAGTGCCATTTAAAACAAGACTCAATATAAATATCAATAAAATATTCGTAAAAGACCTAATATAAATGTCGTTAAGTCCAATTTTATTTCTAATCGTACGCTATATTTAGGGATATAAATAAGCGAAAATTAAAGTGTAAATTATGTTGTTGGTTCCCCGCTCAGTTGAAAAGTATTTATTTAGAACCATTGGTAAAAAAGATAATGGACCCTCACATAATCACAATATGTATAAATTGGTGTTTTGTTTGTTAATTTGTGCCGTGCTCCGATAAATTATCGCCCAATAAATATCGCATTTAATACAATTACATAATTTTAAATATTTCCACCTTTATTTTAGTACAGTCAGCCTAAAATAATGTAGACAAGATTTTTAAAACGTTAGTAAATATCACAAGTACAGGAATACTTGAATTATTTTTTTATAATATTTATATCCTCTTAAAGAAATAATTGATATGATAAATATATTTCTAGGTACAATATACTAGTATTAGAAATTAAATAATTTATGAAGATGTTCGTTAGGAAATCAATCACCCATATACACAATTGAATAGATCAAATGAAATTTGATTTATCATGTTCAGGATTACATTAGATGTTTCAATCGATAATAAAATATCAGAAATGTTTATGACTCCTTGGTCACCTATTTAATATGCATATTATCTAGCAAACTGTACATAGTTTCTAAGGGAATAAAGGCTAGGATAAGAATGAAGCTATATTGTGAGTACTGGTGAGGTGTTTTAATAAATAAATTTAAAAAAAAAAGCTAAATAAACTGACGTGGCAACAATTGAAAATAATTAACGTTTGTGTTAGTTAAAATAAAGAGAAATACTAATGGGCAGTTCGTTGGATGTATTTTACGTTTGAACAACTAATTTGTTGTAGTGAATTCCATTTATCTGAAACAAAATATTATAAATATTAAATAAGTAATACCTATTGCTATAAATAAATAATACCTACCTAATACCCATTAAGAGTACCTTACTGTATTAATATAACATAATTTAATAAATAATATAATTTATACAACATGGAATGTAATGAGTGCATATAGAGCAATCCCACGAAAATATGTAAAAAAAAAACTCATCAATTTTCAATAAACTCTAGTCGCGAAATATGAAAATATTTTTTAAACTTTCAAATCGCACGTGAAATTGAATCATGAATTCATTTATTGTAAAAATAAAAAAAATCCTATAGTAACCGTTTACCATCAGAAAATATACTTGTGTTTTCAGAGTAAAGCTCATTACAAAATGTTGTGCAGTTTCATCAGTATATATACTACATTTTGTTACATCTCATATCATTATTATTTTAACCGATGATTATTCAGCCCCTATAGATTGTCATTAATATATTTTTCCTCTCTAAAATACATTGTCGTGATTTGTCCATCTAGTCGCCTCATATAATCTCTTTGGAATGAAAGAGAGTGATGACATATTTTATTCCTACTCCGTCACTATACAGAGATTAAGCAGGCATCTTATTTTTAAAAGTTTCCTGAGTAAAAATTATATTTTAATATAATAATTACCGGTCTAACTTACGTGTAAATTTGATCTAGAAATCTCGAGTCAAAACCGCTCAAGATAAGGGTCTCAAATGGTCCTGAAACTAGTCGAGCTTTCTCGATCAAATTACTCGTAAGTTAAATCGGTAGCTACTACATTAATCAGGTATTTGTTAATAATATATTTACAAATACTGAACGTTTAAAGTACAGGTAAAGCAGAAGTATTTTCGTAACTACAGGTTTAGGATAGCTCACCATTGTACTAAAATGCTTGCTTACAAGCCACCACCGCTTCTCTCTACTGTGATCTTCTTATTAAGAGCTTCCTTCTCGTGATGCTCCTCTTCCATCTCCGCCATTCGAGCGAACCTAGAGTACGCTACATGGCCTGATTTGATCGCTGACATCATCTGTGAAACATTTAACATTTGCTAAAGATATATAAATACATTTTGTTATTTAATTTTTGTACGTAATATTGTATCAGGTAAAACAAGCGACAGGCAGTGTTTTAAAACAAAATCAACAATCACTGTTACTTAGTTATTAGAAAAATTAAATAGCTACTTTGATTAAAATGTTTAAGGATTTAGAGATTAAAGCGATCCTATGCGATAATAATATTAACTTTAATTTTTTTTTTAATTTAATTTTGATTAAGTCTTATGACTCAAAACCGATCGTAATCAAATATCAAAAATGTACAAATAATACCATCACTGAAGCGAGACAGAAGATCACCTTCAATATTCATTTCTAGTTTTATGACTAGGTACTATATTAAAAATTAATAAGTTAATAATACGCACTTAAGTAGTTATAATTAATAGCTAATTAAAAGTTAATTAGTAGTACCTATAGTTAGTAAAAAGTCAATAATGTAATGATGAAATGGTGTGTAAGTTAGATATTGTAAATAACCATTGTCAATAAGAACAGTACAGCAAATTGGTATGTATTTAAAAAATAATATAATAAGAAGCAAACAAACAAGGGATTTTAAAATTATAGATAGGTATAGACCATAGCAGTTACGAAAACGTAGATAATGTAATTTAACTTAAATATAATGCCCATTCATGCAATTGAATATGAATATGCTAATGTATTAAAATGCAAATTTCAAGCTGTTATAGGGAGTTTTTTTTTTTTTTTTTTATAAGGTTTATTAATTGAATCAGTCACAATCAGAAATATATGAATAAATCAGTATAAGTAAAAATAGTTTAAAAAAAAATTGGAAAATTCTTATCCTTTACATAGTTACTAAGATAAAAAACTAAAGTCCATCATCTTAGTTCATATATTTCTTTTATTATTTTTTTTTTATTTCCCGGCATAGACAATGAAAATGCAAGTTTTGTTGCCAGCCAGGTTTAGATATGGACCTGCAGATATTCGTCGAGTTCGACTTGTCCGTTCATGTTAGTGTCGATTTCTCTCAATATTTCGTGCAACTGTTCACCGGTCACCTCCTCGCCGTAATTCTGTGGACATAAGCTTGGACTACAACAACTACGTATGGACATGAACATGACACACTGTTACTTGGAACGCTCATTATGCATTCTTTTTTCTTATATAAAACCCATAAACCCTCTTCTTTTTCATAAAAATGTCAATCATCTAATAAACCTGTTTTAGCTATTAAAGTGTTTTGTGTTTTTTATTACGTAAAATTCTCAAACTAAAAAAAGTGACTAAACACTTAATTAGGTAAAATAGGTTTGACGGGATTTCAGTTTTTATGAACAAGGAGATTTGATATGAGTTTACTCATGCAACCAAATTAATAAGTTCAAAATCACTGCTACAATATGGTAATTACTTAGGATAAAAATGAAATACTTTATTATTTAATTATCCACTGAATAAATTTACTTGTTTTAGTTTGATATTAATGGTCGTTTTAGCGAAGCTCTTATTTAAACTGGAGGCATTGAGTGTTCCATGCAACTGTGTTGATAAATATACCCACATTAAGAAACATACATATATGCTCTCTTCAAGTTCAGACCACAAGAACGGTTTTTTAATAAAATTATAAAAGTAAACAGTAATATTTTCTTTTTCATTTTAAAACTTGAAGCAAACACATAATAGAAGAGACCCAGTCCCAAACAAATCTAGATGACATCATTCCCATGGTGAACATATATCCAGACCCGGTAGGTTCACCATCAAAGTTCTACCTGTAGGTAGTCCTGTATTTCTAGCTGACCATTGTAAGTGACGTCTATTTCTGATAGAATTGCACTGATCTCCTCTTGACTTGGCGTCAGACCCATACTCTATAACATTTTTTATCATTAACAATAACTGTATACCTAATATTTTCTTTTAAACCTAGAATATTATTCCATTACAGACAATTTAATACTCATGAAACTGAATAACTTTTAAAATTAAATAAATAATTATAATTTTGTGGTATTCCAAAATTTACCCGCGTAAATTAGAAACTAGACGCCTATAAGATATTAATCTAGGCTTTATCACTATTAGTGTGAGTATAATTTTTTTTTCAAGATATTTAAAATATGTTCATTGTTTAAGCGTTGTACCAAAATTGTACCAAATTCTATAAAAAGTCGTTCAATTTCACAAGTATTTACATATATATAAATGTTATTGCTGTGTTTCGATTTGGTACAAATTCCATTTCATTTTGTATACATGAGCAGTCATAAAAACAAAACAATTTGAACTGTTACAATGCCTTTGCTTTGTTTTTACTAGTTTTTAGGGATGGAACGGCATTGCGTTGACTACGACGTCATTTTATAGTCATTTTAGAGTAGCGACGCTAAAATGACGAAAGGATGACGTCCTTATAAGGTCGCACATATCATCATGTAACCTAGGGAAAAGTAATTTTCGTTACTAAAAAATATCGACGTTTTTTTTTCACTTATTATATTTCGCTGGTGAAATTAAGTTACCTTGAGACTTCTTCTAATATCGTTTATAGAGACGAATCCTTTCCTATCCTTATCAATGATCTGGAACCTCTTGATGTATGTCTGGATCTCAGCTTTGCTGAGGTTGATCGGTATCTTGTCGCGGCTGGCGCGGTTCACCATTTGTCCCATCTCGTTGGCTAGAAACTCGCTCGCCGTTTTAATTTGACGCTGAAATCAATACATTAGATTGTGAAGCACTTATTTTGAAGGTGAAAATTCATTGTTAGTTATATTCACTATAATAATAGTAACCAATAAATATCTCTATTTATCCCTTCAGAAATTACCCTAATGAGCATATTTATTTAGCGATAAACAATTAATATCGTTCTGTAATATTATTATGTCTAAAACCTTTTTTTTTTTTTTCAATTGGCAAAATATTAGATATAATATTATTTATCTATGTTAGTACTTTTAAATTGTTAAACAGTGAACGCTCTATATAACAACCAATTTCAATAAAAAAATTTCTTATTGGGAAAAGTTGCTTAAAGGGAAAAAAGGAGTATAAAAATACTTACTCTGTCTGGAAAATATTTATACTTATTTCTTTTACTAACTAAGCTGAGTAGAATAACTAAAATACAAAAAATGTTGCTTATAGAGAAGTTGCTTATATAGAGCGTTCACTGTATTTTAAATTGTGCTGCATTGTAATTGGAATTAAGTTTATTTTTGTAACAACGGTATGCGATGTACGGTGTGTATTAATAAATAAAAATAAAAAAAATAGTAGTAATGAGAAATGATACGTACAGCTTTTTCAGCCTCGCTCCATTTGAGCTCCTCAGCCATTATTTCAACGACTGCAGGCAGAGCCTCGGCGGCGGCCTGAACATTGAGGAAGGCGAGACGCAGTCGCCGCGCGATCATGTCTACAGCCGTACACGCATACTCGCGAACACCATACCTGCAAACCACGGTAACAGCCTCGTCATATATGCATGCTATTAGTTCTCTATCCCTACCAATAGTGCCGATAGGAATATTGCGGAGTGCTAACTTACTATTTTTTACATTTTAACGTTCATCGTATTGATTTGTACATAAAACAATAAACTTCGACCATACAAGAACCTCGTTTAGTTTAGTACCGCATCCTACGTTGATATTTGGTATTGCCAAGTATAATTGTGTTATTGTAGGTGCGTAAGCTATTGTTTTATTTGTTAAACAAAACATAATTTTATTTCAATGGAGAGAAAATAAAAAAAAAACCGGCCAAATACGAATGGAAAATATATATTGAGGTTTTCGTATATAAATTAATCTGATTTTAAATTAATTTTGTTCTTAATAAATTATGATAATTTCAATTATCACATGAACGACATCGTAGGGACAGCCACAAAGAATAATCGACGAATTACATTAAAGGACGACCTTCGACTTTTATACCATACAGTGGTCATCTGCAAACCTTTGTTATCGTATCAAGGTTTGACCTTCGTATAGCAACGATATTTTGTGTGTTATCAGCTTCTGCGTATATAATTAGATTTTAATTTTTAACTTATACCTATTTTGCGTGTTATTAATTACTAATTAGCTCCACAATGTCTACAAAATTTATCGAAATAATTATGACAAATAATTTGGTAGCTTGATAATGCAAATAGACTTATATTTGTATTTATATTACAATAATAGGATTCAATAAAAATGATCGTAAGAGAACTAGGAACTTTCCCTTAAATACTTAGATAGAAATAGTGGCATGGAAACTAAACACAAAAAAAGTCGAAATACAAATACTAAGAAGCGGTTTTCCTAAACACCACAAGGTTACACGCCGAATTAAGCATGTAAGGCTCAAGAATGTCGACTAATTTTTTTAGGGTTATAAATATGTACTATTTTTTATTTTCGGAGATTTATAGCTACTCTTATCTAATGTGACCTCTATGTCTACTACTAACCTAATTTCAGCATCAATATATGGGAACTCTGGGTGAATTTTCTTGCCAATAATTGGCCACCGTTTGCCCGTCATCGCGGCCATCTTAGCGACAGCGAATGCTCGGTCACCATATGATTTAGCTAAATGTTGTGCTACCTGAAATATAAATAATGATTCGCTTATTAATAACCAATTATATAATAATAACATTATTAATAATTATTATAAATTACAATTTAATCTAATTATCTTATATCTAAATAATCACTAAGTAATAACAAAAATGTTCATGAGACATTTTGCATTTCTCTCCATTTCAATACTTACTTCCATTTCCAAACCAAAGTCCTGTACTAATCTAATGTACATAGTGGGAGTCCATCCATGTGCGCCCTCTATGAGGAACCCATCAGTCTGGCACTCGCGGTATATGGGCTTCAGATTTGCACCTAAAAATATATTATCAAAGATGTCAAAAATCAAATCGTTGCTTATATAAAATATTGTTTTTACAATAATTATATTTAGTTTAAGGAGGTTTCGAGATGGAGGTTTTTTGTTACGGTACGTGATAGTTATCAAAACAATTTACCAGAATTTACTTTGTACAAAAGTTGTTTGCTTAGGCACCTCTGTCCCATTCGTGTCTCTACCGTGAAGCAGTTACGTTTGCATGGCTGTGTTTGAAGGGTGGAATATGGCACTGCTCATGTCTATAGGCGATGGTTACCACTTTCCATCAGGTGGGCCGTCAGCTTGTTTGCTATTCTAAGTTGTATAAAAAAAAAAAAAAAAAAATATGGCAGTGAATTTACAGGGTACAGAGGAATAATACCTGAGTTCTCAGAAATGGAAACGCATGAGGAGTATCATGAGCGAAACAGTATAAATTGTTATGCCCATGGTACTGCTCATGTGTATAGGCGACGGTTACCACTTTCCATCAGATGGGCTTTCCGTCAGTTTGTTTGTTATTGTAAGTTGCATAAAAAAACCAATTCTGAACCAATTCTGTAATTTTTTTTTGTTACTGTGTTTTATTACACGTAACCCTTTAAAAAATTACTAGCAATGTAGTTAATCCGAAATAATAATAATAACAACCTAATAACAGTGGTAGGATTTTAATACTCAATGTCGAATGTTGTCGAACGTTCATTACAACAGCAATTGTCGACATAAAAACTACTCCATTAGGGATTATAGTCCTGATATATTTTAATATGGAAAAATCCCATGTCACGATAGTCGTTCACACTAATCTCCGAAAACAAAACCGATCGAACAATTTTAATGAAATTTTGTAAATATGTATTGTTTAGTCTGACTAAAGAAATGTGATAGTTTTCCCCCGATCAAAAAAAGAGGACTAGGTATTGGTAACGGACAAAACAACATTTGCCGGGTCAGCAAGTTTTCTCATAATTATAAATTGAAAGTAATTAAAAAAAAAAAACAAAAATTACTTGGAATATCCAAAAATGATGACTGTTTTCTGTATAATTAGCCCCTAATTATCTAATTTATTATTTTATTTTTAATTTTTTTACTAGTGATTAATAAACATAGGTCTCACTCTTGATGGCCTCGTCGATGGTCTCGGCGGCCATGGAGCGGTATGTGGTCCACTTGCCGCCAGCGATGGTGACCAGGCCGGAGGGGGACACATGCACCACGTGGTTGCGCGCCAGCGACTGCGTGTCTGGCTTGTTGGGGTCCGACACCAAAGGTCGGATGCCTGACCACGCGGATAGCACGTCACCGCGTCGAACTGTCACACGCGTCATAAATTATGTATAGTTATTAGTACTTATACGTATTTTATAATCCATTTCAGGAAAGGACTATATATGTATATATATGACCCTTCTTTCAGGGTAAAATCATTAACATCATTCTTAGAGGGTGTTTTATCATTAATACTGAACATTTGTTAATTTTGTAATTTTTGGACAATTATTATTGGTAATTTTGTTACTTCATACTTTTTCTGTTTTATTGTAAACTTGTTTTATGATATCTTCTTATTACTTATAAAAAATATTCAACACAATGCAGTATTGTAGCAAATTTTTCCTAAAGAAACAACAATAATATATTTTGTCTCTTAAAAAAACATCGATTATGTAAAGTACATTTTAGAATCAAAATAATTGGTATTTTGATTTAAAAAATAAGCTACTGAACAGATTTTGATAAAATTTTATTAAGAATAATCTGAAAATGCAACCTTTCAAATAAAAAAAAAGTTTTTTCAAATCGATTTATAAATGAGTAAGTTATGAGGTAATAAACATAAAAAAATTAAGAATCATTAAATAATAACTTTTGGAACATACAAAAAAATATATAATACAATGCTGGTATATTTAAAGATATTAAATATTACCTTCAACATCAGGGTTCAAATAGTTCTTAACCTCGGTGAGGATGAAGAGGATCTCGTCCTCAGTAGGTCTCGGACTGTGCGTGACTTGACACGGCATGTCGGTGGTGCCAGCGATGGTGCCCTTCAGCCAGGGCAGGAAGAAGATCACACGACCGTCAGAGGTAGCAGGATCGAGAAGACCCATGTGTTCAGGACTAAAATAGAATTCATTCAAATAAATAATACAAAATTATCTTCATAACTTCAATAAACAAGTCGTTTTTATTCTTTTAAATAGTACTTATACTGTTACTTGCTTTTAGGCAAGATATTAGAAAGAGAGAGATTAAACATTGCTAATAAAAAACAAATTAACGAAATTGCCGAACTTAGGTACACACACTTTTTTTATTTATAAAATTATAACCTAACTGTAAATGTAATCCAAGATCTCAATCTATAAACCTAACATAATATTATTTAAAATAATGTTATATTTTTCTGTAATTACACATTTCAATTTTGTTTAACTCTTTTAATTTGTTTTATCTACACTACCTATAATAAAATTGTAACTGATGTTTGTTCATTACCTCATCATTAAAATATCTAAACTGATGTCATCAAAATTTTATAATGCCCGATGTAAAAACTGTTATTAAAATCGGTAGAGCAAATCTTGAGATAAGTATAGCTTGACCCTCCAAATTAAGCTACAGGTAACATACAATTATTTCATAGTAACATAAAATTCATTTTCTGCATTCGTCTTTATTTCCTTATCAATAATAAGTACCTAATATAAAGGTGTACTTATACTATATTAGCTTTTACCCGCGACTTTGTCTGCTTGACCGGAATATGTTTATTGACTGGGATAAAAAGTAGCCTATATCCTTTTTCATCCCTTATAATACGTGTATATCAAAAATATATAGTAATTGGTAAGGCATTAAGGCACTATAAGGCAACAAACAAACTCTCCTTCACATTTATAATATTAGTAAGGGTTCGATCTATTCGACGTACCTGTAGTAACCGGGTAAGACAATGTGAACGCCTGAGGACGGGCAGCAGATATCCTTAATGTTGGGGTCGTCCATCTTCCTGATGGAATCCGTGAAGGGGCCTGTAGCGTTTATTATGCATTTTGCTTGCACATCCCACTCTTTACCAGAGATCTCGTCCTGTTAAAAAATTGTATTGTCAGCATCTTGAATTACAATAAAAACTTTTTTATTATTATTAATTAAAAATATATCTCATTTAAATTGATGTAACTTAGTTGCACTATAATTTAAATATAATGGTCATACAAACTGAGTCATCAATTAATTGCCATACCTATTACGAGCAATTTTAATAAAAATATTCTGAAAGCTACTGCCAATATAGGAATCATCATCATCGTCATCATACCAGCCTTTAACTGTCCATTGCTGAACATAAACCTCCCCCTTGGGGAGTTTTGCCAGTAGTTGCCACGGTTGGCAGACGGATTAGCAAGTCAGGCTTTAGAGATGTTTTAAGACGGACACCGCTGCCCATACCTTGCCCTCCCTTAGTCGGTTCTTACGACACCCACGCGATAGGAAGGGGTGGCCTATTCTATGCCGGGACCACATGATTAATATATATAGGAATAAAAATATAGGAATATACACGTCTATTACTCTTTAAATAATTAAGAAAATTTTGTATTGCATAAGAATATACAGTATGTATATTCTCATGCAATACAAAATTTTCTCATCATAATCATCATCATCATCATCATAAAAAAACTAACCTTTAACCTAGCACCGCTGAGCTTTCCATTAGTCTTGTGCAGCTTCTTCACACTGACATGGTTGGCGATGGTGGCTCCATGCCGCGCCGCCGTTAGTGCTATCGCGAGGTTCATACGAGCGTCGTCTTGTTGGCCTGAATAGCAATTTATATTGATATTGAAAGGAAGCATTTGTATTTACAACTATGTAACGATATACCAAACAAATGGTTATGTAAATCTAGACTTTCAGTTGTGTATGTTAAGGTATATTTTACAGTAATATGGAGTAGGATGGAGCAGGTGACGCGCGGTCTTTCCTTTCCGAAACTTTTAAATATATTTTCATTACTACACTAAAAGACAGAAAGCTAGTGCTGTTTCGTTCCTTATTATGAAAATTTTACTGCTATTAACAAATCCATTTATCAATTGTTGAAATGGCGACAGATAAAAATCATATTTATTCCCAAACCAGTTAGGGGACATTATACTGAAGCAAAATTCTTTCGACCCAGCTAGACTGGATGTATTTTTTTATGCGTGAAAATGGCATGGTTACCCCGCCTGCGCTATCGGTATACACTAACGGAGTACCAGTGAGTGGTGAGAGGTGAGGATGAAAAGGCAGGTCAGTTAGCCCATTGTGACGATTCAATGATAAATTGGTCACGATAATTTCCAGGGGGAACCGCGTGGATGTCGACCTGATAGGGTATATTGATAGCAATGGGGACTAAATTCCTCATTACTAACAATCCCTTCCCCCCAGGCTGGATGTATTAGCCACTCATACACACAATGGCCCAAATGAGAGGTTTAACACGGAATAAGTCCAATTTACATTTATATTTTTACCAAATGTTAATGAAAGCTCTTCGCTCACTCTTTCACATTATTTATAAGATGGTGGTGACGTCCTTTTTTGGTCATTTTTGTGTCGCAAAGTCATTTTAGAGATACCATATTATCTAGGTACCTATTATTATTCTTCATAGTATAACGTAAATATTTAAGGAGTGCCACGTACGAAGTTGACAGAGTATTAACGTATATGTACTTTATCTATATTTATCTATCTTTTTGTTCTATCTATATTTTTGTTCTCACGATAATATATGTAGGTATAGCTATTATTATACGTTACGTACCGTCATAGTAAACAATCCCACCACACAGGTTATCCGACTTTAACATCGGGAATAGTTCGAGAGTGTTCTTCTTGGACAAGTAATACGAACTTTTTACGTTTCTGTCGCCGGCGACAAGATCGTACATTTTGATGCCGAACCAATAGTACGGGACTTGCCACCATCTGAAAAAAAAAGATAATCATGAATTATGTAAATAAAATTTTTACTATTAGTACCTAGTAATTTATTTTATTTACTAATATTGATTTACAAGTTGACCTATTTATTTGTTTAGAATCGTCAACAGCCAACGATTATTTGAAATCTTTATCAAATTTTACAAACGTAATGGCAATAATTTTCATACAGAAAAATATTAGGCTGCTTTTTGTCTCAATAAATAATAATATTAATTTATTTTAATATCAACAATACACGTATACATACATTGATAGCGTACATTAAAAAACTAAATCTACTATTTGCATCAATTATATGATTTTAAAAACTGATGTTAATTTTTTGCGAGGCGAGACGCTGTGATGCAAAGCGCCAAACGCCCCTGAAGAAGACTTCCGGATGAAGTCCGAAAACGCAAAAACACAGTGAGTTCATTAATTTACCGTTATATAATGTATGTAGATATCAAATATATGCATTAACTATTGAACAAAATAACTTTAAAAAATGCTGAGAAATGTGAAACTGTGATATCTTATGCCACTTTAATAATTTTTTTTTTGGTACTGTTTTCCCTTATACAAAAGACTAAGCCTATACAGCCATTGTCTTTAATTTATATTTGGTAATTTCGTTTTCATTCACTGACAAGATTTTTGAAATTTTGCAGTCTATAACTTTGTCAAATTGACACGGCCAGTAAGGGTAATAACATGACTTTATATTTTTGTTTTCCCTTGGGGATAGAAATAATATTTGTGTATAAAAAGGATATATAGGTTACTTTTTATTATTATCCGAACGAAATTGCGGGCGCAGTTAAATAAAGAGGCCTGGTACTCGAGCTATCATATTTTATAAAAACAGAGATATGATTATTTGGGAACACAACTTGAAAAACACAACCCCGTGTTAATTTCAAAAACTTCATTTCCCAAGTTGACCCTAATGAGAAGCGAACCCGGAACCTCATTGACGCAATTGACACTGCGCCACAGATTTCGTCAATAAGCGATATTCACAATGATATCTAGTATGTGCCTACCTTTGTACTTGTATATACTTCCAGCTAGCGATATTGGTGGTCTCTGTATTATGTACTCAACCTAACACGATGTATGTACTTATAAGTACCTACTTGAAGGTAATTAGCGATACTAATGGTGATAAATTAAAATTGCCACACAATGATACTAATTGCACAAGCCAACTCCGTCCCCGTACGGTGACGAAGTAGGAATACAAACACCATTGTATTTCATCATACAACATTATATGATGAAATACAATATGTATGTTGTGGGGAAGGGATTGTTAGTAATGGAGACTGAGAATCCCATTGCTAGCAATATACTCAACCAGGTCGACCTCCACGCGGTTCCCCCTGGAAACTATCTGATCATGATGGGCTAACTGGCCTATTTCCATTCTCATCGATCAGCCTTCAATGGTGCCCCGCCAGTGTATACCGTTAGCGCAGGCGGGGTTACCATTCCATTATCACCTATCAAAAAAAAATTATGTTGTGGGGAAGGGATTGTTAGTAATGGAGACTGAGAATCCCATTGCTAGCAATATACCCAACTAGGTCGATCTCCTCGCGGTTCTCCCTGGAAACTATCATGGTTAATTCCTGATGAATTCATCATGATGGGCTAACTGGCCTGTTTTTATTCTCATCTATCACCCTTCACTGGTGCTCCGCCAGCGTATCCCGTTAGCGCAGGCGGGGTTACCATACAATTTTCACCCATCAAAAAAAAAATGTATGTCGTAAAAGGTGACTAAGGAATCAAAAGACGTGTTAAAGGACTATTTTTTTTATATACAACTTACAAGGCATATAGGCAAACAAGCTGACGGCCCACCTAATGGAAAGTGGTAACTATTGCCTATAGACCGGCAACGTATGGGGGATATCCCCCATGCGTTAGCATTCCTGAGGACTCAGGTGTTATTCCTCTGTACCCTGTAGATTCACGCCATATCCCATCCTTCAAACCGAAACACAGCCATGCAAACACAACTGCTTTATTGTAGAAACACGAATGGGACAGAGGTACCCAAGCAATCGACTTTTGTATAAAGTCTCCCTTTGTCAGTCTCCCGCTGCATGAAAATTATAATTCGTAATAAAATAATATCTGGAAAATTTGGTAACGAAAGAGCTGCATCTTCATACTCATAAAGGTAGAAGTATATGTCTAACAGGGAGATATTACTAGATTGGGCTTAAATAAAGTACGAGAATCTTCTATCCAATATGTACGGCGAAAAAACGAACTTTGTTTTCACATTGAGTGATAATTTTTTGAGTTTTTGTTTTTTTTTTAAGTTTATTAGTGTAATCTATTGGAGGAAACAATATAGAATATTTATCTATCTACAACGGAAATCTAGATCAGTAGTAGCACAATCCAGGAGACGAGAGTTAAGGCAGTTTAAAAAATAGTTTTTTTTCAACCGACATCAAAAATGTTCTAAATTCGATTGTATTTTTTTATTTGTTTGTGTTTTTTTCCTCATAACTCCATTAAAGTTCCAAGCCGATTTCGAAAATTGAGTTTTTTTACCTAAAAGGATATACTTATAGATTGCTGCCATGGAAATTATATCAAAATCGATTCAGTAGTTTAGTTTTTAGATCAAAATAACTGGTGTTATCACAATTAAATTACTTTTTTTGGAAGACCCAAACTTTAATATAATTTGACCGGGCCAAGATAGAATACGCGACCTCATTTACACTAAGCAATGTCAGGCGCTCTACCTCGAAGGTAGTATATATCATTCTGTTACCTATATATGTACTAGAAATACTTCCTAGTGAATGTCTGATAGGTACGAACCTTCTAGATAATTAAATACATCTACGAGTACTTCGTCCGCGCTAAAGTTATAAGTCTGGAACTGATTGAGATTTGAAATTAATTAAACCGTGAAGGTCTTACGTGTGTTCATGAATTCAATTCAAAATTTCATTTAAACTTTGTTGACCAATAAAATGTGGTAGAAAAAGCAGGATTAATTAATCTTACTTGCTATTTTCTGGTGTTCATTTGTACAATTTAGATTTCTATAAACTTTTTTGGTCAGCTAGAAAAAAAATTTATCAAAAATTGCAGAAATTAATTTCCAAAATTGATTCATAATTGGAGACGATATTCATATCAGATCTCATCATCTTAAAAACTTTTTAAATACTAGTATTGGTAGTATGAAATATATGTAGGTATATAAAGTATTGATAGGATATTACCTAGTAGGATATATATCTAAGTATACATATATATCTGGGACAAATATGGTTATATCATGTCAAGTGCATAGCAAGTAACCTTGATACCATAAATCAACTTACTTATAAACAGGGAGCAAGATCGGCAGCGGTCGAGTGAGGTGCGGCGCGACCTCCAACATGTTGGCTCTTTCGTGCAATGCCTCTTTCACCATTTTATACTGGTCATAGTCTAATTGCATGATAGCCTTCTGTAAATATCGGACGCCGCCGTGGATCAGCTTGGTACTCCTACTGGATGTGCCGCTCGCGAAGTCGTCAGCCTCGACGAGGGCGGTGCGGAGACCTTGAATTGTTAAGAGATATGATAATTCTTAGTAATATATATGTGCAAATGAGTTTCTGTGTTTCTTCTTAGCGCTTTAACGGCCCAACCAATTGTTTTGAAATTTAGTATAGGTATACGTATTATTTGAGATGTATTTGGGACATATCCCAGTCAAGCGGATAAAGTCATAGTCAAAAGTTAGTAAATAATAATGTAACCACGAAGATACTCTAAACAAAAGAGCATGCCTACCTCTGTGCCATTCATGTTTCTGTCGCAACTCTACTTGCATTTATATATACTTATAATCTATGTATATTTAAGTGTTATGGTTTAATGAAATAAATTTTCATTCATTCATTCATTCATTTATGCGTTGCATTTTGAAGGTGAAATTACAGGGTACAGACCTATACCATGTTAGTCCTTGAGAGTGGTAACATAAAAGTTCATGTCTATACGAGTAAACGGTTACTATTTTTATCAGATGCGCCTTTAATTTAATTCTTATTCCTAGTTATAAAGTTGATTGTAAACCTCAACTAAAACTTAGTAATAACACAGTAAGGAAATAGCTCTTAATACTATGGTGATAAGGGGTTTACACCAATACCTAAAACCGCAAAACATGGTATTATTATGTGTCATGTATATGATCTACGAGACAAGAAGTTTGTGGATCTCTGAATTTGAATAATTCGTGGGAGTTCTTGATCTGTACTATGGCTAGCAACATAGCAATAAATTATTATATTGTGTGGCATTAATCTACGTTTTAAGTTTTCAGCAAGTCTTCGCAAAAGCAACAAAATTAATTTTCTGAAAAAAGCCATCTTCAATGCTGACAAAATTAGAATAGAACCGATACGAGGTTGAAAAGAACCTACAAAATAGGTTCACAATTGGCGAAAATCAACAATCTAAACGTTCAGATGCTTCTTATGAAGTCAGTTAATAAGAAACATAATTGGGTAATATCAAATAATGTCATTTGTCTCATTTTTTGTAGACTTTATTATCTATTGTGGAGTTTGTGTTACGTATTATCAATAATGAGATAACAAACATCTGGGGGCAACAGTAGCACAGCACAAAATGGTCACGGTATTATTTTATTAGCCAATAAAATACCACGAGGCATCATTATAGTTATATACGAAACAATGTGTTTACATCGTCTGGGCAGAGGTTGCCAAAAATATATCTAATTATTACTAGCTAGGTACTTATAGTATTTACAGATACTTCACATAACAGTGTTAAGAAAATCAATAAATGCTGGGTTGTTCTAAAATTTAACAGATTCAAGTACGTAGTTATTGAGAACTATATCATGAATATAAATAAGGCCTAAACCAGTATCCTCAAATGCAGAGAACGAGGCTTCTACCTTAATCTTATGTATGGTCCAGTTTGGTTTCTATACTATATTAACATTATCCCTTATCAAATCTACCTCCATTTGGTTGCCCCTAGAAATTTCGTCGCCAATTACTGGTGAATTGGTTACGATGGGCCCATTCACTTGAGGATCTAAAAATCCTGTACACGTATAGTATCCCTCTGTATAACCCGTCGACTTTAATAGGGATTTCATATTAAAGGTAATAATTGAACAAATCCTATCCAAGACAAGTTGTTTTATGGTTCGTGTAGACCGCGGATTTTAATCATCCTGACTTTATCGTTACCTATCATTATCCTTCACTGATACCATTCAAAAGAAAAGTAATAACCAAGCCGGCATAATAATTTTATTTTCATGCATTAAAAAAGTCTCCATGCATATAACGGGTGGGTTTCTACCTCTGGTGGTAGCATCGAGTGCACAGCCCACTCCAGTGGCGCCACCCCCGATGATGAGTATGTCGTATACGTGGCCAGCCTGCAAACTCGCCACCTGTTCAGTTCGTGACGGGAGCGGCCGCTTTTTCCGTTCCGTTTTTGCAGCAACATTTCTTCGTCTGTACCAATTCTGTGTAATAGGAAATATTCCAATAAGTACATTATATTATAAAATTTTGATGAAAAAGTGCTAAGTCATGAAGGGCAAACCAACCAGCGAGAATAACTTTTCGTAAGAAATAAATTAAAAATCTCAATTTTTTTTTATATTTTAACCGTTCTATAAAGAATATTTAAATAAAAAAAAATCAAATGCTAATCGTTTAGTTCTATTAATACGATTAAAAAATATGTTGTCATCTACTATCTTTGGGTTTTAGCTTGCATATCTTTTACAACTAAGCCTATATAATGCAAAAGTAAAGGTGCAAAAGTAAAAGTATGTAAGCAAATCAGTGAATGCAAATCTTAACTGACCTATCATGATTTATCACAGAGACAAGTCAATATTCTCTGAAACTGCCTTATAAACAGACGAGTTACGTAATATGAGTCAGAGATATACGTAAGTATAGAGGCTAATAACATCACATACAGTACGTCCATACCTAAGTGTGTAAGTAGTCTAAACTGCCAAGTTTTATCTAAACGGGCGCAGTGGGCGACTTAAAAGTGGCAAATGATTCCGTTTTCATACACTTCACGCGTCGACCTTAGTGACGACAAATGACCTTCATTTAACCTTTAATACGTTACGAACAACTGATGTTGTTACAGATCATTTCGACGGTTAACCATCAAGAACTCCTGACTGGCATTTTATATTTTATTATTATATATTTTATTCAAACTTTCCTACTTAATCTCCTTTTATATATTAAATCCCATTTTACTAATATAATAAAATTGTAACTAGACGAGACCTATACATGAAAAATATTTAAGAAAAATTAATATGAAGGCTTTTAATAAGATCAATAGATGACTAAACAATGATTTTTAGAAATTTTGTCTGTCTGTTTGCTTGTTCCAGCATTACACAAAAATTACTGCATCAAATTTAATGCGGTTACCCTTTAAAAACTGGTTTTAATCTTGATACGCTATCTAGAAGTGGTCTATTTTATTAGTTGTATTACTTCTGAAATCCACGTGTTCAAAGAAGCGGATAAAAAGCTAGAAAAGAGTAATTGTGGCATCAGTATGTTGAGAATTATTATTAAAACCTTCATAGATAAGTAATCTTTATTCTTACACCAGAGGGAGACCTTGTAAAAAAATCGATTGCATGGGTACCTCTGTCCCATTCGTGTTTCTATTGTGAAGCAGTTGAGTTTGCATGGCTGTGTTTCGGTTTGAAGGGTGGAATATAGCGTGAACTTACAGGGTACAGAGGAATAACACCTGAGTCCTCAGGAATGGCAACGCATGGGGGTATCTTGGGCGAAACAGTATACTCTGTTATGTCCATGGTACTGCTCATGTCTATAGGCGACGGTTACCACTTTCCATCAGGTGGGCCGTCAGCTTGTTTGCCATTCTAAGTTATATAAAAACATACCTTTTTTATAAAAACAAAAACCTATTACGAACCCATTTTAATTATAACATTGTTTTATCCATCCCTTATTTTTCAAATTGAGAATTTAACACAAAAGAAATAGGTAAGACAGTTCAATAGCTGAAATAGGTTAATGTTAGTTAGCAGATATTCGTGATTAATCATCGATTTTTCAAAACCCATAAATTCTGCAACGAAACTCATTTCGTTTATCCAAGTTACAGATAAAACAATGTTAGTTATCAGGCGTAGGTAATGCTTTTACTATCTACTTAATTGATGCTTATCTTAATTTTATGTAAGTAGTGTTAGGTAGTAAGTAAATACCTACTTGTTATTAAACTGATCTTGTTCAGTACCTTACTACAAGATATATTGTCTCGCAAAGAGATACGCCATTTGCATATGTCCTAAAATTAATATGGGACCAATACTGGTCCTAGGGGGAAAGTTTAACAGCCTCATCAGGGAGAGAGGAATTGCTAGTAATGCGAAATACCAATCCCGTTGCTAGCAATATACCCTGTCAAGTCGACCTCCCCGTGGTCCCTCTAACTATCGTATCTGAATTACAGGTGTATATATCACGATGGGCTAACGGGACTGCCTTTTCATTCTTATCAGCCCTTACTGGTGCCACATCAGCATATATCCTTAGCGTATGCAGAGCTACCATTCCATTATCATCCATTAAAAAAACAACCTTATCATTAGCAATATATGGGATCAATACGGATCCTAGAAGGAAAAGGCATTATTAGTAATGGGGTCCAACAGCCCCATCGCTAGCAAAATACCCTGTCAGGTCGATCTCCACGCGGTTCCCCCTGGAAATCGTCATGATTATATTATTGTAGAATTCATCACGGTCGGATAACCGACCTGTTTTCATCCTCATCAATCATCCCTCGCTGTTGCCTCGCCAGTGTATACTGATAACACAGGCGGGGTTACCATTCCATTTTCACCCATTAAAAAAAAACACTAATTTAATTAATTCCTGATGAATTCATCATGATTGGCTAACCGGCCTGTTTTCATTCTCATCTATCACCCTTCATTGGTGCTCCATTAGCGTATACCGTTAGCGCAAGCTGGGCTGCCATTCCATTTTCACCCATCAAAAAAAAAAGTTACCACTTTCCACCAGGTGGGCCGTCAGCTTGTTTACCATTCTAAGTTACATAAAAAAACTATTAAAAAAAAACATTCTATATCCTGTGTAAAAAAAAGAAAATCAGTACAGAATTGACGATGTGATCGCGTAACATAGTAACAAAAAAAAAATACAGACTAACTGATAACCTCCATGTTTTAGAAGTCGCTTAATTATAATCATCTTTACTCAGACAACGGCGTCATAGTGGAAACATGAAACCGCGGCAATAATTTAAGCAAATCCTCGTAAATAGATAGAAAAAAAAATATAAATACCAACATTTACATATTTTTTTATTGTTTTTTTTTTTATAGAACATAGAATGGTAAATAAGATGATTGATGGAAAGTGGTAACTGAAGCCTATAAATATGAAGAGCACCATATTTATTTCAGAATATATATGGATACTTCAGAATACACTATGTCCACGGTACTTTGTAATTTCACTGCCATGCTCCACCCTTCAAACCAAAACAATCATGCTAATACAGCAGCTTAATATCAGAAACAAGTGAGACAGAGATAAATACTCATAAAGCAACTATCGAAATATGACAAAATCTAATTCCCTCCCTCCACTTTACTATATATAATATGTTTGTACTTTATGGTCATGATAATTTTGTGAACATAGGTAAATATCAGTTTAATTAATTACTTTCTGAATATTATAGGTTGTTTACTTTATAACTAAAAGACAGTTATTAGACTAGGTACCTACATCTCTGCCACTTGATACTAGATGGCGTATAAAGGTTATTTGTTTATTCTTTAAATTTAATTTAATAGTGATGAGACAAATAGTTCATAAAGTTTATATAAATTAAATTTAATAAAACAAAGTTATTGTAACCTATATAATTCATAATAACAAATTTAACTAATTATACTATATGATGCAAATTTTCAAGCAACTTTATAATATTTCTTTACTATAAGGCTAAGTTTCTTATAAGTATTATATTTAGTCAGGATCAAGTCACTTTTTGGAACTAAAAGCTTAAATTTTTAGGTATCTTTAATATAATACGTTAATATCAGGAATCTACTACTTACGTTACAGTTACACGTATGAAACAATAACGAGATATTAGTCGATCAATGTTAAGTACTAAAAATAATCTATATAAATAACAATCAATCGCCTTATGTATGTAAACGCATCACTTCAAAATGGTTGTACCTTATTGGCAAATTCTTTTTTGTTGTGTTTGTAATTATTAGGACAAGGTATATTTTATGAGAAAAAAGAAAGGCATAGTTTGTATGAAAAAAAAAATGTTTAAAAAATCGAGCGTAAAAAGTACACCCATGCTAAGGCAGGGCAGGCAGTAAGTTTTAAATAATTCGATACAATTTTTCACCGACATGATTAAATATTGAGAATAAAAAAAAACAAGAGCTAGAGAACCTCATTAATATACTAATAAATTTAGCCTAAATTCTTCGGCACATTATATTGAGTTACAGCGGTCTCACATCGATTATCCGATAGATAAAAAGAAACGAATTTATCCAAATTAGTTGGGTGTTCTTAATTATACTTGTGTTCAGACAATAAAGTTTAATATATATTTGAAAAAAAAAAAAGAAAATGGTTTTTATTTTTATAAAACAACACTAAACATTATGCAAAAATCATATTACATAAATATTGAATTTTTTGTGATCGTGATATTAGATACCTACTACACTATAAAATATAGTATCATGACACGAAGCGAGCATGTGCGTGGAAAGAAATCACGCTTAGCTGTAGTGATTAATTAATAACGGCAAATAATTTACAAACTATAAAAAAATATCACTGTTTTATCGATGACAGTATAAAAAGATATCTATAAGAGATTTTTCTTTTAGATACTTTTAGAATTAGTCATTGATACATAATTTTGACAAATGAAATCTATGATTTAGTATTATTGAAATTATGATAAGATTCATAATATTTATAAATAGAAATTAATAACTAGTATATTAACGTATGAGCGCCATGAAAGGATTTTCTTAATTTCCTACACAAACAAAGTAACATAACTTTCTTTTTCCTACATCGAATATTATATATTATATAATTCTTCTAAACAATAAAATATGAACTATCGAATACGTACCACAATTGAGTCGTCAGCTGAGAGTGCCCATGCTGCTAACACTGCTGTTGCGGCCCCTGTTGTGCCCCCTATTAATAGTCTTCTACGGGACATTTTCTGTAAATATGCATCCTTGATGAGTAGATCTAAAATAATATAGTTGTAATTATGACGAGTTTTTTTTTTTTATCATATGATCGCTACTTATGATTTGTACTCAACATATCATGATGATCACAAATTAAATACATTCTATAAAACTTAAAAAGAAATCTAGATTATTAAAGGAATACATTTCTGTTTTTGGCGCATATATTTTCAGGTCATCGTCGAGGCAAATAAGTAGTGATGATAGACATAATGTGGAACATAATTTGCACACTGACTTAGAGGCAGATTGTACATGGGAAATGTAAACCTCTTTCATCTAAAACTATCTACATTCTAGCAAAATCAATTCATTTCATTTTAATTATTTTCATTTTAACATCTAGTACACTAAAGCCAGTTCACTACTGGATATGGAGGAAACCAATCATATCTCCATAGATTCAAACTGATGAATAGTTCCAATTGTCAATGTGATAATGAAACCATACAGCATATACTATTTGACTACCAAAAATTTGCTGTAAACCGTTATGATTGTGAGATTAGAATGGACGTAACACTATCAGAAAATAACATAAAATACATATTTGAGAACAGACAAACTACAGACATATTGCTTAATTTTGCAAAGTCTTCGCTGAGGGTCGTGGCAAGGGAGAATGGCGCAAGAAGAGCGGACTAATTACCGGACACGATAAAGATTTTATACATTTATACATCTACTTTTTACAAATTTATATGCACAAAAAAGCCAATTCATTTGCTCCGGCGTTGTTGCTAACCGGAATCTTAGTGCGCTGTTTTAACTATGTAGGTATCCGACCTCGGTCTACGATGCGCTTTGATTAACAATTTTCATTTCTTTTTTTTTTTTTGTATTTGGTTAATAACTTATTATAAGTTGCTATAAATAGTGGCCAAAGGTTAGAAGAAATGAGTTTGTTCTTTAGAGGAGTCTATCTTTATTCACAAATACATTTAAGTGCAGAGTTCATTTTTAGCTACCTAATATTATACCATTGTAATGGTTATTAAAATTGCATGATTTTTAATAAATAATTTAAAGAGGAAACAAATCTATTTGATCATATTTTTCAGTGTATCTTCGCATTTTTAAATAGATTGTATGATTTTTATTTTTATCGAAGATGGTCTTTGTGTGTAAAACATTTTAATTATAAACTAATAATTTCTTCGACAGAAAACATTGCAATAAATTTAGCTAACCTAACTAATTCATCTTAATGTCTCTCATCTCAATCTCAAGCAGCTACCGTAAATAGAAGTGCACATCACACTATATAAAAATAATTTTAATTAGAATTGCGTGATATGAACGCTTAAAAAACGTTAAGCAATAAAACTACCAGAGAGCTACAGAAAGTGCTGTACTTGAAATTTGAGGATTTAAAACTAAAACGAAGTACCAAGTGATTCAATAGTGAGCTAAAATATCTACATAGTTTCTAATAACTTTGTAAGTAGGCTAAAAATTGGCAGTGATCTGGTGATATTTACCATAGAACTGATAGTCATTAAAAAAGGAAGCCGTATTTTCGCATGGAACTACCTACAGCTAGTTGGGCCGATATAATAAGGGAGGTTGGTAAAGATGAGAATATATATATTTATATATATATTCTCATCTTTATATGAGTATCATTCTATATATATATATATAGTTAAATAGATTGGTGTAGGCTGATAATTATGAATATTTATTTATATTTATGGTAACTTTAAATTAGTATTTATAGTAGCGTTATGCTTTTGGTCAAATCGGCAGGCTCTAAGCATTCTATCTGCAATTGAGTGATAAGATTTAATAATCACGTAAGTTAGATGTGACAATAAACTCATTAATCAGTTAAGGTTTTGAATAGCAAATTTTTAGAAGCATAATGAAAAAGATTATCTATCACTTCCGTCTTATCTGTCTCGTTTCGAATACGTGTGCGTCTCGTGTCGTACCTATGTAACCAATATTGTTATCAGACAAGGCCACGGGAATAGTACCACAATTTATTACATCTACATTTATCTTATAAATGAACCAGCTTCTCCCCTGCGTTACAGATAACACAATACTATACTACAAGCGATATCGTTAGCACAAATTACTATGTAGATTATTTACTCAATGGGGAGAGATACGGATGGAATTAAAAATTGTTGCCTATCCACCTATCACCGGTTAATATTGTGATAAACGATCACTTGGATTAAAATAGAATTGAAGAATTTAATCTTGATTGTAATAACTGCACTCGATAATGTTATGGTTTTATATTGTAACAATCTTCTTGCATTAGGTACTTTAACTTTATTTGATAAACCTTATTAAATCGAAGTATTTATATGTACAAATTACGTATGTGCAAATTTTGTAATAAGCAGTTTCGTATTATGTTAAAAGAAGAATTTGTTAATTAATGTTTTAAAAAACGTAAATCTAAAACGATACTTAAAAATTCCAAAGACATTTTACTTTGCTAGTCCTTTTCAGTAAATAATAATAGGTTAAAAGCTAAAAAGTTAATAAATAGATAGAATAGGGAATGCACGCACACTCGCACGAATAAATAAAAATAATAAGTTTTAACTGTAGCATATTTTTTTACTGAAATAGATGGCATATAAATGGACAAATTCTAAGACTTATTTTATTTTAAACTTTATTACACTATTTTATATCTTTTTCAAATGATTAATGTTATTGAAAACAAATCAAGAAATGAAAATATAAGGTACACGATGTTATTGACCCTATAGTAATGTGATGTGTAAGTAAAATAATTGTCGAAGCGAATTGTTGGCAAAGATTTCTCGTTAATCGAATTGAGTTCCAATTTTATTTGAGACAACTGCATGCTACTAAAACTTTTAGTTCACGCTACACACACGCGGCCACTGCACTACTCATCGTTGCAGAAGTAGTATACTATTGTTTTGTTTTTTAACCAACAAGCACACTACACGCCAGGCTCTGAAGCCAGAACAGAAATAGATTGGGCTTGCGAAATCATTGAACTCAGGTGATCACATTGCAGCTAAATGCAACAATAAGATTATTGAAATAAAATTAGGCATACTATAATTCGAAAATCTTACATAAGTGCTCGGTCAGGTTGTGGATCAATCATTAAAATTTATTTGCTTATTAAGCGATATTGAACCAAACCAGTAATCCCAAAATCTAGTATGCTTATATATTGTATAGTATAGTATAGTACGTATATCCCTATACTGAGAGTCCTTGAAACAGAACACGGCTACAACGATGATGTCATATCGACAGTGTAACCAAGCCTGTAGCTAATAGAGTCTCAAAACAATAATGACAAATGACAATAATCGCAGTTTAGTAGAAAATTGTGTTTTGTTATACAATATAAAACTATATTACTTAAATATCTCTCTGTATAGAAGTTAAAATTTATTTATATTTATTATTTTATAACACAATCGTAAACACACAGTAAGTGTATTTAAAAAAAAAAAAAAAACAGATCGTGCGACCTTAAACGTCCTTATAATGGTGATCATAAATTATTTACTTAATATTTGATCTATATATCACTTGGTTCTTACCTTATATTAAATAACAGTAGGATTACTACGACGAAAACATGTACCTGTAGTAATTTTTAAGGTATACAAAAACTAAATGGAGTAGACAAGGACGTTTGCTTGCAATTATTTTATTCGATTATTTATAACAGATTCATATAAGGAAACTTATGATTATATGATACACTTGAATTAGACTAGTTCGGTATGTACATCACAATATGATTTGTTATATAATTACACTATCACAGTACTATGTTAATAAGGTGTTAGCTAATCGTAAAATACTAAAACACGCAACCGGGCGAAACATTCCCGGTAACCAAACGACCTACTGACTGACCGTCGTGTCTACTGAATTACTGATCCTCTCTACTGTCTGCCTATCTGCCTAGCGTTGTTTCGATCTTAAGTCATTGTACTGTTGACATTAGAACATACTAACTTCAGATTGAGCACATCACTAACTTCAGACCTGATATAAAACTATACACACGCCATCTAGTATGGAGTATCAGAACTAATAGGTCAGTCCTTACACAACAAAACCTCGCGGCTCTACAAACTAAGATTAATTTGTGGGGATGAATAGATAGAAAAATATTTTTTTTTTTGGAATTTATAATATTCTTGACTGATTATTTAAAAAGTGGTCTGCTTCTGAACTAAAAAGTTAATCATGTAATAATATACTTATTAAGTTGTCGCTGACAATTTGGATTTTATTAACAAAAACATTTTAACAAAAAAGTTCAGAGCTAAAATATGAAGTAGGTGCAAAATTTTTAGTGGTAGATTTATATACAACGTATTCTATGACTAGCAACCCGCCCCGGCTTTGCTCGGGTGGGCATTTTTTAGATTGATATAACTTTTTAATTTATGAACCGATTGAAATAAAACAAACACTAAATATTAAATGGAGCAAACCATAACGCATTAGTGAAAACCGCATTCAAATCGGTTAAGCCGTTTCTGAGATTAGCGTGCATAAGCGTACAGACCAATAGACAAAATATATCATATATTGTTTTGGGTACTATTGCGTTCATAAAGCCCCCTATAATATTTTTGCTTATATACCTTCCATGTATAGACAGTTACAATTTTATAAAATGTATTTATTAATTAACCTTTTAGTTCGCCAACAGAATAATTCTTAAATAACTAACAAAAACATTTAAAACTTTTTAATTATTTTTGAAATTTGATAGATTTTTTTGCAACTTAGAGTGGCAAAAAAGCTGACGGGCCCACCTGATGGAAAGTGGTAACCGTCGCCTATACACATGAGCAGTATCATAAACTTGACAGAGTATATTGTTTCGCCCATGATACCCCCCATGCGTTGCAATTCCTGAGGACTCAGGTGTTACTCCTCTGTACCCTGTAAATCCACTGCCATATCCCACCCTTCAAACCGAAACACAGCCATGCAAACACAACTGCTTCAAGGTAGAAACACGATTGGGACAGAGATAACTACCACGTGGTCATACTTTGTTATGAACGCTCTTAATTATAGGTACAAACAGAAAATCCATTCAACTAAATATTCCTAATGGAAAATATTAAGATAATATTATAATAATCTCTAAAAAATGACGATACGAAACGGAAGTGTATATATATTGATTTGCTATTTTAATTATTTATCTATTAAAAGAAAGATAAACAAATCCGACTGCAAAAGAAAAGAGGGTTATGGTTTTCTGGTGTAGGTGTGTTTATATACAAATTTTTGCCCCAACTTATACCGGTATATGGTGGTATGGTAAAAACGTTTGCAGAGTTAGCTAACAAAATATAATTCGAGATTTTGCATAGCAAGAAAAAAGCAGGTAGCTATATCAATTTACAATAACAATACAGGACCCACACGTGTGAAGCTCTATCGATTACAAAATAATATAAAAACAAACATTCAAAAGAATTCGATAGCTCCTCCTTCAGGAAGCAGCGTTTTTTTTTTATAACACAGGGACCAAACGATCTTGCGACTTACCTAATGGTAAGTGACTATATAGCTGTAAACAAATTTAAAAATATTCCATAATAATCTCTTAAAAATATTATGCAATATTTATGTATAAGTAATGTATAATTAATTTATACTACTTTTATCTTAGTTCATGAAAAGTTCCGATCATGCAGACAAAGTCGCGCACAAAAGTTAGTCTGAATACATTTTTAAAATACTTTACAATGGTTTGACCCTCATATCAATGCTAATTACACGTGCAAAGTATAATAATATTGATCAAATTCTTATCGCAGTTGTACATCCATAGATAGATCCTTAATAATAAGTTTATCTGATTATAATATCTGATTGATAGTCATATTTGTACTTAATTTGTTAAAATAAGGCATAATTAATTAATGACGCGCTGCTAAAGTTCCGATTGTGCTCCTTGGTGGTCAAACTGATTTGATTACGACAAACTGTATCTACTCTGTGAACAAATTGATTACTTTATTTGCAGCTAACTAGGGCGCCTACCATGAAATGTTTCCCGAAATTTCGGACCCGAACGAAACACAAATTTGATGTTAAATTTACATAATATGTATCGTTAAAACATATTAAAATATTGTTCGTTTAAACTTTTATGGTAGGATTTATGACGAACGAAATGATAAGCTCAGGGGGAAGGGATTGTCAGTAATGGGATTAAATAGCCCCATTACTAGCAATATATACTGTCAGGTCGACCTCCATGTGGTTCCCCCTGGAAACCATCGTGGCTAATTCTAGTTCAATTGGTCAGGAAGGGCTAACTGACCTGCTTTCATCCTCATCAATCATCTATCACTGGTGCCCCGCCAGTGTATACCGATAGTACAGGCCAGGTTACCATACCATTATCACCCATTAAAAAAAAAACAATAAGCTCCATTTACTGAGTCGATTTCGGTATGACCAAAACACGAAATTGAGTCCGAAAATTTGAAATTTCGTTTCATGGTAGACCCCTACCTTTTTGCACGCTACTTCATACCTGTGGATTATAGAAGTAGCAAAATCAATTAAATAGAACACTTCAAGATGGAGTACCAAGATAAATCATACACCAGTTTTTAAGTTCAGGGACACAATTGTGAAAACCGAATTGAATTTAGTGTAGTAGTTTCTGTTAACATTTTTCTTACACTGTGCCATAAAAAACCCACTCGTGTTTCCGCTGCGAGGCAGATTTGGTTACATGGTCGTGTTTCGTTTTGAATGGAGGAAGGTGACATTGAAATTACAGGGTACGGAATCATAACACTATATTCCTGAGAAAAGGGATTGTTAATAATAGAGTCTAACATCGTCATTGCTGGCGGGAAAGGGATTGTTAGTAATGGAGACTGAGAATTCTATTGCTAGCAATATACCCAACCAGGTCGACCTCCTCGCGGTTCTCCCTGGAAACCATAATGGTTAATTCCTGATGAATGCATCATGATGGGCTAACTGGCCTATGAGGTATGATAGGTGACGATGAACGCAGGTCAGTTAGCCCATCGTGACGAATTCTGTCAACCTGATAGGGCTGACATTGGGCATTGCTGGCAATGGGTCAGTTAGACACTATTACTAACAATCCTTCCCCCCTCCCCCACTCCGTATATCGCTAGTAGGGGTACGTAATATATAGCAATACTCGTATATTATACTTACAATATCTATATATTTGTCTGATAATAGATATGATAAAAATCACCAGAGGAAGACTTTGTACAAAAGTCGATTGCTTAGGTACCTCTGTCCCATTCGTGTTTCAACCGTAAAGCAGTTGTGTTTGCATGGCTGTGTTTCGGTTTGAAGGGTGGGATATGGCGTGAGCTTACTGGGTACAGAGGAATAACATCCGAGTCCTCAGGAATGGCAACGCATGGGGGGTATCATGGGCGAAACAGTATACTCTGTTATGTCCATGGTACTGCTCATGTCTATAGGCGACGGTTACCACTTTCCATCAGGTGAGCCGTCAGCTTCTTTGCCATTCTAAGTTGTATAATTATAATAAAAAAAGATGAAGATGAAAAGGCAGGTCAGTTAGCCGATCGTGACGAATTCAACGATAAATTAGTCACGATAGTTTCCAGGGGGAACCGCGTGAAGGTCAACCTGATAGGATATATTGATAGCAATGGGGACTAACCTTTCCATTACTAACAATCCCTTTCCCCTGGCGTGTTAGCTTATAGTAGGAGAGAGTAATACACACCAAAATCTATATAGGGTGGAAGGGACAGGTTGGCTAAAACGAACATAGCTGATTCAGATAAATGGTCAGGATTAGATGGCAAAATCGTTTCTTACCGGAAATGCACCACAGCCATATAATTAACTAATTCTTAGTATTGACGCTGCGCAATGTATTCGAAATTTCACGACGTCCTATGCTCCACGGGACGCAGAATATTTACACCAGGCGGTGAACGGCGCTTCTTCATAGACAGTTTTCGTACGCTTTTGGCGTTGACTTTATACAACTAATTTCGTGCGTTGCGAATTTTAATACGATTTTTTTTTATAATTTTATAATATTTACTATAAAATATTATTATTTTTTTATATTATGACATAATATCATAGATTACATGATTTTAAACGCGTTTAAAAAAACGCAAAAAAAAAGTATCAGGAAAACAATCTGCAATTTTCCGGTATCCGGAATTTCCGCTGAGGAAATTACCCCAGCGGAAATTCCCGGTAATAATGTAGTTCAGTTGTACACCTGTATGTTTTTTTTTGATGGGTGAAAATTGTATGGTAATCCCGCCTGCGCTAACGGGGTACGCTGGCGGAGCACCAGTGAAGGGTGATAGATGAGAATGAAAACAGGCCAGTTAGCCCATCATGATGAATTCATCAAGAATTAACCATGATAATTTCCAGGGGGAACCGCGAGGAGGTCCTGATTGGGTATGTTGCTAGCAATAGGATTCTCAGTCTCCATTACTAACAATCCCTTTCCCCCACACCTGTATATTGTAATTATTACCTAATAACGAATATATTAAATATTTTTCTTTTTTTATGAGATGATAATGGTAACCCAGCCATGGTTAACGGTATACGCTGGAGGAGTATCATTGAGGGGTGATATCTGAGGACTAAAAAGTAGGTCAGTTACCTCATTAAGCACGATGGTGTCCAGGGGGGACCGCGAAGAGGTTGACCTGCCAGAGTGGATTAAATAACGATTATCCAATATTTAATGTTGTCAAAAGTTAAGAAAATTATACATAATAATCTAATAATAAATAAAAAAATAAAATAGAAAATAAAGAAGCCGGTCAAAATTAAAATACACCTATCCCCCGATTTACACGGTAGATACGTTCCTGAGAAAAACGTGTAAATCGAAAATTAAAAATTTTCAAGTCAAAACCGTGTAAATCGAAAAGCTTGCAGAAAATGCATAATTTTACTATTTAACAGTTATGATTTTTTTCAATATTTTTAGGTGTACACAGAAATAAAAATAAAAATTTTCATTTGTTCTAATAGTTCTTATTGTAGCTTCGTTCATGTTATATGATTTTGCAACATCTACTACTCTATCTCCCTTTCGTAAGCGATCCAAAATTTCGATTTTAGTTTCTAAAGAAATAACTTTTCTTTTAACTTCTTTCGACATTATAAGCCTATAATTTTTTTTAATTAATGTTAATTTATAAAAATCTTAATTATGCACTCACTTGTAATTTACGAATATGAAAAATTAAATCTTTCTGACACTGAAACTTTCACTCAAATACAATTTTCCGTAGATAAAACTTTAATTTAATGCGAAGAAATACAGACACAGTGTGCATGTGCAGCAAGTCAGCACATAAGCTCGGGATTCCCCGTGAGATGTGTACACAGCGCACGTGTTCAAACACAGTAGCATTTAGTAGAGTGCGATAAAAACAAAAAAAAAAAAAAACTTATTTGGAAAACCGTGTAAAAGCGAAAACGTGTAAAACAAGTACCGTGTAAATCGGGGGATAGGTGTATACATTTGTTTCATATGGTCCATATAAAAATGAGTGTTAACCTTTTTTTTACCATCAATATCCAGGACAATCCATTATAACGATATTGGAACGGCACCGATATTACCAATCTCTAGTTCGTCACGTACTTTCATTGAACAATCCCTTTCTGTTACTTTAAAAAATGACACTAAATAAAAGTATTCAATAAAACTTTATTGAGACAAAGTTACAATAATGTCAGACCTTAAGTAAGAGAACAGATTTGTGCACTGTAATTACTTCTCCTTTTTCTCTGTTGAGAGAGAATTGTATATCTTTGTGATCTCGTTCAGGACAAGGTTCTGTACTATCGTACCATTGCTATCGATGAAGTTAGCAAATGACTTGTTAACAGACGCTTCACGGGATTTGCCATTTGAATCGCGCATTACCAATACTAAGTTGTATTTGTCGTCGTGTCTGAAAAAAAAAAGTTTATAAGTAAGAAGAATTAACGCGATAATTTAGGTAAAATTGACGTAGGGTTATGTCGGTCTTTCGACTAGGTTTCACCAGCCGCGATTTTCGTCTATTACAAATCATACAACGGGAAAATCTTAAAGAATAAATTTTTATATATATATTTTTTTATTCTGTTATTTATTTTACGTGTTTTCGCTCAGTACTTTTATATGAAGGTATGGTATTTTTTTAATATTGGTGTAATATTTTTTTATAATGGTAATTATTAAAATAAAACTGGTTTTAAAATATGTACATTTTCTACCCCATTATTTTAAAATTTTAAGCATTTTTGATAAAAAATCAAAAATAAAAATAATTTCTAAATATTCCTTTTGCAATATGGGTTGGTCAACAGTTTAGTTTCAACAGTTAACTGTCTACTGCTAAACATACGCCTCCCACATCGACTGCCATAAGGAACGGTCCTGAGCCACCTGCATCTACCGTTGTCCCACCATTTAGTGGCTGGTTGTCCTATACAGTGTTAGCCTGTATAGTGTCATTGCTCAAGAGCTTTTCTTCCTCGTCAATTATTGATTACCAATATTCAAAACTATCTCAAATTTTGAAGTCGCTGAGACAAATGAACACAAGAATTTTCTAAATTTGTAAACCAATCTGAAAAATTCTTTTTTTGTCATAAAAAATATAGAAATTTTATCAAAATCAGTTCAATAGGTTTTTTTACTAGTTTTGCCATAATTGAATTTGATGAACACAATTTTAATTATTTATTTATAGTAGTATGAAAATTTACTCACTTCTTAACATAAGAGCTAGCTTCCCAAACTCTTGTGTTGTTTCCAACTTTTTCCTTAGCAACCACAAATATACCTTTTTCTTTGAAAGTGGTGTATAATGTCAAAATGCCCATAAGTATGAAGTATGAGGAGACACATATTATAAGTACCAGCCTGAAATAATTGTAATTGATGTAATTAATTTAAAGAATAAAATAAATCAAATTTAACAAAATAATTAAAGAAATCAATAATAGATTTGGCCCTCACTTAAATATACATATAAATTTAGTATAAGCACATTATATTTATAGTTTTTAACAATTCCATTCACATGGATGAAATCTAATTAATAAAACAATACAAGTAAAATTTATTTAACAATACAATGGTATAAATACAGTAAGACAGTCTTATTAGTGAAAATGATCTTTACAAGACAACCTTATGCCAAGAAATTAATTGTTGTATAAGAAGGTATAATAAAAATGTATAATTAAGGAAGTTCCAAATAGTAGTTTCAAAATATTAAGTACCTAAATACAAATAGTTTTGTTTTGTTTGAAAAATGGTATAAAAGATGATATATAATATTTAAATATTGTTCACATACAAATCTGGCATACAAAATTTATTTAATTGTGCCACTATACTAATAAAAATCGTCATATTATATACCCAAAATAATAGGGACAGTCACAAATATTGGTTTTTTGTAAAATATTGATAATTAATTCAAAACGTCACTTTAGGCTATGATTATATTTAATAATATTAGATACATATCTTTAATGAATTTAGAATACAATAATTTAATATTTAAACAACTAAAATGTAAACAAGTATAATAAGTACTATGATGGGAAATTATCAATATTTTGTCACATTTCATCAGTGCTTGATACACTGTTTAGCACTTTCTTTTATTTTGGGATTGTGATGCCAAACATTTATTAACTTTTTAACCAGTTTTTCGTTGGTAGTTATCATTTCCTTGGCAATTTCCGCCTTGGTAATTTGCCACAAGTTTTCTATGGGATTCATATCAGGAGAATTGCCAGGCCAAGGTAAAACTGGAATGTTGTGGTCTTCCAAAAATTTGGTTACACTCCTCGCTTATGGCAAGAAATTAAAATTCCTCCCCATTCGTGAACCATTCCTGGAGTTGTGGCAACAGGCGTGTTTCTAATACTTGCTTGTATTGGTCCTGTCTCATGGTTTCCTGGACTATATAGATAATGACAGACCATACCATTATTTTTACAGGGTGTTTAACGCGTTCCACTATGCAATCAATTACTTTTGTCGGCTAGAATTTCAAATGTTGACTCGTCTGAGAAACATACCTAAAAAAAAATAGAAATTTATTCATAATTTTTATAAATATGATTTTATATAACACAAACAAAATTGACATTAGAACTGACCTTATTCCAGTCTTCAACAGTCTTCAGGCGGTTCACGAGCCCAAGCAAGCCGTTTCTTCTTCATCGTTTGTCAAAAATGACCTGTCAGGCCTTCCTCTGCCAACCTTCGCTGTACAAAAACAGGTATTCCATATTCCTGTATATATAACAGTTTTCTTTCTGTTTTGCAAACAGATATTTTTCCTATCAGAACGTGCTGTTGTGATATACATTTGCCTTTTCTTTTGGGCGACCGATACCTTTATTTTATTGACAGCAGACTTAGATACGCATCTTTCTCTGAGAATGACTTATTTTAATCTCAGATTTTTTTCTCGGAGACAAATAATAGCCAAAGCTGTAAAAATATATAAAAATAAAAATTGTTCTAAAATCTGCCTCAAAATACTTTAATTTTAATAATAGTAAAATAGTACTTACTTGCAGGTAATAATTATTTCACAAAACCACAAATGAACTGTTCAAAAGAATTATTTACGTGTTTCACTTTTACACGTGTGGACGACTGTGTGTCTCTCTCGTTATTAAAATATATTTACAAAATAAATAAATCTCTCAACACTTGAAATTCACTTTAAATTTGAGTTACAGAGATACTGATAACATAAAAACATATTTCAAACACACTTATACCACTTAAAAACGCAATCAGGGGCACTTGAGGAACAAAAATTATAAAAAATGTGACTGTCCCTATTAATTTGGCAACCCACTGTAAATGTCAATATATTTATGTAATGCCTATATATTAATGTTTACTTTCTATTTTACTACTTTTTTAGATTTATTTGGGTAAATATTTAATTTTAGTACCATTATGAGCACAAGGAGAAAAAGAATGATAATGTTTACAATTTTACCCTATATATTAAAATAATAACTAGAGTATTACTTTGATTGTGGAAAGGGATAAAGATAATCCCATAGCAGAGCATAGAGTGCCACCCCAACAGCCAGAGCACACAGGAATAACCGGCCATCAATGAGGGCAAAGCTCTCCTTGCACTTTAGATCTCCAGTCAAGACCTGCAATGTATAATATACTTATTTATAGATGGAACACATAATAAATAATTTTAGCATGCCATTTGAACAAATTCAGAGTAATTTAAAAATAGAACACACAAAAATGTACTACTATAGTAGTAGTAGTATAGTAATGTACTACTATATAATTATTTATTTATTTATACTTTTGCACACATTGAAAAATGTCTACAGGGCAGACTTAATGCCTGATGGCATTCTCTACCAGTCAACCACCATGCCAAACAGAGAGAGCAAATGGTGGTGCACAGATTAAAAAAAAATAGTATTTAAATAAATATTTTAAAAGATAACAATTTATGATAAATAAACATAAAAATCATATAGAATAATATACTTACAAAAACTATACACACATAAATCACATACAGTACAATACATATATAAATAAACAGTTGTGATAAATTGAAATAATGTTAATGAAGGGACTTTTTGAAGGTTGATAGCTGAGATGGTAAAAGATTGAGATTAATATGAAAGCCTTTTTAATTTCAATTAAATAACAAAAGTATTAAATAGTAGAGTATACCAACTGAAAAAAAAACTACTAATTTTGATTGAAATTAAATGTAGTGATAATACTTAGTTTAAGAGACAGATTTGTTATATAAATGTGTCATCCCATTAAAAAAAATATAATTTTTACAGCAAGTAGTTACTGTGGTACAAATTTGATCCATAGTGACGTTCAGAAGAATGATTACACAGTAACAATAGACTGGAATTTTAATTTTAGAGACAGAAAATGGTTTTTTAAGATCAATCTTTTTGTAAATGTGAATAGTTTTTATCAAGTTCCACTGAACTAATTACTATATTTTGCCTACAATAAATACTGTAATACCTCTCTTATAGCATCGTCAATGGCATTTTTAGCGGCTGCACCATCCCATTTGTTGATTTTTACTACCTGCAGATGTAAAAAAAATTGTAATAACTAATCCTCAGTTGATACAGTAAAGATTACTGAATATGTTAAATTCACAATAGTTTTATTTTGTAGATAAAACTTTTAATTCTTTTTACTGTTTACTATGGCATAGAAACCGCCACGAAAAATGTGACGTGTCCAAATCTTAGAAAACAACAAAATTTCATGATAGTGTGTAATTAAAAAGTCACCTCTGGTGTTTCAGTCATTGTTTTTTAGTAATACAACTTGATTAAGTAAAATTTTTCCACTTGTTTATACAATATAAAGTAATAATATTTTCTATTTTAAACGATAATATGAAAGCATTTGTTGGAATGAATTTCCAACTATTTAAGTCGACGCGGTGCAGTGACAGTGACAGTACAGTCACGCGGAACTGATGTTTATACGTCAGTCCCAGTCACAGCATTCTGATGTTTTATTACATGTCTAAAATTTATGTCTAACACCTTTTCCTTATTCTACGTTTAGTACCTTTGGTATTATTTTAATGGTGATAAGGATTTTTAATAGATAATAAGCTCCTAATAAGCCTCCAGAATGAAGTTGATAGCATTAATTTCTTTTAAATAGCTTCACATCACGGTGTTATAAAATCGTTAAACATAGAATATGATGATATTTCATGATCGAGAGAAAAACTTATTAATTTTTTTAAATAAAAAAAGTTCTTTTTCTTTCTATAAAATAATAAAAATATACGAATACACCAATAATGTACTCCACTCATTTATATGATTATTTAACCACAGAAACATTAAACGTATTATTTTATATCAATATGGTATTGGGTGAGTGACAACGTCGTAATTATTTAAATCAATTTTAAGAACAATAAACTTTTTACAATATTTATTAATGATTACTTAAAAAGTGAGAACACTAAAAGTTTTAATTCTCTAATTGAAATTAGAGAATTAAAACTTTAATCATAGAATACATTGCATATTAAATTTACCTTTAAAAGCTTTGCACCTGCTAATTTCAAATACATTTTAGCCTAAGATTTTGGCATTCAAAATCATAATTTTTAGTGACAGTTAAGTAGAATATTATTGCATGATTAATGTTTTAGTTCGCTAACATAGTACTTTATTAGAATTACTATGGAATGGAAAATTGGAAACATTTTCAATTATTTTTTGAAAAATGATAATCGATAATCGCGACTTTGCTATATTTCTTTACGAATTAATTTATAATTACTGACTTGTGAAATTAACTTTTACAAAAAATATATATAGTTCGCCTTTGCTAACATTGTTATTAACTTATTATTGTTAATGTATGTCTTAGTGCAATAAAGTATATATATATATATATATATATATATATATATATATATATATATATATATATATATATATATATATATATATATATATATATATATATATATATATATATATATATATATATATATATATATATATATATATATATATATATATAAATCAATTTTTTTTTGTGGATCAATCTTGATCTATTAATTTTAAATTATCTTTAAGAACAAGGAATATCTTTCAATTATCCCTAAATCGATCTACAGATCTTTTTTTAAAAACAAATTCAAATGCACTGATTGTGTCTTTTAATGAATATATTTCAGTTATTTTTACTACTTTCTACTAATTTATTCTTTAAAAACGAATTCAAATATAATAATTGACAGTAATTATTCGAATTCAATATGAATCTCTAGTGCTCTATTATCTATGGTATTCTCTGTTCTCCTCTACGCTAGTCTTAACAAAAAAAAAAATAAGCACTATTGAAAAATGAAATGACCTGAAAATTATATTTCTTTCTAAATTTACTAATTAAGTTTGTGAAGTTATTTCAAAAGATTGTTGTTGTTTCTAACTATAGAGGAAATGTAATTCTTATTTTTACACTTCATTTTGTATGTAATGGCAGGTAATTGTTACTAAAATTGAAATTTTAATAGTGTCTAACCAACCGGTGGTAACGCTGTCGAAAGTCACGAAATACAATTACTAACTTTAAAATGTTTTCAAACTAAGTTATTCTTAATAGGGTTTGAGATTAAATATATATGTAATGATTAAACTATATTAACCATGTGGTATTAACAAGGAATAAAATTACAAATAATAATGAATGAAAGAGGTCACTAGTCCCTAATCCCCACCCGATTTTATTTGCAGGTTGTTAACGAACGATGGCCAAGCGAAAGAAGTCAGTAGGGAAACCCACCGCTGCGTCGAGACGCACTACTCGACGTACTAAACAAGCTGACAATGAAGAGCCTACTACCTCCGCCGCCGAGGGCGAATCCTCCACCTCTGCCGAGCCCACCACGTCGGAAACAACAAACAATCAAAATTTCGTACAGCCTGCAACATCTAATGAATTTTTACCCCAAACAGAGTCTTCTGCAACCACTACTGTGAAGACTTGTCAAACTCCAGTAGTGGCCTTGCATAAGAAATTTGGCAAATATCGACTTTTTAATAATGACGAGTCATTTGTTAGAAAATATGAAGCTGGTAGTGATAGTGAAACAAACAGCAGTATAGAAATTAGGGTTGTTGACCCCTGTGCCAGCTCAGAGTCTGATTCTAATGCCTTAGACACTCACTCTGACACAAACAGTGGAGCTTGCAGTAGTCCAATAAATAGTGCTGTTAGTGCTTTGCAAAGTCATAATAGTTCCAGGGATATTTCACCTGTACCAATGGTGAATGAACCATTAGCAGTTAAAGATAATATACATGATAATGTAGATGTAAATGAGAAGATGGAAGCAGAGGCAGCTTCCATACTAGTCCCAGTCCCACCTGACTTGAATGATAAACAATTCACGGAACAGGTAAATATAAATAGCAATAGTTCAGATCTATGTTCTGAACAGGTAAATCCTGTGACACAAAACATTCCTTTAGCTGATGAGCAGATAGAACAGGTGGAGTTTGCTGGAGATGATGATGAAGTCATCACTATCGTGCAGATTGTGGAAGATGATAACCCTGAATTATATTATAACATTCAAATAGATAGTCCAAAAGATCAAAATGTACTTCAAAATGATGGAAGGGAAAGTTTACAAAAGCAGGATGTTGACTTTCAAAAACATTTTGAGAATCTCAATCTAAGTTCATCTCATGAGCCGGTAAATTCTCATATGGATTGTTCTAATATGCAAAACATTAGAGTACCTCCTTGTAACACTCCTGATTTACAGTTTTCAAAAGAGAATATAAATGAAACATTATCAAGGCCAGACCCTAGTTTGACTCCTAGTTCTACACTCTCTGATGACAGTAATTCCTCTAGAGCTACAGAACTTAATCAGAACAATTCCAATGATTCTTCAGAGTCATCTCCAACTGGTGTTCGACGGTCAAACCGTATTAAAACAATAAGTAATATGAAACAGAAAACTAAAGGATATGGATTAGTAAAAACACCTTTAAAGAAAGCTTTAATAATGCAAACAAAATTAAAGCTAGAGGAGATGGGCTCTGACAGTCAAGAAAAGCCTTCTGATATCTCAATTAATGCACCTAACTCTCCATCATTTCCTGTTCCTTCGGACATGCCAGTTAAGGTTAAATCAAGATGGCGTCGTTCTAGTGAGCTTGAAATGGGTGCAAGTTCTCCAGCCAGTTCTCCACTGGCTAGCCCGAATTTACCTCAGCGCTTGCCAGCTATTGCTGAGACTCCAAATCTTCCAGATGATGAGCATGGTGTGACACCATTGACAATGGCAGCTTATGATAAAATAATTGAAGAGAGGATGAACCAGTACCAGCATTTAGATGAGAATGAGTATTTATGTGAGAGAATGATAAGTAAAGAGACAAAGAAGATGACTTGTGACTGCTTTATGACCAAAGAAGAGTTGGATCGTGGAGAACTAGCTTGTGGTGAAGACTGCTTAAATAGATTACTTATGATTGAATGGTAAATAACATTTTATTATTTGTCAGTATAACTAAATAAATAGGAAGATATAATAAGGTTCTGTTTCTTTGCAGTAATTCTCGATGTCCTGTTGGTGATCGGTGTACAAATAGAAGATTTCAGAAGAGACAGAATGCACCCTTAAAAGTGTTTTATGCTGACAAGAAAGGTTGTGGAGTGGAAGCTGTTGTTGATATACCTATGTAAGTATTAATTGGGTTTTGCCCTTAATTATTGATAAATGTTTATATATTATTATTTTATTGATTCATCTTGAAATTTGGAATGGGTGCTTGGGTTGGCTTTTATCCCTTTCTCCATTATTTGTTCTAAAGGTGACGATCTTTTTATTATGTATTGTACAATTATGTTTATAAATTGTAATTTTAGTTTTCTAAGCACTTTTTATTGTATATTTATATGCAATTTTGAGTATATTTATACAATATTTTTACAGTCTTATTAAATATATTCTCAGTTAGGCATGTTTAGTAATAGTTTACTGCATGCATGGTTTATTTGGGATTTTATTAAGTGGATTCTGAAATGAAATTTGATATCTATTTAATAACTATCTATCTCTATATCTATATGCTCTGCGAATTATTTATGACATGTAATATTGATAAATAGAACTGCACTAACATTTTCTATTTTTAAGAATGATAATGATGTAGATATTTTGTCAAGGTAATATCATCTTATTCCTAATCATTATTGATTTATAGTTTATTTATGTTTATTACTGAATTTATGATGACCTTAAAATTACCTTATTTATTAATGTAGGAGATGGTCAGTTATGTACCAGATTTCATCCATATAAATTTATTTGTACAAGCATGATTAAATAATTAATCCTAAAACATGCAACAATTTTCACGTCTATACAGTTAGGACGAAGTTGGTAGTTGTCAGTAATTATCATGAAATTTAAAAAGCTTTATAAAGCGTCTTTCAAGTGCGAAAATTTCAAATCTATCATATTTTTTTGTATATAATACTATATCTTTGCAAATTTCGAACTGTGTGTGATAATTTTTTGCAATCAATTGGGTTTACATTACACCAATTTTGCAAAATTTGTGTTATATAATTTTTTCTTTATTTTGTTATTTATCATAACAATAGTCAATAACATCTTTCATATAACTTGGAAAGACAAACAAATTGATAGCCCATTTGATTTTAACTGTTACACAGTTATTATTTAAGTTATCTTGTTACACAGAACACTACATAGTGATGCCTAAATATATATGTTTTGTTACTGTACCTATTAATTCTACTATTACATGCCAACATTCAAATTGAAACTGTCATTTTTTTTACAATGGGCTTCTTTTATACTTTGTTAAATGATAATGTCTACTAATGTAAGTAAACTAATTAATATGTCATGTCATATTAATATTGAACTGATTTAAGCTACGTAAATAGTATGATTTTATTTTATCACTGCATGATGTTCAATTTTATCCATTTTCAAAAATAGCTCTGACTTGACTTACGGTATCACGTAAACAATGAGTTACTGTGAATAAACTAAACTGCATACTTGTTGCTAAATAATGTATCTACAAAATGAGGGTAGTTATAAAAAAAACCAATGACTTTAACCATGTTAGGCTAAGAACTTTCAAATGACCCTCGTAATATTTAATATTTGTCAGATCCGTCAGTATTTTACGACTATGACGATATGTATAAGTGTATCCTAAACATAGTGATAGGTTAAACTATTATGACGCTATAAGATAAACTCATTTTCACATAATATTAGTAGGGATTCACCATTGGGACTTTACGTAACGCGATTACACCTACGCGATACATACCTACATACCTACATGTACTTGGTTCACCACATGTACATATACTTGATTTTTTTATTGCCGACGTTTAAAAAAAAATATTAATTAATTTAAAATATGTGTTAACACCGCGAAAGTTTCAAAATTAACAATTACCCCCTTATTAAACAAAACGTCAAACATCTGATAAACCTGTTTTAGCTCTTAGTCTTTTGTCTTTTAGGTAATTGTAGGTTTGTAAGAGATATTAGCTTTAATGAATAAAGTGGTGAGGTGAACTAATAAGAATATGAAAATTAATATATTAAAATGTAATTTTCAGGGGCGAGTTTCTAATGGAGTATGTGGGTGAAGTTTTGGACTATGAACTGTTCTACAAACGTGCTCAGGCGTATTCCGAAGAGAATAATCTTCACCACTACTTCATGTCGTTGAAAGGTGACACGGTCATCGACGCTACGATCAAAGGCAATATATCTCGCTTCATAAACCACTCGTGCGAACCCAACGCAGAAACGCAGAAGTGGACCGTGAACGGGGAACTGAGGATAGGGTTCTTCAGCAAGAGAGATATAGTGGCAGGTGAAGAGATCACATTCGACTACCAGTTCCAACGGTTTGGGTAAGTATATGTTTCAGTCAGTTTTTAACAGACTTGAAAGTAAACATTTTTTATTTGAAATATTACATTTTGTTTATATGATATCGACAATTTTGAACCAATTTTAAAGAATATGTGGCTTATTTTAAGAGATATATTTTTTTATACAACTTAGAATGGCAAAAAAGCTGACGGCCCACCTGATGGAAGGTGGTAACCGTCGCCTATAGACATGAGCAGTACCATGGACATAACAGAGTATACTGTTTCGCCCATGATACCCCCATGCGTTGCCATTCCTGAGGACTCAGGTGTTATTCCTCTGTACCCAGTATATTCACGCCATATCCCACCCTTCAAACCGAAACACATCCATGCAAACACAACTGCTTCACGGTTGAAACACGAATGGGACAGAGGTACCCAAGCAATCGACTTTTGTACAAAGTCTCCCTCTGGTAATAAGTAAGTAAGATATATTTGCAATGCATATGTAGTATGAGTATGGGTACCATAATAATAATAATAAATAGTGTATTCTTAATGTTCATGGTGCTGTTCATATCTATAGGCGACGGTTACCACTTTCCATCAAGTGGTCCGTCAGCTTGTTTGCTATTCTAAATATCTTAAAAAAAAATATGTTTCTTACGGTTTTCTAAATATAAATACCTATATATTATCTGTATGTTTATTCTCTATTAATAATAATATCTATGTATTCTATACTAATAATCAATGTTAGAGGCGTGTACAAAGAAGACACCCTGAATGCTTTTGTTTCACCACTTAGCGCTACCTTTATATGAATATTTTTTTAACGGAAATGAAGGCAAATTAATGAAAATGGAATAACCACTTGTGTTTATTGGTTCACACTTGTACGAGTATCAGTGGGAGTTTTCTTATGTAATGATAATGGAATAGTAATCCCGCCTGTTCTATGGTGTACAATGGTGGAGTTCCAGTGAAAGGTGGTAGGTGAGGATGAACAGGTCTGTTAGCTCATCGTAATCAATTTAACAAAAAATAATCATGACAGTTTCTAGGGGAAACCGAGTGAATGTTGATGTGTCAGAGTATATTATTAGCAATGGGGCTACAATTACCCATATTACTAACAATCCCCTTCTCAAGTTAGAGTTAGTGACAGGTGAGGACGAAGTTATGATAAATTCATTAGAAATTAACCACGATACTTTCCAGGATGGCAGTGTGAAGGTCAAACAGGGTATATTGCTAGCAATGGAGTGACTGGCTCCCGTTACTAACAATCCCGATGTACTCACACAAAACATAGTAGTACTACTGGTTGTTATTAAGTTTTGCTATTGCAATGATGGTTATATATTACGTATTCCAGTGCGTGTGACGCAGGAGGGGAGTGGAAGGTAATGTGTTGTATTTTCGTGCAGAAAGGTGGCGCAGCGTTGCTACTGTGGCGCCAACAACTGCCGCGGTTGGATTGGTGCAGAACCCGACTCTGACGACGAGGACTATGAAGAGGTACTTGTTTAATATTTCTAAACTTTATATATATATATATATTTTTAACATGCCATGTAATACAGTAGAATCTCGATTATTCGAATCAAACATAACCAGGAGTATTCCTTATAATCCAAAATCCGGATCCGGATAATCGATTTCAAAGTCAAATCTAACAATACATAAATTTTAATATTTATTATCTAAAGGGTTTTTACGTATGTAATTTAGACAATACGTTATAAAAAAATCAAGCTATAAAAATAATGGATATACATAATACCTATTTACCCAATGAATACATAATACCATTTTTAAATCGATAATTAGAATCGTGGAGAATAAATCCGGATAATCAATGTTTGGATAATCGAGATTCTGTATAGCAAAATCGTATTTTTCATTTGGGATCAGAGATTGACCATGAAAAATAAATTATTTTATTAATTGAAATAAATTACAATAAGTCTGAATAAAGCTTTTATAGAAACAATAATTGAGCATAAAAAAATTATGCCTATTATTAATGTTATATTTTCCAGTGATTTATTCTATAAAAAGACCTAGCTTGTTTACTAAATGTACCTAATATCCATAGAAAAGCAGATTATAGTTTGTTAGTTGAAACAAATAGGCCTTAAATATTGATTTTTTTTGTTTATTGAAATTAAGTTTCTCTTTATAATATCATTTCAAATAAATATCAAGAGAGTCCCTCACTTATTTTTTTAATACTTCAGGAGGAGGAAGATGTGTCGACTTCCAAGTCTAGTGCAACAGAGTCTACTGAAGAGTCTCAGGTCATCGACGCACAATCCGAGCAGCCTCGCCCTCGGCTGAGGAAGAGTAAGAAAGAACGCAAGTACAAACCCAAAGTGAAGGACTTGGTTCAGGATGCTGATGTAAGATTGATTTAATATTTATATTATTTATTACATGAAATTTATTGTCTGTCTTGTATGGATGAACTTTGTTTAAAAGCGGTGAATTTATTCTCAGAGCAGTATGGAATTAATGGGGTCTACTCCTTTCCCGGATAAATTTATTCCAGTTTTAAATTATATATATAGTTCAATTTTATTAAATTATCTTTTTTGAAGATTTTTGATTGTAGGTACACCTTTAAAGTTTAAAACCCGTGATGTTAAAACCTTATCTATCTATACTTATAATTAATCTGTAGAGAGGTCGATTCTGTACATGAAATATATTTCCAAAATAACTATCAGGGGGTGATTAATGATCGATACTGATGCCAAAAAATGCAATCAGTAAAATTTTTGTCAGTCTGTCTGTCTGTATGTTCGTTATAGACACAAAAACTACTCGACGGATTTTAACGAAACTTGGTACAATTATTCTTTATACTTTTCATCACGCTACGATCAATAGGAGCAGAGCAGTGAAGGGAAATGTTGGGAAAACGGGAGAAGTTACTCTATTTTTAACCTTCCGTTGCATGTGCAGCCTTAATGGCCACATTTTAAAATGTAAAAATGTCCACCCGCGCGAAGCCGGGGCGGGCCGCTAGTAAAGAATATTTGTCTAATGTTTTTGACATATCCCAAACAATAGATGACAATGCATGATCTTTTGTTCTGACCAAATGTGTATATTGATAATAATCTCGAAAGTGACCTATAGGTAAATAAAAAGACTTTTTTTTTTTATACAACTTAGAAACAAACAAAACAAGCAAACAAGCTGACGGCCCACCTGATGTAAAGTGGTAACCGTCGCCTATAGACATGAGCAGTACCATGGACATAACAGAGTATACTGTTTCGTCCATGATACCCCCCATGCGTTGCCATTCCTGAGACTACTAGTCGGTTACTGATATTTTGATACGTATGTAATGTGTTACGTTAATGACAGATTGAGGAGGACCTCGAGGCGCTGAGCCGCACCGGCGTGAAGAACCAAAGTCACACGCTGCGGCTGTCGCGGACCGTGGTGCGCGCGAAGACGCGGCGGGCGCAGGCGCGGCTGCTGCGGCTGCTGCGCGACGCCGACCTGCCGTGCCGCCGCCTGTTCCTCGACTACCGCGGCCTGCGCCTGCTCGCGCCCTGGTGCAGCGACGCCGCGCTCCACTTCAGGTCACTCACCTTCTGCCGCATCTGGGGGTCTACCATGAAATGAAATTCCGAATTTTCGAGCTCAATTTCGTGTTTTTGTTCGTACCGAAATCGACCCTGTAAATGGAGTTTAGCGTTTCGTTTGTCATAAATCCTATCATAAAAGTTCAAAGGAACGATATTTTAGCATTTTTAATATTTTTAAATGGTACATATCATGTAATTTTAGCATGAAATTTTTGTTTCGCTCGGATCCGAAATTTCGGAAAACATTTCATTGTAGGCCCTCTGTTCATTCTCAGTCTCCCCAACTGCTCGGGTTCTCGTATGCCGACCGAGCGTTTCGCCACAACACATGTCGCCGATGCCGATGACACAACTCTCATCTGTCAAGATCTACTGGTCTTCTTTAGTGTATTAGTGGCAATCTCTATTTCGGATCAGTCTATTTTTGTTCTACTAACCTTCTCAGGATTTATAAACCTTTCAAAAAGTCGACATGTTTATGTCACGCGACTAGTTGGTTTGCCTACGATTTTAACACTAAATCTACCGACATTTCATATATACCTTATCCTACCATGAGCGGTTAAATGACCGCTTTACAATAAAATATGTATCTTAATATAAAAAGAGATTTTAGCCAATTGGATAGTAAACAAGTAAATAATAGTAAGTTGTAAATATTGAAAAATGGGTTATATTATAGGAAAAGTCAATAAGTTACATGGTGATACAGTAACATGAAAATTTTTAAATTAAATGTCAGAAATGGTCATTGACCGCGCTTGGTATGTTTTGTGTTGATATCAATTTAGTCTCTAAAACGGTCAGATTTTAAGCACTTGTAATGAGCTCAGTTCAGCATAATAAACTGGTATTCTATCATCATGCTTCACTTTCATCACCTATCTACAAAGGTCGACCACCATGTAGTTCTCCCTGTAAACCATGCAGCTAATTCTTGTTGAATTCATCACAATAGGCTTATTTGCATTCTTTTCCAATCATTTCTCACTGGTGCTTCATCTCTCTGCAGCCTCGTGCAGGGACTCTGCTGCCCATCCCTCGATCATTTAGTTCCCTTAGTCGCCTCTTACGACATTCGCGAGAATGGAAGAGCTGGCCTATTCTATGTCGAAGTCACACAGCAGTACTTAGTATGTTAATTGGACCTAATTGCTAATACCAGCAACTTGTCATTTGTTGTGTAATTTTAGAAGCGAATGTTTTTCACTGATTTAATTTCACATTGAAATTAAATACGGCCGTCCAAAGTTATTAAAGAATGTTATTGCTTTTACAGATTGGAAATGCTGCAGACAGTGGACAGATTACCAATTACAAATAAAACAATGGTGCAGGAGAGCCGCTTCTTTACAATTGTCGAACGCTGGTTGAATTCAACTGATGTACCACCCGATCCTGTGTTTATTGACGAAGCTACAGGTTCATACATCTTTTAATATAGAAAATAAAAGATTATTAATATAAATTAATATAATCACACAAGATTTTAATCCTTATATTAATTATTAAATGAGAAATAATGTATAAAGTATGAAAAGTAAATGTGTGAAGTTTACTTCATCTGAGGTTATTATCGTGAGCTTATATAACTAGTTGTTATCGTGGATTCGTCTGCGCGAAACTCATTATCTTCTATTTCTATGGACAATTTGGGGAATCCTTTCTTAGTAGATGCATATTATATTATGAAAGAACCTTGTTATTAGTGATTATAAAAATGTAGCAATTGTGATTTTTCTTGTTAGCTATATTGGTCTTTCCTTTTACAGGTTTACCAACAGAACTTCCTAATAGAGATGGAGAGGAGGACAGTGCAGCAGCAGCGGACAGAAGCAGAGAACATGCTGCGATGTTAGAAAAAGTGAAAGACTTATCTAATCAGTTGTTAGAACGATGGTCCAGTTTAAAGGTGAGTCTTAGTTGTGTATAAGAAAATAAATGTAGTATAGTCTGATATGTCTAAGGTACAGTTCAAATTTATATGTTATTCTTTAATTTATGTGATCGGCTAATGAACACTTGAAACTTTTATAATAACAATTTGGTGTTTTTCTACACTTTTTAGAGTGTTATTACTCGCTAATATTTATTTATTCTCTATTGCACAATAAAACTTTGTACAAGAGGCAAGCTAATGCCATATGGCATTCTCTACCAGCTAACCATTTTTTTTTTGATGGATGAAAGTGATATGGTAACTCCGCCTGCGCTATCGTCATCATGTCAGCCCATAACTGTCCACTGCTGAACATAAGACTTTTCCAGAAGGGGAGTTTTCCCAGTAGTTGCCACGCTTGGCAGTCGGGTTAGCAACTGCAGTTAGACTTTTAGTGATGTTTTAAAAGGGACACTGCTGCCCATTCCTCTACCATTTGAGTGCTTATAGTCGCCTCTTACGACACCCACTGAAAAGGAAGGGGCGGCCGATTCTATGCTGGAACTGACTACAAGAAGACTCTCTCTAATATGCGTAATAAAATTACAGGAAGTATTCAAAATACCGAAGAAGGAACGTATACAGCAAATGAAGGAACATGAGCGGCAAGCGAACATCGAGCGTCGGGCGGCCGACTCGAGCGGCGCCCGGGACCGCGACCGCGACCGAGAGCGGCGTGACGACCGCGACAAGGAACGGGAGAGGGAACGGGACCGGGACCGAAGCGACCGAGAACGGGAGAGGAGCGACCGGGACCGCGAGCGGGGCGACCGGGACCGCGACAGGCACAGGGAGCGGGACCGCGACCGCGACAGGGACAGGGATAGGGATGATAGGGACAGAAGGAAACGGAGGGGAAGTCCAGAGGGCAGGAGAAGTATAAGGTGAGACACACAACTTTCAGTTAATCATAAATACACTTCAGTATCTAAAAGGACTGTATGCAATTCAGTGACTACATTGTAATTCTCATAAGCTCATATAGTTTTTTTAATGAAGTATGTTGGACGTATCAGTTTTAGATCTTTAAGGGTCATACATGTTTATTTTTTACATTATAATTGTTTATAAAATGGGCTGTTTATACACACCGATTCCGGTCAAATTAGCACTTATTAATTGGAGTCAGTTGTAAAATTTTGCTATTTCATTTACTGTTCACTTATTACATATTCATATACATAAACGAAAATATATGAATAATGCAGGCTAAGCGAGCGGGTGCTAGCAGCAGTACCGCCGCTAAGCAAGGAGGAGCGGCGGCGAGCGTTCGCGGAGGCAGCCGCCGCAGCAGAAGAAACACGTAGGGCTCGCGACCCGCCCGCCTGGCCGCCATACTGGCACCCGCACCTCAACGTCAACGTCAACCAGCATCCCCACCCACATATGAACCAGCACCCGCACCCGCAGCGCGATTCATACCCACAGGTTGGTACAACGAAATTTTTAAGATTTTTTATAACACCTGATGGTAAGTGATCACCCGCAACACCAGAATCATTGCAGGTGTGCTGGTGGCTTTTAAAAAAGCAATATGCTCTTTTCTTGAAGGTTAAGATATCATATCGGTTCGGAAATATAGCTGCGGGAAGTTGATTCCAAAGAGTGGTTGCATGAAAGAAAGTACCTTGAAAAATGTCCAATAAAAGATTATAGACTAGCGCCATATTCGGCGCGTCTTGGTCGTGTATCTTCGTCGATCTGTCATCGGCCATTAGACCTAACACAAGGCACATTCAGCGTATCTTAGATCTCATTAATAACTTTCAATAAGCGCAATCAACGCTCACCATCCGCTGAGTGTGGTGCATCACATATTACAGTTGTAAGGCAGCGTTGGCGAACTTAGTCGACCGAGTACAGAACAAATGAAGCAACCTAGGATGGACCTAATGTAACGTTAAACTTCCGCTTAGAAAATAACTACAACATATTCTGGCATTTCACATTGTCAAATCATTTGTGAAAAAATTGACGCAATTAAAGCAATAAGAGTATAAAATTAAGATATCCCCATTGTTTAACATTTCGTCATAGCCGTAGAATACTGACGGATCTATTTATGTAATATTTGTCAGATCCGTCAGTATTCTACGACTATGACGATTTCTGTTGCAGTGTTTTAGTCATGCTAAAGCACTTTCACGGAAGTAGGCTGTTAGAGACATTTTCAGGTTACATTTTCGGCACGCTTCTAACCTTATTTTTTAAATTCAAGTTGTGTTTTTTTTTCCTTATATATTTTCAAATACGGCTTATGCAGATGTTTCCGGGCGGCGTGGTGGTGCCGGGGGTGGTGCCGGAGCTGGCGGGCGAGTGGCTGCCGGACTTCCCGCCGCCGTTTTGTCCTCCGCCCTTCCCCGCGCCGCAGCCCTATTGCGTGCCGCAGCCCAAGTCAGTTTAATCACTAACTCTTACGCTATCGTCCGCGTGATCGGAATATAAAGATGAACAAGTTAAATAGTAGCCTATGTCCTCTATCTCATATTGTACATGTTTACCAAAATTGGTTGAGTTTTTAAAGCACAAAGAGGTAACAAACTTACTTTCACATTATAACTTTTTCCTGCGGCTTCGTACGCGTGGTCGTGATTATTCATAAAAAGTAGCCTTATATTCTTTATCCCATATAGTGTATGTAAAGTAAATAAAATATTAAAAGTGATTAGTTCAGATGTTAAGATGTTAACGTGTAATAAATAAACAAATTTCTATATATTTAACTTCATGCACATAATAAAGGAGGAGAATGCTCTACTATATATATAAATGAATAGATAAATAGATACAAACTTATTTTCACGTTTATAAATAACAGTAAGGATTAGAATAAGATTATAATATTCTTTATGAGATGAAAATGGAATTACAAATGGATAATAGAGTATACTGGTGTGATACGTATGACACGTGAGGATAATGCCAATTAGGTCGACCTGTCAGAGTAATATTGCCACCAATGAGGTTGTTATGACTCCGTTACTGACAATTCTATAGTGATACTATCTATCTATCTATCCTATTTAAGAGCTGCGCTCTTGTCGGTGGAGCTCTTGCCACTCACTACTATTTTCAGCGAGTCTCTTCACCTCTTAATACGACTCGACACCAACTCCTTCCTTGATCTGTCTGATGTGACTATGTCTCGGTCTCCCTCTCCCCCTCCTTCCTTTTATATTATCTTCTACTATAATGTTCATAAGTTCGTCGTGTCGTATCAAGTGTCCCAACATTTTTCCCCTTCTGTCCTCAATAGTTCTAATAATTTGTCTTTTTTTCCTTAACCCTAAGCAGGACCTCCTCATTGCTAATTCAATCGATAGTATCTATAATTAAAATTTTATATAAGTAACGTAATAAAATTTTAAATAGACGATGTTTGTTCCGTTATTAGGCAACAACTAATACACCAAATTAGATGCAGTTTTCATAGTTGTATTTATGACTGACTAATTTAAAATCTGTTATATATTTTATTTTGGATACATCATCTAAAAGTAATCTATTTTCTTATAAAATGTGTAGGAAGTAGCGGGCAATAAGTTAGTGACAATATTATTATTAGTATCTAGTGGCCTATTATCCCGACATTAAACCCCAGATGTAATGAGTTCATATATGGTAGACTAAAATCCTTACTGACTCTCTATAATAATAATTTATGAATTTATTCTTAATTTAAATCGTTTTATGGCTAATAAATGTCTTTTATTCTATATTTGCTGAATAGTTTGATGGGCATGAGCGGTTTCGGCATGGGCGGCTTCATGTTCGGTCAGCAGATGGCGCCGTACCCGCACCCGCAGCCGCCGCACCAGCAACACGACGTGACGCAACCGGTAAGGTCAAATGTTAAAATTTTTGATTGATTACCATAATAATTTGAATTGTCATTGATCCCTGTTTGTTTGTTTAACTATTACGGAGCATGAACACTTGTTTTTTTTAATGGGTGATAATGAAATGGTAACCCCGCCCGCGCTATCGGTATATACTGGCGGGGCACCAGTGAGACATGATAGGTGAGGATAAAGCAGGTCAGTTAGCCCATCGTGATGAATTCAATAAGAATTGTTCACGATGGTTTCCGGGGGGAACCACGTGGAGGTCTTTTTTTTATACCACTGAGGTGGCAAACAAGCATACGGCCCACCTGATGGTAAGTGGTTACCGTAGCCTATGAACACCTGCAATACCAGAGGTATTACGCGCGCGTTGCCGACCCCGAAGAAACCCTTATAAGGTGTATTGCTAGCAATGAGTTCATCAATCCCCATTACTAACAATCCCTTTCCCCTCTGAACACTTGGTAGGGTCTCGCTACAATGCTGCCGGAGAGCTCGCAGCCGGGCGGGGCGGCAGCAGCGGGCGCGGGGGCGGAAGCGGAGGCGGGCGCGGAGCCGCTGCTGCCGTCGCTGTGGCGCAGCGCCACCGACGACCGCGGCCGCCGCTACTACTATCATGTTAAGCTGCGACAGCCGCAGTGGCTGCCGCCGCCGCCGCCACCGCTACACCCCGGTATGGACCTTTATACTTATCGACCAGTCCTCATACTCGTGAACGGATACTGCTTGTTGTTGGTCACTAACACTAGCTCCACTGTCTCTTTTTAATAGTTGCTTAGCAACGACGCAAGAACATTTTGTACCGTTACATGTTTCCATAAATGTGATTAATATTTTATATATATCATATTATGTTTAAATAAAAATAATTCTAATAGCGAAATTAATGTAATGTATAAATGAAATTAATCTTGATTTTTAATTTTTTTTGGGAATCTGAATTCGTTTTTTCTATTTTAATTTATACTTCTTGATGTGATTAAATTTTTATCTATAGTGTGGTTATTTTTCAATACCGAAAAAAGTTAATAGCAGAAAAATGTATTTGATAAATTACAGATGAGAGTTCATCTGAGGAGGAGGAAGAACAAATGAGCTCAGTAGATACTACCATTATGAACAGACGAGTCAAAGGGAAGGTTGTTGAAGGCGTTAATGGAATCTACGAAGGTAAGTCTATTTTATATTTGATCTGTGTTATGTTAAAAACATTTGCTGCAACAATTTGAAATGATTTTGGAAAATAAAAATATTTATATTTACCTCCCTTATTCATAAACAGTAAATCCTTTCTACAAACCTATTACACTGTTTTGACACATTCTTACAAATCCGAAATTTGAATTAAAAAAAAAAATAGAAAGTTCAATACCTAAAATAGGTTTATGAGAGGCTTTTTTTTTAATGGGTGATAATGGAATGGTAACCCCACCCGTGCTATCGGTATACAGCGGCGGGGCACCAGTGAAGGATGATAGGTGAGGATGAAGCAGGTCAGTTAGCCCATCATGACGAATTCAACAAGAATTGTTTACGATGGTTTCTAGGGAAACCACGTGGAGGTCGACCTAATAGAGCATATTGCTGGCAATGGGGCTGTCAAACTCCATTGCCAACAATCCCTTTCCCCCCTTATTATTGAGAGGTTTGGCTATCCCATTAAGAATCCTTAATGGGATAGTCAAATGAATTTGTTGATATTGCAGTGAAATTAACAAAACTTGTGTTTCGCTGATAAAACTAGCAAAATATCGAAATAAATGTTTTTATAGAGTCATAAATTAACCAGAGGGAGACTTTGTACAAAAGTCGATTGCTTAGGTAACCTCTGTCCCATTCGTGTTTCTACCGTGAAGCAGTTATGTTTGCATGGCTGTGTTTCGGTTTGAAGGGTGGCGTGAATTTACAGGGTACAGAGGAATAACATCTGAGTCCTCAGGAATGGCAACGCATGGGGGGTATCATGGGCGAAACAGTATACCCTGTTATGTCCATGGTACTGCTCATGTCTATAGGCGACGGTTACCACTTTCCATCAGGTGGGCCGTCAGCTTGTTTGCCATTCTAAGTTGTATAAAAAAAAATATATTTTTATTGTACATATGTATCCATTTATATTTTTATTTATGTATATTCAAATAGTAGTGTATAGAAATAATTTGAGTACTATTAATGAATTCTACAAATTTCAGTGATAAAAGAAGACTCGCATAACGGCTTGATCCCGGACCATGCATTGCTCACAATAAAGCCGCGGAAGCGGCGACCGGGGCTGGTGTCTGAACGACCGATCAGTGTATGTAATTGTATTGTTTTTTACTAAATAAGTATTGAGGTATCTGTAGGTCTTGAACCAAGATCTGAGTGACCAAAAAGCATAGTTTACTCTTTTGTGTGTTCCAGAGCATGGTTTTGCTATATTTCCTGCTAAATGGATAATTTAAAATTATTAATATAATGTATCCATCTACACCAGCCTTTCCCAAAGTGGGCGATAACGCCCCCTTGTGGGCGCTGCAGGCCTAAAGGGGGGGGGGGGGCGGTAAGAGACCCAATTTACACATTAATTGATTAATTTAATTTGAAGTAATAGTGGTTTTTAAGTAAATGAAAAAATGGGGGTGCTAAAAAATAATTTATTCTTAAAGTGGGCAGTAGACAAAATAAGTTTGGGAACCCCGGATCTACACTATACTATCCATAGTGAGGGCTACCTCGTTTGGCATCCTGTAAGATCAGTTATCAACTGACAAATATATTTTGTAAATTACACATAAAAGGTATACAGTGATATTACAGTGGTATTACAGTGAATAAGTGAGTTAAAAGATGATATCTTGTCTGTTGTTAACAGTAACCATTTTCTCTTGGTTGCCATCTTAAGTTGTATTAGAAAAGCTTATATATTTTTAAATAAAACTTTTAACCCATTTCAAAAAGGATGTTGTTTTAAATATAATAATTCTATAATTAAATAATTTTATATTTATAATATTTTTTCATTTCACAGCCGCGCACAGAAGAAGACAAATTAGCAGGTCGATTGGAAGTAAAGCGATATAAACAGACGAAAGAGAAACTACGCAGGAGACGCGAGCGGCTCATGCAGAAGGTACGGCTGTTGGCGTCCGCTAAGCGTGGGAAGGAACTCTCTCTTCCAGAACTTAAGGTATTATAAATTTTTCTTTTTATTTTATTCAATTTGCAGTGTTGTTATATTATTTAGTGTACTCCGCTCTGATTTATACGAAAATTATTTTTGTGTTTCTATTTTTATGTAACCTTTGTTGACAGTGTTTTCTTTTTTTTTTTATTAATTCAAATGATTAAGTCAGTGTAGTGATTTAAAAGTGTTTTTATTTTTCTCTACTCTGATTAAAAAAATAATATTTATATATTTTTTATTTTATATTAACTACTTATACACCTATAGTATTTTTATATTGGAAAAGAATTAAAGTGAATTTTGATAACTGCTATAACGAGCTACCGTTTACACATATAGTTCGAAATAAGTTTAAACCTGTATAATACAGATGGCCAATTACGAAAAATTGTATCTTTATTTTACTTTAACAAACTTAATATTTTAATGACGTGTTTTAAACTCATAAATGTTGGTTTTAAAATTTTATTAAATATTTTAATAAACGATTATATGTATTTTGTCAGATGGTGGATCTAGCTGACTCCGACACGGACTCCGAGCTCGACTCAGAGGACGAGGAGAAGCCGGCGGAGGCGGAGGCAGAGGGTGCGGGGGAGACGGCGGTGGCGGCGGAGGAGGAGAGCTGCCGCGTGGCCGCCGTGACGGAGGCGGAGGCGGAGGAGGCGGCGCGGCGCCGCAAGGAGCAGTTCCGCAGCAGCATGGCGCGCGTCATGGTGCAGCACCTCAACCCCTACCGCCGCCCCGACGCGCCGCTCGGCCGCATCACCTGCACCGCCGACTTCAAGCACCTCGCCAGGAAGGTGCGTGCACTATAGTAATATAATACAACACGCGCACCCACCCATCTTTATCACAGTTAGTGATAAAGACGGGCCGGCTTCGAGGGACGACGCAAGGCGAAAATTGTATAAGGAATTTATGTTGTTTATAAAGACTATTAGATTTACACTGCAGATGTGAAATCAGATCTAGTAGTAAATTTGATCAGCTCAAATAGGTACTTCCATCTCTCTACTACTTTGTGTTAAGAGTGTCTGCACTAAAGCTTACCAAAGTGTGGTAACGTCGAAATTATATGTAAGTTTTCAAAAACAATTATAATTATTTCAAATAGAAGAGGTTTTGCCAAGGTTTTCCCAAGAGACTATAGCATGGGGTTCTTCAAAAGGGGAGTAAAGAGGTTTCTTCAGGGTCGGCAATGCACGCGTAATACCTCTGGTATTGCAGGTGTTCATAGGCTACGGTAACCACTTACCATCAGGTGGGCCGTATGCTTGTTTGTCACCTCAGTGGTATAAAAAAAAGTATGTTAATTCCTGATAAATTCATCATGATGGGCAACTGGCCTGTTTTCATTCTAATCTATCACCCTTCACTGGTGCTCCGTGTTTGTTTATCAGGGTTACCATTTCATGATCACTCATTAAAAACTAGTTATATACTTCGTCTATATAACATACTGATTGCCTATTTGATGGGTTAAGGTGGTTTTTGAAACAAAATCTTGTATGCTTGTTTGCCACCTCAGTGGTATAAAAAAAAAAAAAATTATTATTTCAAGTATTATTAACAATATAACATATTCCCTATTTATTTTAAATGTTTTTGTATTATCTGTCATGATAATATAGACAGCACAAGGACAGAATAGGGTGGAAGATAGTTGATTTTGGATCTGCCCTCTTCCCACCTTTATTATGCTTACTAAAATTCAGTTTGTTTGTTACCTCATAGCTTCTTAACGGCATAACCAATCGCAATTTTGTTTTTTTTGGATGAAAATGAATTGGTAACTCCGCCTGCGCTAACGGGATACGCTGGCGGAGCACCAGTGAAAGGTGATAGATGAGAATGAAAACAGGCCAGTTAGCCCATCATGATGAATTCATCATGAAGAATTAATCATGACAGTTTTCAGGGACCGCGTGGAGGTCGACCTAGTTAGGTATATTGCTAGCAATGGGATTTTTAGTCTCCATTACTAACAATCCCTTTCCCCCCACCAATCGCAATTTGGTATGCACATACTATATGTGATAGAGAAGGATATAGACTACTTTTGGTCCCGATCAATAAACATATCTCAGTCACTCTGGTGAAGTCAGAAATAAAAGCTAATATGTTTATAATTGAGTTATTTGCGTGAATAACTGTCATATAAGATTCGAATTTCTATTTATGTGAAGAGTCATGTAGGAGCGATAGGTAAACAACATTTACTGGGGGGAAGGAATTGCTAGTAATGGGGAGGTTAGTCCCCATTGCTATTAATATACCCTATCAGGTCGACCTCCACGCGGTTCCCACTGGAAACTATCTTGACTTATTTATCGTTAAATTTGTCACGATGGGCTAACTTACCTGCCTTTTCATCCTCACCTATCACCACTCACTGGTACCCCGCCAGTGTATACCGATAGCGCAGGCGGGGTTACCATGCCATTTTCACACATAAAAAAAAGAAAAACAACATTTACTACTTTTACATTGGCATAAACGGAACAAGGGATTTAGTCAATATTTAATCTGTGTTGAAATTTAATTTTCAACTTTTTTTTTCCATTTTCAGCTTACACACTTCGTAATGTTGAAGGAGCTCAAACACTGCCAGTCGGTAGAAGAGTTGGTGGTCACCGACTCGGTGCGGACGAAAGCGAAGACTTTCGTCAAGAAGTATATGGCGAAATTCGGGCCAGTGTACAAGCGGCCCCCCGAGGAAGCCGACTAACAGGAAATGCGACGGTTTCGGCTGTCGCTCATGTGATTATACTGACTTGGTACAACAAAGTGATTCAATAGTGAATATATTCAAGTAGAACAGTTCATCTTGAAGAAACTTAACTGTAAGCCAATAATATATAGTGTTGTCGTTACATTTAACTAACGAATTTAAAGTGTTCGGTGATAACCTCTATTCGTGTAGTTACTACTTAACATGTAAAGGTCACAGGAAAATTCTGTACCAGTATTTCTCTTGTGTATTTATTAATGTTTGTCAGGTAGATTGGGCTGCATTTTTTATACATTAAGAATAGATAAAACCAAGGACTACCTATACCATTGTCTCTGTGAAAGCCATTAAGGAAAAAAAGGACTGCCTTAATAAGTCACAATTGTGGTCTTATATGTACATAAACAACACAGATCATGTGACGTCTATAGCATACTTTATTTACATTGTTTGTAATTCAGTACACAAACAGTATGTTCGCAGCAGTAAATATTTTATCATTTATTTCAGAATTTAATCATTTAGTTTCAGTATTACAATTAAACATTCTTTAAAAAAGCTGAATTCATAATGAACATCAAATTGTGAACCCTGCAACAGAAAGGCATTTTACGATATTTAAAGGATGATGGACTACTGGTTTTTTTTTCTTTTTTATACAATTTATAATGGCAAACAAGCTGACGGCCCACCTGTTAGAAAGTGGTAACCGTCGCCTATAGACATGAGCATTACCATGGACATAACAGAGTACAGTGTTTCGCCCATGATATCCCCCATGCGTTGCCATTCCTGAGGACTCAGATGTTATTCCTCTGTAGCCTGTAAATTCACGCCATATCCCACCCTTCAAACCGAAACACAGCCATGCAAACACAACTGATTCACGATAGAAACACGAATGGGACAGATGTTTTTACATTGCGATAATACGATAAAATACAATACCACAGATAATTCGACAAGAAATATTTACTGCTGGATAATAAGTATTTCTTATGTCAGAGATTTAGACAGCTTTGCTGCTTAACAGCAGAAACAGATAACATGGTGGTAACCTTTTTGTTTGTCGATAGGTAATCATCATTATCATATCAACCCTTAACTGTCCACTGCTGAACGTAGGCCTTCCCCATAAGGGGAATTTTCCCAGTAGTTGCCACGCTTGGCAGGCGGGTTGACAACCACAGTTAGACCTTGGTGATGTTTTAAGAGGGACGCTGCTGCCCATTTCTCGACCATTAAGCTCCCTTAGTCGTCTCTTACGACATTAACTGGAAAGGAAAAAGTAATCTATTCTGGGACTACACGCCTAGGTAGGCACAAAGCTCGGTAGGTTAAGGCCCTTTGGTAATTATAAAGGCGAACTATTAATACGTACGTTATTGCTACCAATTACGATTAAGAAATTTTCTTTATATTGTAATGTTGTACTTTAGTCACTGTAAAAAAAAATGTTTTGTCAGTTATACGAATGAATCTATGAAGGAATTATGTCTGTTAATTCATGTAAATATATTGAGATAAAAATGGACTGCCTACTAAAATTATTAGTATTAGTTAGTTATTATAGGTAGGGTTCAATTTTTAATGCTCAAACTAGCCGTTTGAGTTAGTGGAGTCTTTTAAAAAGATGTTAAATGGATTGATGAATTGATATATAATAAATATGAGATGTGAAAATTGCTTTTAAAAAGTAAAATAGACTAAATGTAAACAGCTGATGATATATATTGTTAAGGAATAGCAAGACAGAATATTGCATTAAAGAATTAATTATTATTAACTAGATCCATTTATAAAAAAAAAAACATAGTAAGAATCAGTAAACAGCTATTTTATGATGATATTCTTTTTTTTTTTATTTAAATGGAAATAAGTTTTTTTTTTTATATCAATGGCTAGAATCAGATTTTTAACTAATACAAATAAGAATGCAATAGCCACGGATTTATTTAAGTGACAGTGATTAAACAACAGTGTATGCCGTTGCGAGAAATATAAAATGAATTAGGTGGTCTTAAAATGGGCATCTCTATGATTTATATTGTTTTGAAACGATCGATATTTAAAATAATATATTAGACTTCTATAATATATGAATAAATTTTCTATGTAAATGAAAAATATGTGATCTTTTGACATTATTAAGAGGGCGTGGTCACATAATTTATCGTTAAAAATTTTAGACAATTTTTTATCAAGAACTCGCTGAAAATTCTTGCGACCCTCGATCAGAAACACTGGCTAGATGTCTAATAAATATCGTCCCTTATTCTGAACCGATTCTGCTAATTATTTTTTAAAGCTATAGTGGTTTCACATATTAATATTGTCACAGTTTAATGTAGATTTTTTGTAATATAAAATTTTAAAATTGTTAATTGATTTAGCAGAGCCGGGTTACTTCAATTATTATTTTTCTTTTATTGTACATAAGTAGCAGTTTACAACGGCTTTGTCGACGCAATCTTGTTCCTACTCGTTCGATGGGAAAATAGTATATTGTATTGGTTCCTCTTATTGAAATAATTTTATAATTATGATTCAATTATATACAAACTAATTTTACTTCGAGAATACATCGTAACGGCATGCACTTAGTCAACATATATTAGACTGTTTATTATAATTTTTAGCTCTTCAATAGCTGTGTAGTGTAATGATTAAAATTAATCTGATACAGAACTGTCCTTGGTTTAGCATAATGAATTGTATATATTAGATATAAAAGTATATTTTTAGATATACGCTGATTACGTCGTCCTTTGATAAGCGGTGCGTTTTCAGATTGTATTTACCGTTACTGTGAGGTAGGTGGCAAACTATTTTTAAATTGTGCTAATTTCAATAAGTATTTATTGTGTTAATGAAATTATGATCTCGAGTTGCCTATGGATTTTGTGAGGTCTAGCCAAAATATATGGACAGAATATTTTTTACAAGCTGATTGGTATTAAAAGTAGCTTGATGTTAATCATGACGATCATTGATTATTTAGTATATAGGTAATCTGAGATGACAGAGATGATACTGATGTTAGTTTTAATTTATAAGTTAAGGTGCTAATCAATTTGTAAAACCTTTGTTTTATATGGATTTACCCATTGATTATCGATATTGAGATATATCTGTACCTAAGAGGAATATAATACTAAAGGTGAAAATAAAAAATATAGCCACATCAATATTTCAAATTATTCATTTTTACATATATTTAATATTACTATTAAAAATTTAACTTGACATGGTAATACAATAAAAACATCTGAGAGTATCTAGTACTTGTAATCTCGGAGGGTACCTTTGACCTCTCAGGGTACCATTGACCTTTGAGGGTATAGTTTATTTCCAAGGGTACCGTTTACTTCCAAATGTACCAGTTACTTTTAAGGGTACCATTCACCTCTACGGTACAGATATGTAGTGTAATATGTAAATACTGGTGGCGTTTCTCGTCAGGGTTTCCCTGTTAATGTATTGAACAGAGAACTCGAATAGGACTGCAATAATTTGAAGTACACAGTATTAGAAACGTCAAGGTTTCGTTTATATTTGTACAGTTTTTTTATCTTATGACCTCACTCTAGTATAGTTTGATTCATATCTATTTTAATCGATAATTTCAAAATTAGAACAAACAATTTATGCATTACGATCTCGATCTATGATACGATTAAATGTAATTTAGTTAATCAATCAAGAAATTTTTTGTTTTGTCGTGTCAAAAATATAAGATTTTCCACAGTGGTTGGTACTAAAAATGTCTGCATGTTTACTATAGAAATATAAAACTTTACATAAAATACTAAAGTCATCACACCAAAGCATCATCTCGTACTGTATTTGATTTTTAACAATATATGTCATGTAAATACAATGTCTAATATGGCAACAAATGAGAATTATATGGAGAAAATTGTTTTTATCGTTGTGTACATTTTTTATATAATACAATTACAACTATAATTGGTAACATTGTAGCTATCCGTTTAAAAACCGTTTCGTATTATGGCGGATTTACTTTTACAAGCCTGATAACCATATTTTAGAATTTGATAATATAGTTAAATATCGTTTGGCAATCTATTAGGTAGGACATGTTTAATAATTTTAAAATACTTTTTTTTTTTGTTATACTCTTCCTGCTAAATGGTTGACCCACAGTAATAGAAAACGGCTCAGGTTTTGGCCTTAGTGATTGTGATGTAAAATAATACACAACGATAATAAGGGCTTGCACAAGCAAGGGACAGTCTTCGGGTTACGTAGAGAACACTCGGGATTTAGTTCCATGTATGAGAGTTTTAAAGGCAACATCAAAGCGAAAATGTTTCATTTATGTATTGTTTCTAATACAAAAAAGGAATATTATCATTTAGTAATAGTTTATCTCTATAAAAAGACATGTATTTGACTAATGACAAAATGTTCTGCTATTTGTTTGACTACATTTACACACTATGTATTCCAAAGATTGCCTCTTGTTTGCGCGATCCTTAAGAATACCTTATAATTGATTATGAAATTATGTCCTAAACATAATATTAAATGAATGTATTATTACATTTACCAGCCACTATGCGGCGAAGGAACTAATGAAAACTCGTCAGTTTTCAATATTTAAATGTATTTTTAAGTATAAATAAGTGGTTTTGAATTACCTGTAAATATTGTATATACAATTAGTAAATGTGCATTAACGAAATATGTGTTTATGTTGATAAAGTGAATATTTTTATTTTCACGTGGTATGCATTGGGTGGAGCGCTAGTGTGTTCTAAGTTCTGATTGGTTAAGTCGCAAGGAAGCGTTGGAACAAATAAAAAGTTATTTCGTATATTTACGTGTTTTATTGTTATTCTAATGGGTACAGTAGCAATTTTTTAGTTGCAATTAACGAATAAAAGTAATTGGCAGCTGAGCGAAAACAATACGGAGAGCTAATTGTGTATCCAATACAGCTTTAATTATAGAATGATTTTACAATTATAGCATATTTTCATAAAAATTCAAATTCAAATAATCTTTATTCAAATGGACTTGTTTTAACACTTTTAAATCGTATTTTATTAATCTACACTAAACCGAATCCTGCAGTGTTCCGATGTCGTGATCTGCTGAGTAGAATTTAGAAAAGAATTCATCAGTTATTCTATTGAATCTCTGTTAACATTGTATTTATTTATTGTTAATAGTTACTTTCTAGCTTACAACATAATTCGTGATTCTTGTTCATTAGCCTTACTATTACAGTATAGTATTATTTATGCATGTTACAACATAAAATATGCAACTATTATTGTTTTAAAACAATACGTTATTTTCAACATAAAAAAAGGATGGCATCAAATCGAGATCGTTGATTTGAAATAAGTATTTTTTAAATAAGTCTCTATTAAAAATTAACTAAAAACGTGAAATATTTTCTATTGTAGATTAATTAATTGAATTTTTGTTTGGTTACCTAAACTATAGTAAATATATTTCTGTTAATTTGTGGCATCAAATCGAGATCGTTGATTTGAAATAATTATTTTTTAAATAGGTCTCTATTAAAAATTAACTAAAAACGTGAAATATTTTTTATTGTTGTTGTTAAACTATAGTGAATATACATCTTCTCTGTTCTCCAAAAATCGAATGGCTTCTTCGGCTTGTTTCATTACAATGCCATTCTTTTTATCCGCAATCGCAAGATCAGGGTTCTTAAGTAGGTTTTCCAGATACAACTTGTCGGACATCAGTTGGCCTAACGCAGGTCGCGGTGGCTTACTATTCGTCCGTTTGACTGGCTTGTTGAATACTGGCTTCACGGATCCAATTGTATTTTCAATTGCCTCCTGAAAGTTGTAAACGTTAAATTTGCTTTTTAAGAATTTGATGTAATAATCATTTGAAAATTTGATCGAAACTTATATTGCATATGTATCATCATTAATTTAGCGGATTTTATTATTGCACATGGACGGACGAATCACTCTCATTAGGCGATTCAATCAATAACATATATAGATATCCAAGTATATATATATATATATATATATATATATATATATATATATATATATATATATATATATATATATATATATATATATATATATATATATATATATAAAATAATAAAAATATTGTACTTAACAGTTTTTTTTTTACAAATGATAGAAAAGCATACACGAGTAAAATGAAATCTGTACAATATTTTTTACATTGTGTTCAATTTATTTGCCGGTAAACATCTATCTCCAAAACCTAACTGCGGTTAAACCTAACCAAAAACTAACCTAACCCGCTTGCCAAGCGTGGCAAACCCCCTCATGTGGGAAGCCTACGATCAGCAGTGGACAATCAACAGCCAATATGATGATGATAATGATGTAATTATTATTACGCTTTATTTTATCACAAGCATACTTTACACCCGGAATCCAGCACGATGCGTCCAGGAGGGACCACGTGGAGGTCGACCTGACAGGGTATATTGCTAACAATAGGATTGGTAGTCAGCATAACTTACAATCCTTTCCCCCTCTCTATCAGGAATTAGGTTCGTGAATATATTTGTTTATACCTGTGCTTTCTGAACTCCCAACCGGAAGTCACTTAAATCGGGCCTCGCTCGCAGTCCTCTGTGGAAGTGTACTAGACTCAATTCAAACTCCCCGCAATAGTACAGCGCTTCTGCCTTCTGAAGCAATGCCTTCGCGTGTTTCGGATCCAAATTCAGAGCCGTTTCGGCGTCTGCCAGAGCCAATCGAGGTTCGCCCAGAGTAGGTAGCATTTACTGCGAGCGACATATGCTGCTTTCTCTTCTGGCGCCAATTCAATAGCCTGGAAAACAAGAAATAACTTTTATCTAAATAGGAATAACTTTTCACAACCGATTCCAGAAAGAGAAGAAAAAAGTAGTTGAATTGATAAAGTTGACTCGTATATATGATATGTATACCTATATATTGGGTGGCATCTTTCTCATTTTATCGCCGATTTCGATTATTATTTAGCCAGGGTGTACGGCTATGTTAATGTCTTAGTAAGTAACTAAAGTCGGTTATTTATTATAACAACTTAAATTGTACTACCTAACGATACTTAGTTTTCTACAATATCTTTTATACCAAAACTATACCTTGTCAACGAATGTCACAGCATTCCGGTACCTTTCCCTCATTATCTCTGCCCTAGATAACGCCAAGAGAGTACCAGCATCAGCTTCCTCGGGTAACTGAAGGGCACTGCTCCTCTCCGCCTTATCTTTCATGTTCAGAGACAACTTTATGTCTTTAGAGCCCATCACCACAGCTGCGGCGCGGTCTTTGTCGGTATAAACTTCTTCCTCACGACGCCTTCTCTCACGTTGCTTCCGTTCTTTCTTCTTTCGAGGCTTGATGGTTACTACCTTTTCTTTCGCCGAAGATCTCTCTTCTTCTGCTTCTGGCACCCGAACTTTTTCCGCGGATGATGAAGTCCTCTTACTAATTGGAGCTTTGGGGGCTGGTATCTCATCTTCATCATCGCCTACTCCGACCCTGACGAAGCTTTGCAAGAATTCTGCGTCTTTAGTCGGACCGAGGATAGACCGAGCTTGGGCAATGGCGTTATCATCGTTTTCCATCTCGAGATCTTAGTTATAGTGGTATTGCTGGTGTTACGTTATGTAATATGGCGAGGTATGGGCAGAGGTGTCGGTATTGACGCCTTGGAAGTGGTTGTCATGGTGACTGGAAGTGTTTTCGCACCCTCTTGCCACATGCCTTCACACTAGTTCTATATGGGAATGTATAGAAGGTACACGCCTTACAAAACTATTTTCTTTTAAAACTACTCGTTGCTACACTTTTTACTTTACATAATTATTACTTGTAGGCGGTTATTTTCTGTATTATGTCGTGAAATCTCTTACAGGGTAGACAGAGAGTAATGACTGCTAAAGGCTTTATTATTATAAACAACTCTTGTGTTCACCTTTATTATTCTAAATACTTCATCCATCTTCATAATTGGAGTTATTTTATTTATATTTTAATTAAAAAATATTTTTAAAACTATTACACATGAGTTTAGGTTTTATACTTGTCGATTTTGATTATTATATGTACTTACGTACACATATACATAATTGTATCTCATAAAATATAAGGTAAATGAGACAAATAGACGTCATAGGACATTTACACATCGCCATCTAGTTCAAAATAAGTGAAGCTTGTGTCGTGGATACGTTATTTTTTGTTGTTTGAAAATGGTATAGTAACCCCGCCTGCGCTAACGGAATACGCTGGCGGAGCACCAGTGAACGGTGATAGATGAGAATGAAAACAGGCCAGTTAGCCTATCATGATGAATTCATCAGGAATTAACCATGATAGTAGTTTCCAGGGGGAACCGCGAGGAGGTCGACCTGGTCGGGTATATTATAGCAATGGGATTCTATCTCCATCACTAACAATCCCTTTCCCCTCAAGTCGTGGGTACTATTCTGGTACTATAATACTTTTTGTAAATAGGCACTTATATATTGTACATAGAAAACACCCAGCAGGAACCCAGAATCTCATTAATAAGTCATCCTAGAGTTGACTAATAGAGAATGCCTATAGTATTAAGACCGTCTTTTGTACTACACTTTACACAAAAAATTGTTCAACTTAAAATGACAAACAATCTGATAGTCCATCTGATGAAAAGTGGTAACCATAGTCTATAGACATGAGCAGTACCATGACATATAGGCATAACAGAGTATACTGTTTCGCCCATGATACCTTTGCCATGCCATTCCTGAGGACTAAGGTGTTACGCCCCTATACCCTGTAAATTCACTGCTATGCAAACACAACTGCTTCACTAAGTTCCTAAGCAAACGACTTTTGCACAAAGTCGTTTGTTTGTAATAGGTATATATGTAAAATATATATGTAATAATAATTATTGTTCAATTTCATAACTTGTACAGAAATTGGTAATTTATAAAAATATAATTGCCATATGGTCCCAGTATAGAATAGGCCACTGCTTTCTTTCCCGTGGGTGTCGTAAGAGGCGATCAAAGGAGGGCGAGGGATGGGCAGCAGCGTCCCTATTAGAATATCTCCAAAACCTAACTGCGGTTGTCAATCTACCTGCCAAGCGTGGCAACTGCTGGCCAAATTCCCCAAGGGGAAAACTTATGTTCAGCAGCACAATCAAATATGGCTATGAAGACAGACAGACTGATATGATGTTAATGATACTGATATAATAAAGCCGAAGAGTGTTTATTAAGGAGCGGTGGATTGTGATGAGGTGATGAAATGATGTAGACACGGAATTTAGTAGCGAAATAAATGTATTAAACAGCAAGCAAGGAACAGAACAATATGATATATGTCAAAAAATATAAAATTGAAATAACAAATAATAAGAACATTCTAAAAGTAAATGTGTATAAAAAAGTATAATAATGTCTAAAGTGTTCGCATCGGCCGGTCGCCAATAGTATTTTTTGCTTTAGTTTGTTTTCATTAAAAAAAAAGCCTAATTGGAAAAGTAAAGGATTAATTATATCTAGTAAACGAAAAAGACAACTCTATCTGCAGATACAAAATAATACATCACAACAAACAACAACTCATTACAAGACATATAAAAGATAATTGCGATCATCAAAAAGATAATCGAAAAGACTATCTAATCTAAATTATGTAAAGAATAGTACAAACAAAACAAAGGCTATTTGGGGGTTAATAAAACACAATACTGAACAAACTAATGAATTAAGTCAGACGATAAAACAAATAAGGAATGGGAATGAAGTGATAACATGTCCAAATGAAATTGCAAATATATTGAATAATCATTTTATACAACAAAATAATTACTCGAGTACATCAAAAAATCGCAAACCCACAAAATATAGTACAGGTAATAGTATTTTCCTAACTCCTACAGATGAACAAGAAATAATGACCATAATAAAAAAGTTAAAAAACAAAAAAAGCTGCGGTGTAGATGGCATATCAATGCAAATAATAAAATCAAGTGCTACCTATATTGTCAAACCTTTAACATATTTAACTAATCTTATGTGAAAGTGGATGCTTTCCAAGTAAGTTAAAAGTAAGCCTAATAAAACCACTGTATAAAAAGGGTCCGAAGGACATTGCAGATAACTATAGACCTGTGGCATTACTAGTTTTCGAAAATTTTTGAACGCGTAATATATAATAGAATTATAAAATATTTAGAAAAAAATAAATTACTCAATAATAATCAATTTGGTTTCCGTAAAGTGTCCTATTTTAAATATACTTATTAAGACATTGTGTGTCTGTTGATCAAAAAAAAAAACGTCACTGCTTTATTTTTGGATATGTCTAAAGCTTTTGATTCTGTAGTTCCAGAAATAATTTTAAATCAACTTGATCAACTAGGAATTCGTGGAATAGCTCTTAAACTATTAGAAAGTTATTTGAATGATAGATACCAAGCCACAACATTAATACACTATAATAAAAACTCATAAACATTGGAAAACGTGGAATCTATCTTGGGAATTCCACAGGGTAGTATATTGGGACCCATTCTAATTTACCTTCAACAGACAGATATATGTGTATTATTCGCAGATGATGTAACGTTATTATTCACAAATAATGGTTCAAGTTTACAAAATTATGAAAATGAGATCAACGCTAATATTGACAATATAACTGGCTATATAATTTAAATTTAAAAATTAATTCTTCGAAAACGAAAATTATGCAAATAAGAAATTATAAAAAAAATATTTAAATTTAAATATTAATATTAAAGGCAATAAGGTTTTTGATGTTGAAACAACGGACTTTTTGGGAATATCTGTAGATGCTCACTTAAATTGGAAATCACATATTGATAAAATTGTTTAGTTACTGTTATGTTCTATCGGTTGGTTGATGTGTCATCAGTGGATGTGGCCTAACGCATAATGGTAATGTGTACTTAAACATATGGAATTGTCTATGGGGTATCAACGTAAACAGTACCTTTCTATTGCAAAAGGTTGTCTAAGAATCATATACAATAAAAAAAGGATGAGTCAGTACTACCATTATTTAAAAATAAAGAATATCTTACGTTGACATGATATATATATTAGAAATCAGCTTATTTGTAGTAAACAACATGCACTTATTTAAAAAGAAATTGAAGTTCGTCTTAGAAATGTACCCATGAGACAATCATGTAACCCATTTGCCGCAAACTCAATGATATACAATAAAAGTAGTTATATAATGGCTATCAAAATATATAATCATTTGCCAAATACAAAAGATTAATACAAAATTCAAATTATTAAAAAAAATGTCCAAATGCTTTCTATAATATGAATGAATTCTTTGCTCTTTGACATTTTTTTTTTTACATTGACATTATAAATAATTTAATTAATATATAGGATGATAATTAATATGTTCTAATGGTGACCATGAGTTAGTTTGTGACTGTTGATTGACATGTTTTATTTTATTTTCAATTTTATTGACAATTTTAATGTATGACTGTAAAATAATTAATGTTTTGTAATTAATCGTATTGTATGCGATGTATGGGTAGGCTGTTTTTCTTTGGTCAAGCATACAACAATAAATTAGGAAATTAACTTTTCTAAATTATCTATTTAACATTACAATACGATCATGGATGAAGATGCGGGATAAAGCTAATAACATAATTTACCTTATCTAGGAGTTCAGATGTTCTTGTTTCCAACGGATCCACATAAGCACACAGCTTGTTTGGCGTTGTAGGTTGGATAAATAAATATAAATACTATATTACTACTATAATACTATGTAGATATTTTTTTTTATAAAAAAATGTTTCTAGATATATACATATATATACGTCGATGCAAAGTGAACATTTCAAATGGAATGATTTTATTACTTAGCTTGAAACGACATTGTTAGTGTACATATTTGCAGATAATATTTCGTTACCAAAATAAACTTGTATGATGAATGATCTAGTAACCGAAGTAGCGGGACAAGGGCAATAAATCTTTGCCCTTCATGTTCATCATGATTACGTAAAAGTAAAGGTTGAATATATAACTTGTATATTTTATAACTTAAAGTTTTACTTTAGAGGAGAAAGGGATTGTTAGTAATGGGATTTAACAGCCCAATTGCTAGCAATATATCCTATCAGGTTGACCTCCATGAAATTACTCCTGGAAACCATCATGGATAATTCTTGTTGAATTCTTCACGATGAGTTAACTGACCTGTTTCATCTTCACTATCATCCCTCACTGGTGCTCCGCCAGCGTATACCGATAGCGCAGGCGGGTTATCATTCGATTATCACCCATTAAAAATACAATTTTGCTAATAGTGGGATCTTTTTAATAGATGATAATGGATTCATAACCCAATCCGCGATGTCGGTATACACCGACGAGGCACTAGTGAAGGATGATAGGCGAGGATGAAGCAGGCCAGTTAGCCCATCGTGACGAATTCAATAAGAATTGTTTACGATGGTTTCCAGGGGGAATCACGTGGTGGTCGACCTAATAGAACATATTACTAGCAATGGGATTGTCAAACTCCATGGTTAACAATCCCTTTCCTCCCGCTAGTAGTGGGATCACTAGTTCCCAGCCAGTACTAACAACCCAAAGTACTTAGTACTTTGGGTAATATCCCATTAAGCCTAAAG